GCCACTTCATTCCTCCTGGATGCTTTGAAGGATAACAAGCCCGAACATGGTCACCTGCAGACACGCTTGCTTGAGATGAACCTTGTCAATGCCCCTCAGGTCGCTGATGCCATCCTTGGCAATGAAATCTTCACCCACTACGACCGCCCTCGTATCTCTCAGCTTTGCGAGAATGCAGGCCTCATCCAACGTGCGCTTGAGAACACTGACGACCCCGTGGCCATCAAGCGTAACATTGTCCGCACCGACAAGCTGAGCCCCGAGTGGTTGATGGAATACTTTGGTCGTCTCTCGGTTGAGCAGACTCTTGATTGCATGGACACCATGCTGCAGGTTAACATTCGCCAGAACTTGCAAGCAGTCGTTCAGATTTGCACCAAGTTCTCGGACTTGTTGGGGCCCCAGCAACTGATCAGCCTGCTCGAGAAGTACCGCACGGCCGAAGGTCTTTACTATTACCTTGGCAGCATTGTCAACCTTAGCGAAGACCCTGAGGTTCACTTCAAGTATATTGAGGCCGCCACCGCCATGGGCCAGATCACCGAAGTGGAGCGGATTTGCCGTGAGAGCAACTACTACAATCCGGACAAGGTGAAGAACTTCCTTAAGGAGGCTAAGTTGACGGAGCAACTGCCGCTGATCATCGTGTGTGACCGTTTCAACTTCATCCACGATTTGGTCCTTTATCTGTACCAGAACCAACAGTATAAGTCCATCGAGGTCTACGTACAGCGTGTTAACCCATCGCGTGCTCCCGCTGTCATTGGTGGCCTGCTAGATGTTGATTGCGAAGAGAGCATCATCAAGAATCTGCTCTCTACTGTTGATCCATCGGTGATCCCTATTGATGAACTCGTCTCAGAGGTGGAGAGCAGAAACAGGCTCAAGTTGCTGTTGCCCTTCCTTGAGGCTACTCTTGCTACGGGTAACCAGCAGCAGGCCGTCTACAACGCTCTCGCAAAGATCTATATTGATAGCAACAACAACCCCGAGAAGTTCCTCAAGGAGAACGATCTCTATGACACTCTTACCGTTGGAAAGTACTGCGAGAAGCGTGACCCGAATCTGGCATACATTGCCTATCGGAAGGGACAGAATGACCTTGAACTCATCAATATTACCAACGAGAACGCTATGTACCGTGCCCAGGCACGCTACCTCGTGGAGAGAGCTGATTCAGAAATCTGGTCCTTCGTTCTCAGTGAGAACAACATGCATCGGCGTTCACTCGTCGACCAGGTCATTGCGACCGCTGTGCCCGAGTCGACGGAGCCCGACAAAGTATCCATCGCTGTCAAGGCTTTCCTCGAAGCAGATCTGCCCGGCGAGCTGATCGAATTGCTTGAGAAGATCATTCTCGAGCCCTCTCCTTTCAGCGACAACGGCAGTCTGCAGAACTTGCTCATGCTTACAGCTGCCAAGGCTGATAAGGGACGCTTGATGGATTATATCCATCAGCTCAACGAATTCAGCCCCGATGAAATTGCCGAAATGTGCATTTCGGTTGGTCTCTACGAGGAGGCGTTTGAGATCTACAAGAAGGTCAACAACTTCATTGCCGCCGTCAACGTCTTGGTTGAGAACATTGTTAGCATTGACCGCGCGCAAGAATTTGCGGAGCGTGTCGAGCTGCCGGAGGTGTGGAGCAAGGTTGCCAAGGCCCAGCTGGATGGTCTTCGGGTGTCCGACTCCATCGAGTCCTATATCCGTGCTGGTGATCCCTCGAACTACAACGAGGTCATTGAGACGGCCACTCATGCTGGCAAGGATGAAGACCTCGTCAAGTATCTCAAGATGGCCCGTAAGACTTTGCGTGAGCCTGCCATTGACACGGGTCTCGCTTTCTGCTACGCCCGTCTCGATCAGCTTTCCGAGCTTGAGGATTTCCTGCGGACGACCAATGTTGCAGATGTCGAGGCTTCCGGTGACAAGGCTTACGAGGAGGGCTACCACCAAGCTGCCAAGATTTTCTACACCAGCATTTCGAACTGGGCCAAGTTGGCAACGACCTTGGTGCATCTGGAAGATTATCAGGCAGCCGTGGAATGCGCACGCAAAGCCAACAGTGTCAAGGTTTGGAAGCAGGTCAACGAAGCTTGTGTTAACAAGAAGGAATTCCGCCTTGCCCAAATCTGCGGTCTCAACCTGATCGTTCACGCGGAAGAGCTTCAAGATCTTGTGCGCCAGTATGAGCGCAATGGCTACTTCGACGAGCTCATTGCTGTTCTGGAGGCTGGCCTGGGTCTGGAACGGGCGCATATGGGCATGTTCACCGAACTGGGCATTGCCCTCTCCAAGTATCACCCCGACCGGGTGATGGAACATCTCAAGCTCTTCTGGTCTCGCATCAACATCCCCAAGATGATTCGGGCCTGCGAGGATGCAAGTCTCTGGCCGGAACTTGTCTTCTTGTACTGCCACTATGATGAGTGGGACAACGCTGCTTTGGCAATGATGGAGCGTGCTGCCGATGCCTGGGAGCACCACTCGTTCAAGGACATCATCGTCAAGGTGGCCAACCTGGAGATCTACTACCGTGCACTCAACTTTTATCTGCAAGAACAGCCTTTACTCCTCACCGACTTGCTACAGGTGCTCACTGCTCGAATTGACGTCAACCGTGTCGTGCGGATTTTCCAGGCTTCGGACAACATTCCTCTGATCAAGCCTTTCTTGCTCAATGTCCAAACTCAGAACAAGAGGGCCGTAAACGATGCTATCAACGACTTGTTGATCGAGGAGGAAGATTACAAGACTCTCCGTGACTCGGTCGATAACTACGACAACTTCGATGCCGTTGCACTTGCCCAGCGGTTGGAGAAGCATGATCTGATCTTCTTCCGCCAAATCGCAGCTAACATTTACCGCAACAACAAGCGCTGGGAGAAGTCGATCTCCTTGTCCAAGCAGGACAAGCTTTACAAGGATGCCATCGAGACTTCTGCCATCTCCGGAAAGTCGGATGTTGTCGAGGATCTTCTTCGCTACGTGAGTCATTTCTCTTTTCCACTTAATGGCGCTCGGGGACATATACTGACTCTACTTTTAGTTTGTCGATATTGGAAGCCGCGAATGCTACGTTGGCATGCTGTATGCCTGCTACGATCTCATCCGGCCCGACGTTATTCTGGAGCTTTCGTGGCGCCACGGTCTTAACGACTTCACTATGCCGTTCATGATCAACTTCTTGTGCGAGCAGACGCGCACGATCGAGATGTTGAAGAAGGACAATGAAGAACGCAAGTCGCGCGAAGTGACTCAGAAGACGGAGGAGGACAATACCCCGATTCTGGGTGGCACGCGGTTGATGTTGACCCAGGGCCCGGCAGCGCCGGCGCCAAGCCCCATGGCGTTTGGACAGGCCAACGGAATCACACCGCAGGCTACCGGTTTCCGCCCTTTCTAGACGCATGTCTGTCACGCTCTCCTTGGATCCCCTTCTGAAGAAACCTCGTTTGGCCCCGTGTATGTATAGCATGAGCGATGGATGATCTACTGCCGGGCTTGGGTAGGACAGTGAAGTCTTGACTGCTGGAAGAACGTCGTCAGCTGATGGGCTTGCTGTTCCACCTGGCCGGGCTTTTCTCCCCTTTACTTGATGTTCCTTCCTATCCCTTACGTTTTGTCCATGATTTGCTGCCTATTTTACCTTTTTATTTCACCCCACTAGATGTATTTCATAGGCCTTTGAAAAATCTGCGCATTCAGTTTACAGACCTCCGGGCGGTCGCGGGCTTTTGTCATACTTAGTTCAATTATAATTGACGTTCGATCTTAATTCGATATTCGGCTCGTAGTCCAAGTCGGCATTTCGGTTGGAGACCGAATGATCTACGCCTAGATCTCGGCAGTTGGTGCCGTAAGACGGGGGTTACCCCTCGCCGAGGACGCCAATTCCTCGTCGTTGTATCCTAATTCTAGCTGAGCACGCCATAATCTATACTGTTTACTAGCCACTACACTGGGTCTAGAGGGAATAGCGATCTAAGATCTGGAATCTCTCCGGTTCAGTCGAAAGCATTCGGTTGAAGGGAAGTGTGTAGAGGTGACGGAGGCAGGGAAAGAATTTAGCCCGTTCAAGCAGGATTGGAGGAACAACCGAGTTGATAGGTAAGGGAGCATTGACGTCCCGGGCGGAGGATTTGCGTGGATGGGGATGCAGCGATAAGGATTTAGCCCGGGGTAACGGACAGACGGAGGAGGCAGGGGGACACTGCAGGAAAGGAGGGGAGGGGAACGGAGATGGGTGGATGCAATCAACGTTATATATACAGCCCTGTTAACGACGCTTAATTACTACGCAACTTTCAGACAAGGAACTCTGACGGAGGGTAGGTTCTCATCATTGGCACCAACTATGGAATTATTGTCGTACCACCAGTAGTAATCTATCTTTCGGCACTAAGAGCCGAAAAGAGCATATTTTTCTTATCACATGCCATTATAATCCCAATTATCCGATAAAAATTACAGATCAGACAAGGGAACTGGCGCACCAGGGGCAATACCAAGTAGATCTAGAACCGGAGATGTGAGGCCCGGTGTGAGATTTAGGGAAGGCAAGTCTTGTCCCGGCGGGTGGGATTTTCTGCATGCCAGGTCATGGGAACCGGTGGAAGCCAGGCTATCGATGGAGTCGGCCATCCACTCCGGCCTGGTTTCACTTTTATATGGGTAAAGTAATCCCTTCCCTACTCGATGGGGAAATTACCTCCCCAGACGAGCGGACAAGGCACAGTTAGTCTACGTAGCCGACGTGCGTTTCCCTCGCTATCTAAACTACTCGGGACAGGCGGGATGCAAATAGTTCCAGCTTGGCCGAGGTAGATCATAGGAACGTTGGGTGATCGTTTAGGAGAATTGTAAAAATTATGAGCTTGGCCCGGAGATACCATCCACCGAAGCACCTCGCATCGATGGCCATTGTGCGACGATCGCAGAAGTTGCCAAGCTGATAGATGCGTTTTGGTTGAGGGCTGAATCGGTGGAAAGAGGGCACGATGCATGGCTCGGTCACAAAGTATGGACACCGGGCTGGACTGGCTGGGGCTGGCGTGCTCGCTCGGATGATTCTTGCCAGCTTCTGGATGAAGATCCCCGTCGCCTATCGCCGGAGATACGGTGGGGAAGGCCTGGGTTTTGGTTCGTTTACTGACGGCTACATGATATCAGGGCAGGAGAGTCCGATGTTGCTGGGTAACCTTGACGAGACGTCTTTCCCGAGCTTGGAACGCTCCATGAGATTTTCCAGGCATGAATTAGCCCGAGCACCCGAGGTAAGCAAGAGAATGCGATGCCTGAACCACCCGATGCATTTTCGGTATAGGTGGGATAGTGAATGATGGAGAGAGTGTGAGAGAGTGTGAATGGTAGCTACACTACATAGCGTGCAGCCCGTAAGAAAAGCCATCGTCGCCGCCAGCTATTCACGCGGAAAACTGTCCATTGACCGAGCGTCCATGGCGATGATCCAACTGCGAATGGACGACACCCCACCAAACTGTAATCTTTCTGACAGCCAATGAATCCGGACGAACGGAGGCACTGCAACCCTACCCAAGAGAAGCAAAAAAAGAGCAGAAGTCTAATGGAACGAGGCAGGTCGACTGGCCGAGCATGACATTCCATGGGTCACCATCCCACATGCTGCAGCCCGGTGTGCCGGTGAAGGTCGAGCTTCTGGGGGGGCGTCCACTAGCGCCGTCATGAAATTACCGACTGCCCTCCGGACTGGAGCCACTTTACTATGGTCATAGCATACCGTCCAGGGCCCAGCGGTGTAATCTGATTACAGTACCGCCTGCCAATCGTGCCGCAGCGTCATCGCCCGTCCGGGATCCCCTCCTCCGCCTTGCGCTGACCTGCCCCTCCGCTCCTCTGCTCTGGCTTGCCGGGCAGCCGCTGGAGAGGGTCATCATCCCCAAGTACTTCTATGCCCTCCTCTCCTCCTCCTTCCCCCCTCTTCTTCCTTTCCTAACTTTCTCATCTCATTCCTCTCTGTCCATCTCTCTCTCCCTCCTCACGTTCATCCCCCTCTTGAGGTCCTCCCCCTCCTCCTCATCCTCCTTTTTCCGTCGGGTAAGTCGCCGGATCCCTCCAATTGAGTTTCCTAATCCTCCCATGATTTCCCCGCGCTTTCCCACGCTTTCCCGTTCCGAAACCGGGCCTTTTTCTTCCCCGGAAGCACCTTCTCCCCAGGTGACTCACGCCAACGTATCACTGCTCCGTTTTCTGGCTTGCTTTTTTTCTTCCGAGCGTCATTGGATCATCCGGCTAACTCGTATACTATATTTCCCTTCATCCCAGCTCCTGCGCCTTCTCTCTCTCTTCTCTAGATCCTCCTTCAATAGCCCTCCATCTTCCCTGCCCATACTCTAGCTCCCCCTCCCCCTCCTCACCCTCCCACCCTTATCCATCCTTATCAACAAACACACCCCGCCCGCCATGGCTGCTCCCCGCCAGCCCGAGGAGGCGGTCGATGACACCGAGTTCATCGATGACCACCATGACCAGCACCGGGACTCTGTCCACACCCGTCTGCGTGCCAATTCGGCCATCATGCAGTTCCAAAAGATCCTTGTTGCCAACCGTGGTGAAATCCCCATTCGTATCTTCCGGACGGCTCACGAGCTGTCCCTGCAGACTGTCGCCGTCTACTCCCATGAGGACCGTCTCTCCATGCACCGTCAGAAGGCCGACGAGGCCTACATGATTGGCAAGCGCGGTCAATATACACCGGTCGGGGCCTACTTGGCCATTGACGAGATCGTCAAGATTGCTCTGGAGCATGGTGTACACCTGATCCACCCGGGTTACGGTTTCCTGTCCGAGAACGCCGAGTTTGCCCGCAAGGTGGAGCAGTCCGGCATGGTTTTCGTCGGCCCTACCCCCCAGACCATCGAGAGCCTCGGTGACAAGGTCTCCGCCCGTCAGCTGGCTATCCGCTGCGATGTGCCCGTCGTGCCCGGTACCCCGGGCCCTGTCGAGCGCTACGAGGAGGTCAAGGCCTTCACCGACACCTACGGCTTCCCCATCATCATCAAGGCCGCCTTTGGTGGTGGTGGTCGTGGTATGCGTGTCGTTCGCGACCAGGCCGAACTGCGTGACTCCTTCGAGCGTGCCACCTCCGAGGCCCGCTCTGCCTTTGGCAACGGCACCGTCTTCGTCGAGCGCTTCCTCGACCGCCCCAAGCACATCGAAGTCCAGCTGCTGGGTGACAACCACGGCAACGTCGTCCACCTGTTCGAGCGTGACTGCTCCGTCCAACGTCGCCACCAGAAGGTCGTTGAAATTGCCCCGGCCAAGGACCTGCCTGCCGATGTCCGTGACCGCATCCTGGCTGATGCTGTCAAGCTGGCCAAGTCGGTCAACTACCGCAACGCCGGTACTGCAGAGTTCCTGGTTGACCAGCAGAACCGTTACTACTTCATTGAGATCAACCCCCGTATCCAGGTCGAGCACACTATCACCGAAGAGATCACGGGTATCGATATTGTTGCTGCTCAGATCCAGATTGCGGCCGGTGCTACCCTGGAACAGCTGGGTCTGACCCAGGACCGCATCTCCACTCGTGGATTCGCCATTCAGTGCCGTATCACCACCGAGGACCCCTCCAAGGGCTTCTCCCCCGACACCGGTAAGATCGAGGTCTACCGCTCCGCCGGTGGTAACGGTGTCCGTCTGGATGGTGGAAACGGTTTCGCCGGTGCCATCATCACCCCTCACTACGACTCCATGTTGGTCAAGTGTACCTGCCGTGGTTCCACCTATGAGATCGCTCGCCGCAAGGTCGTTCGTGCTTTGGTCGAGTTCCGTATCCGTGGTGTCAAGACCAACATTCCTTTCCTCACCTCTCTTCTGAGTCACCCTGTGTTCGTGGATGGTACCTGCTGGACCACGTTCATTGATGACACTCCCGAGCTGTTCGCCCTTGTCGGCAGTCAGAACCGTGCCCAGAAGCTGCTGGCTTACCTGGGTGATGTGGCTGTCAACGGCAGCAGCATCAAGGGCCAGATCGGCGAGCCCAAGCTCAAGGGCGATATCATCAAGCCCGTTCTGCATGACGCTGCCGGCAAGCCCCTCGACGTCTCTGTCCCCGCCACCAAGGGATGGAAGCAGATCCTGGACAGTGAGGGTCCCGAGGCTTTTGCCCGCGCTGTGCGTGCCAACAAGGGCTGCTTGATCATGGATACTACCTGGCGTGATGCCCACCAGTCGCTGCTGGCCACTCGTGTGCGTACCATTGACCTCCTGAACATCGCCCACGAGACGAGCCACGCCCTCGCCAACGCCTACAGTTTGGAATGCTGGGGTGGTGCCACCTTCGATGTCGCCATGCGCTTCCTGTACGAGGACCCCTGGGACCGTCTTCGCAAGCTGCGCAAGGCCGTTCCCAACATCCCCTTCCAGATGTTGCTCCGTGGTGCCAACGGTGTTGCTTACTCCTCCCTCCCTGACAACGCCATCTACCACTTCTGTAAGCAGGCCAAGAAGTGCGGTGTCGACATCTTCCGTGTCTTCGATGCTCTCAACGACGTTGACCAGCTCGAGGTCGGTATCAAGGCTGTCCACGCTGCCGAGGGTGTTGTTGAGGCTACTATTTGCTACAGTGGTGATATGCTCAACCCCAGCAAGAAGTACAACCTGCCTTACTACCTCGACCTTGTTGATAAGGTGGTCCAGTTCAAGCCCCACGTCTTGGGTATCAAGGACATGGCTGGTGTGCTGAAGCCCCAGGCTGCTCGTCTGCTGATCGGTTCCATCCGCGAGCGCTACCCCGACCTCCCCATCCACGTGCACACCCACGACTCTGCTGGTACCGGTGTGGCTTCCATGATTGCTTGCGCTCAGGCCGGTGCTGATGCCGTTGATGCTGCCACGGACAGCCTTTCCGGTATGACCTCCCAGCCCAGCATTGGTGCTATCCTCGCTTCCCTCGAGGGAACTGAGCACGACCCCGGCCTCAACTCGGCCCAGGTTCGCGCCCTTGACACCTACTGGGCGCAGCTGCGTCTCCTCTACTCGCCCTTCGAGGCAGGTCTGACTGGTCCCGACCCCGAGGTTTACGAGCATGAGATCCCTGGTGGTCAATTGACCAACCTGATCTTCCAGGCCAGCCAGCTTGGTCTGGGCCAGCAGTGGGCGGAGACGAAGAAGGCTTACGAGTCTGCCAACGATCTTTTGGGCGATGTCGTCAAGGTCACCCCCACTTCCAAGGTGGTCGGTGATTTGGCTCAGTTCATGGTCTCCAACAAGTTGACTGCTGAAGATGTGATTGCTCGCGCCGGCGAGCTTGACTTCCCCGGTTCCGTTCTGGAGTTCCTCGAGGGTCTCATGGGCCAGCCCTACGGTGGGTTCCCCGAGCCTCTGCGCTCTCGCGCTCTGCGTGACCGTCGCAAGCTCGACAAGCGCCCTGGTCTGTACCTGGAGCCCCTTGACCTGGCCAAGATCAAGAGCCAGATCCGGGAGAACTATGGCGCAGCTACCGAGTACGATGTGGCCAGCTATGCCATGTACCCCAAGGTCTTCGAGGATTACAAGAAGTTTGTCGCCAAGTTCGGTGATTTGTCCGTCCTGCCCACCCGTTACTTCTTGGCCAAGCCCGAGATCGGCGAGGAATTCCACGTCGAGCTGGAGAAGGGTAAGGTGCTGATCCTGAAGTTGTTGGCCATTGGTCCCCTCTCCGAGCAGACCGGCCAGCGTGAGGTCTTCTACGAAGTCAACGGTGAGGTTCGCCAGGTTAGTGTGGACGACAAGAAGGCGTCCGTCGAGAACACCGCCCGCCCCAAGGCCGAGCTGGGTGACAGCAGCCAGGTTGGTGCTCCTATGAGCGGTGTGGTTGTCGAGATCCGCGTCCACGACGGCCTGGAAGTCAAGAAGGGTGACCCCATTGCCGTCCTGAGCGCCATGAAGATGGTATGTATAACCCCAAAAACTATCAACCAAAACTCCTGACCGGCTGCTAACATCTGTTAGGAAATGGTTATCTCTGCTCCCCACAGTGGCAAGGTCTCCAGCTTGCTGGTCAAGGAAGGTGACTCGGTGGATGGCCAGGATCTTGTCTGCAAGATCGTCAAGGCCTAGAAGAGTAACACCGTTATAACGGCAAGGTTTGAAAAGCTAATGTCGATGTTGATGTCCTTGCAACCGGCTTATTTGTCAACAAGGACACTATGCCAATATTCTTTTTCTAGATTAGAGCGTCTGTTATGTTTATGAATATTTTGGGTTGGGTTTGGGTTATTTCCATATTTATGCCACAGCTTATTTACGATCAATGGTTGTCACGGACATACAATGTCAACCATACGAATGACAAGTGATTTCAAAACATTCTTTCAGATATATTCGTAGTATCTAGGAAACACAGCATATATAGTCATGATGGATATGTACAGGATCAAGACCAACCTCCATTTATTCAGAAGTATTGAATCTCTTCTCCCCTAGAGCTTCGCAGCAGAAGCTTCCGGCTCTCCCACCTCCCGTAAAGCCTTCCAGACGCGCATCGCCTCATCCCAAAGCGCAGTATCCTGCACGATCTCAACCGACCCATCAGGCTTCAGGGTCCTCATCTCCCGATGATGCCTCGTACCCCACTTCACATCCTCCACCCCATGAACAAAGCTAATAAACGGATCAATAAGAGCCCGCCGAATAAAACCCTTCTCCTCCGGCTCCAGTACATTCCCATTCCCCCAAAACCAAATCGGATAATCACTAGAATGCGTAACCTCCCACTCCGGAGGAACACTCGCATCCGCACACTTAGCTCGGTACTCAATCCTATACCGATAAAGCAAGTGTCCCGCCCCGCCACTAGCAAGAGCATGAATCAGCCCGCGCTGCATATCATGCACCTGCATCTTGGCATATACCCGGCCGAAAGCATCATTGTCCCAATTCTCGCAGCACGGCGGCAACTTGCCGTCCGGGTAGTGGAGCTTCACGAGCGTGTCAACGACGTGGCGGGGGTAATCTGCGAGAAGTCTGGAATGGAGAGCGGAGAGCGTGTCGGCTTGCGGCGGGAACCAGGCGGCATACAGGTGCCGCTCGTCACGGCATTCGCCGAGCATGATGCGGACGTTGCGTGCGGAGAGGGCGCGCGCGAAGGCACCGCTATCCAGGGACTTGAAGAGCGTGGGTTGAATGAAGGTTGAGTCGGAGGTCGGGCGGAACTGGTTTAGTTGGACGCTCATGGCGGCGTCTAGGAGGGTTTGGGAAGGAAGGGCGCGCAGCTGGGAGATCTTTTCGGCCCAGGGAAGGGTACTGGGGATGTGTAGGGCTGAGAGGAGTTGGTCGAATTGTTCTTGAGCCGATGCCGGGGATTTGGGTTGCACGGCGGCGGCGTTGGACCAGATGCAGGCTTGTTTGATTATGGCGCGGGAGGCAGGGAACTGGAGGTCGTAGGCCAGTTGGTAGAATGTTGAGTAGGCGCCTGGTTGGGGTGGGTTTGGGTTAGGGTTTGCTACTTTGTGTAGGGGTGGAGAGTGTATGGTTTGGGGCAACTCACCGGCTGAGTATCCGGAGACGGTGATCTGGGATGGGTTGCCGCCAAAGAGGCCGATGTTGTCCCTCGTCCATTCTAGGGCTTCACGCTGGTCCCAGAATCCGTGATTGCCTGTTGTTTCTCCTACAGAGGAGGCGTCTTTCTCGATCTCCGAGGAGTATAAGAACCCGAAGACGTTCAGTCGGTAGGCTGGGACGACGACAATGGCGTTGAGCCCGGCATCGCCGAGTAGGGCTGCAGCAGAGAATGTGTTCGGGTGACCGAATTGTAGCCAGCCTCCATCTAATGTATCAAGCCATTAGTATTCAATTAAGGGATGGGTCTTGAAGGCGCGCGCATACGGATGAAGAAAAGGACCGGCCACCCTATAGGAACATTTTATTAGCTTCAGCTGATTTGTGCAAGGGCCTTGATACTTACCTCCCTTAGGGGGTTCTCCTAGCGGTACCCACACGCTGGCTTGAAAGCAGTCCTCTGTGAACCCCTTCGTGTAAGAGCGACCCATGAAGCTGGGCTGTGGGCAGACAGCAGCGTCTTGGTCGCAGGGGGCGGGTTGGTCTTTGGTGCCATAGGAATAGGACTCAGGGAGCTTCTGGGCCCGGCGCCATCTCTCAGGAGGAGGAAGGGCATATCGAACACATCCAAAGTAGTGACACAGAGGCTGGCTAGTCGCTTTTGAGTGCAGAGTGGTGCCCTGGACGTAGCCACGATGGGCCAGGGACTTCAGGTAGGGATGACCAAATGTCTCCAGAACCGCCATGGTGGTCTAGAAGAAGAATAAGGTATATGGCTGGCTGCCTTAACGGGATTTTTATGTAGTAGGGAGTGAGCAATGGTCGGAGGCTATGGCACTCGAGGTTCCATGGATAGATATAGCTCCAAAAAGAGCCGTTCTGACCGACGGCATCTCCGCACGAGGGGGAGGGCGCTCGCGTCTTTAGCGCATGATAAGGTCCCGATGGCCGAAATCTTGGCAGGTGGTGGAGACCCAGGGGGAGTTTTGACGAATCCTAAGACAACTGACATGATTGCTAGATCGTCGGCAAATATAGCCTATAGAATGATGAGATATAGCGGAAATGTAAGGGGAGAACGCGGACGCTGAACCATGATAAACTGTCAGAGTGGGCGAGGCATATCAAAGCGGCCCGCGGGGAAGCCGAATTCATTCCGCTTCGGCCCCAGATTTGGATGCCGCTCGTTGCCTGAGGCATTAATGCATAGGTCGGCAATTTTGGAGACAGACAATAGTAGTATGGGAGTGATGGCCATTTCCTCGGCCATGTCTGATTGCAATCCTCGCTTTTCCTTCAGCTTCTGATACATCTGTACGCAGTACGCAGTCGCTGATTTAGCTGATGTTTCAGGGCCTCAAGTCTGTCTGTTATGGAATCTCCACTGTATGCTGAGCCATTCCAGATAGTTGACAGGTGCCAATAAATATATCATCAGCTAGTTGGTTGCACATTACCCCTCTCATTCAAAAATAAACAGTCGATGGCCACCGCATATAGATGCTTCACAGGCAGAGACTGACGGTACTTTTTCTCTCTGCGCAATTACTAACTCTTCGATCCCCGCATTTGGCAGAGCACCTGACGTCAAGCCATCATGGACGACATCCATTGGCACACCACAAGATTTGCACATCGGTTATTGGATTACTTCCATCCAGAGGAGCTGATTAATCCCAATTATCCTGTGACACTCTGCAACACTATCCGTGGATCGACGTATACGATTCCCAAGAGAATGATGAATCATTGCCGTTGTCAAAGTAGCTTTTGCATTTCTAGGACCGGGATCCCCAAGCTATTACCGCCCATTATTGGTTCATGGGCGTACTTTTGCCCCTTCAGACCTATGGGATTGCCTCTCGCTGCATCATCATACCCAGGGTCCGATTCACAGCACTTGGAGGGTGGCTGACTTACCCCTCTTTTCCTTTGGGAATCCCTTATAATGAGCTGCTGTCGTCCCGGTCGGTCACCGTGATCAGTAACATCAAATCCTGGTACTGATAGCACACTGCAAAGAAGCTCACTGGTAAGTTGAAGACTTGATTCCAAGCTTGTCCACTCCAATACCTATCACATGGACTCCGCTACTTTTGATTATTTGTCGTTGAGATGACACCGGAGCCCTCGGATTCATGATGAAAGAGCTATGTAACGATAGCCCGTGACAGATTTTGGTTGCTCTTCACCCGCATTTGTTTGTCATACACATGCACATGTTTAGTCCCTTTTTCTATCATTCATATCCTCACTTCAACTTACGAAGCACGCAGTTGATACTGCTCCTTTGATCTCATCGAGAACCAAGAAGTACAAAAGAGGAACCATGAGCAACAACCAGCAGCCCCAGTCTCCCCGCCATTGGCATGGCACCGTCGGTGATCGCTACGAGCATCACAATGTCTGGGTGCGAGGAGGTCCTCCTGAGCCTTACCGTCGTCCTTCGATTCCTACTACCACTGCAGCCACTGCCACTTCCGACAGACGCGTACGTCTAAACAGTTTCTGTCGTCGTCATCCCAAGCATTTGGCTTAAGCATGATGCTTGATATCATCACACTTCTAGTGTCAACACCAACTAACCGTTATACATATAAAGGGCTCTGATTCATCAGATATGTCTTCCAACTCCGCCAATTTGAGCAATAGCCCTCCCAGCATTGGGGACAGGAGACGCTCGACCGGCCATGGCGCGTCAAGCCTCTTTGAGAGTTTGACGAGCCAAAAGCGCAACTCTACGGACCAGACTCTCAATACGCGCCGTGAAAGCTGGAACGAGCAGGGACAGCAGGGCGGATTCTTCGCCAAGTGGTGGGATGGATACACGAGAGGAGGTAGTAAATAATTTTAACTAATATCACTCTTCGACGAATGCTATGATGTCGGAAATGTCGAACGCCAGAGGCCACACCTCTCAGTGATTTATGCAAATGTTATTGAAAATTAATTCAAGGCGAGGTATAGCTATGCCAGCTCCATGAAGTTGTATTGTATGTACTTATCATGACTGCTGTGATAGTTAACAAACCTAATTTGACTAGCGTTTGGTTGGTGGCACATATAGATCCCAGATGGATACGTAGTAGAATGCGGGGTTCAGCGGTCGTAAGATTAGCCAGTCCCGAACTATACGTGTCAGAGTTGGCACGTAAGTAGGACCTTGGAACCAGACACGCAGGTTCACTGGGGATTATTTCCCCATGACATTCTTGGTATTATGTCTGTCCAGCGGCAATCAGTAGCACTAGTGAGACCCGGGGTATTGGGCTAGACTACGAGTCCGGTCGGTCAAACGCCAGTTAGACTGCTACGATTGGTCGGCTTATCTACTCAAAAGAGTTTTCAAAAGTACCACTACGAGGCCGAGACTGAGCACAGAAACAGTGTGTTGAGACGCGTGCTTCTGAGCATCAGTCCTGGGAGGACAGCAGAGAATAATGCTGGAAAGCACATCTCGCAAGGGAAAACACTCAATCTCAGGGAGACGAGTTTCAGGCCAAATGCACACTATAGCACCACTGTGTGTTGAAAGTGGTACAAGTGGCAAACACAGCAAAAGCATCATGGAAGACCTTTCATCAATGGTTATGCGGAAATCATCACCCTTCGTGAAGCCTTCATTGAGAAAAGTGGATGCGTATGAAAAATTTGGGAATTTGATATCTCTAACACGCCTAACCTCATGCCGTGGTAGAAAAGCCATATTTCAGAGCAGAGCGATAATGATTTTCAAGAACGCCTGCCTCCTTTTCTGACCATTTTTGATCGATTCATCATAAACACAACCCCGGAGCTTTCCCTCCTGAAGACACCGTGGATGAGGGCATTTACCGGACGATACCGTCGAAGCGGTTCTTGAACCACTTGATGGTCTCGTTCTGGGTGATACGGTGCTGGGAGCCGATACGGGCCTTGCAGCGGCGGCGCTTGGCGACACGCTCACCAGGGCGGGTCCTATTGATTCCAAGTCAGTTGCTGATACTCGACTTGTCCTGCTCGATCTGGATTGACACCGATGGATCTGTCGAACCAGGACTGCGTAGAGGTCCAAATGCACTCACATGCAGCAGTAGAAGTCCATGCCGTAGATACCGATACCGGGGTCGTACTTGATACCCAGATCGATGTGCTCGGAGATACCGAAACCGAAGTTACCGGTCTCAGAGAAGTTGCGCTTGCGGAGCTCGTACTCCTTGACCTTGAGACCACGCTCAAGGATCTCCTCGGCCTTGGGACCACGGACGGTAACGTGGACGGAGATCTTCTCGTTACGACGGATACCGAAGGTACGGACGGTATAACGGGCCTTGCCTAAACGTTGAAAAAATCATCCCATCAGCCATCCATTCCATAATACAGTTGTCATATCCTTCTTCCTCGGCTGCTTCGTGTTCGGATTTCTCGGATTCATCGGGATCGGGCGTTCTTACTGTAGACCGGAGTCTGACCGCTCAGCTGCTCAAGCACCTTAGCAGCGCGAGTAAGTCTGTCACCAGACTCGCCGACGGAGATGTTGAGCACGAGCTTCTGGATGCGCAGCTCGCGCATAGGGTTGGCGGACTTGTCCTTGGATTCCGACTGCATGGCGACAAAAATGTTAGAAAAAAATTTGTTTATGAAATTTTCGGAGTCTCGAGAATCGGGTTTATATCAATGCTGAAAAGTGTATTGGCGATGGGCAACATACCATGGCGACTGCTTTTGGCGTGAACTGGTCGACTGGTTGGTTGGAAGAAACTCAGGATCGAAAAGTGTGTAAAAGGGAAATGTGTGGGTTGAAAGTGGGAAGCGAGAGCCCTTAGTGGCTTGGCGCGGTCGACTGGCGCCAAGCCGCAGAGCCGCGCCTCATGGACCTCCGACCCGTAGCAAGTCGAGCTGGTGCCGCTTGGAGAAAGTGTTGCAGACCTCGACCGACCTTCACTCCGGGCGCGACAGCTCAGTAAGGACAAAGTGACGATTAAGTAGAAGATACATCCTTCTACTATCTCACAAAACAATTCTTTGGTATCACACAAGTCGCATTCGTGCGCATTCATAGCCCAACATGGCGGCTAATAAGCAGGGCAAGATGGTGAGTTAATCGGATCCTTCCCTTTCGTGTTCATATCAGCTTGTATACACATGTTCGCGTGGCTAACTCTTTATTCTTCATTTTTGAGTAGCAAAACCTCGTAAGTTACTGACGATACATGTTTCACTCGCGCGTCAAACCTGACAATATCCTCAGATCAACTACCGGATGAGAGTCACCCTCAATGATGGCCGACAGATGACGGGACAGATGCTCGCTTTCGATAAGGTATATATTTCTGGGTCTTTCAGTGGCCATCGGATAACACTTGTGGTCGGCTGGTCGCTGATGCAGAATTATAGCACATGAACCTTGTCCTCGCCGATACAGAAGAATTCCGTCGCGTCAAGCGCAAGTCCAAGCCCGCCGCCGGTTCGACCAACGCACCTCTTGTTGAGGCCGAAGAAAAGCGCACCCTGGGCCTTACCATTGTTCGCGGTACACATGTCGTCTCTTGCTCCGTTGATGGACCTCCTCCTGCCGACCCCTCTGCCCGACTCGGTGCTGCTGGTCCTAGCGCAGCTGCCGCAGCTGCCACTCTCGCTGCTGGCCCTGGAATTAGCAAACCCGCTGGACGTGGTCTGCCGGTCGGCCTGGGAGGCCCTGCTGCAGGTGTTGGTGGCCCTCCCCCGCCGCCCGGCGGTTTTCCCGGTTTCCCTCCTGGTGGTAGTTTCCCTGGAGTGCCGCCTCCGGGCTTCGCTGGTCGTGGTGGTGCCCCTGGTGGACCTCGTAAGTTTGCACTTTCGAGCTCGATGTTGAACTTGGTTACTGACTTAGGATATTAGCTGGCTTCGCTCCTCCCCCGGGATTCGCTCCTCAGGGTGCTCCTCGTAAGTATCCTTGAATGGCGTGTTATGGTTATAGAGCTAACTGATGCTGTTGTAGCGGGTGCCTTCCAACCCCCACCGGGATTCCAGCCCCCTGGACAAGGACGCGGATTCCCTCCACCCGGCTTTGGTGGACGGTGATTTGATAGTATGTGCAGCAGCATGATGGCTTGCAACTTGGCCATGATACCGGCATGGCAGATACTTCGAACTACGAATCAAGCGAGCAATATTCACTTCCCCATTAGTCGCCTACTTGACGAACTTCAGACGAATAGGCATAGCACCCCGAGTTTTACCAGGCAAAGGCGTTGCGGCGTGTGCGGATGCAGGGAATGCCCTGACAAAAGAAAAGGTCGACCGAAATAAGGATAGGACCGACAGAAGTAATGCTAGATGTATTTCGAGCACTCAATTGTACTAGTGAAATACAATAAGGGTTTGAAGCCTTTAATTCCTCCGTTTCATGTAAGACTATACTTCAATCTACGGCGATTGGACAGCTGCAGGTGTAGATTTAGCCTAGTACGCAGTAAGCACCTAGCAAGTCGACTAGACCAACGACTTCGCAGCGATATAGTGCACGTGACCGTCTCCGGGTAACTCCGCCCGGCGCGGACTGCAGGTGACGGAGTGAGGAAAGCAAACCGCTCGGCCCTGCGTACTCACCTCTAATCAACTCTCCACTCCTCACTCCAGTCCAAGCCTTCAAGTTGTCAAGATGGCCGCTGCAATTAAGGCAATCAATGCGAAGATCCGGTCTAACAAGGCCCTGGATTACTTCTGCTCTACCCGTACGTTCAATCTTCACCGTTACCCTCCCCGTGTTCCTGACCGAGATCGGCCGACAAGAATGCCTGCCGTAAGACATGTTCTGAAGGGGTTGTTGAGCAACTTCAGTGAATCCTTTCTGCACATGTTATCGGTCACGATCACACAGGTCTTTCCTTAGTCAACTCTGATTAACAAAAAGCAATTTCTCTTGGCTAACAATGATCTCAACTAGACTTCTGGGGCCCTGCCTCCAACTTTGGTATCCCCATTGCAGCGGTGATGGATACTCAGAAGGACCCTGAAATGTACGTCGCTACAATTACCTCTCCCCCCCTCCGCGGAGTTCTTTCTCTTGAACATAAGTGCACATCAAATCAAGCTTTGAGAGCTTATCCAGATAGCCCAAACGAACATACCAGCACCTTCCTAACCAATCATACGATTGCTAACTGTCATTTTATCTACACAGTATCTCCGGCCAAATGACCGGTGCTCTCGTTATCTACTCGGGAACCTTCATGCGCTACGCCCTTGCCGTCTCTCCCAAGAACTACCTTCTGTTCGCCTGCCACGCCGTCAACTTCTCCGCTCAGCTTACCCAAGGATACCGCTACCTGAACTACTGGAAGTACGTCACGGAATGGCTCTTTCTTCCCACCCTCATTGAGAAACACAAGGATAATGCTGACTTTCGCATCAACAGCTGGGGAGGCCGTGAAGCTCAGCTCGCCGAGGCTGCCAAGCAGGGCAAGGATGCCACCGAGGCTGGCGCTTAAACGACGTCATCTTCCTCTTCTCGACTTTATCGCCTCATTTGCTTGCTGCGCGGCTTATGAATACCTTATACGTCTTTAGCAGCATTGCCTACCTACCTACCCAATTAAGTAGACAATACCACAATATCATGAATCAAATCGCCAGATCTATGTGAGACCTGTACGTTGAGGGTTCATCCAGGTAAGATATGGGGCAAGATGAAGGCCCCAGCCACTTGTATTGATAATAGTGGCGTCGGGATTGGTAGTTTTGTTTGGTGGGGGGTTTTCTGCTGTTGACTATGAGATATCTTTGTATCTAGCAGCTGGGCATGCCGCGGTTTATTGTATATAGGCTTTTGTTTCTGCGCATTAACAAGGTTTAGACATTGATGATTTAGTAAATCTTTGTTCAGTTGACTTCATTTGAATCAGTAAGTGTTAAGATGCTTTGAAAGGAAGACGGACAATGTTACAAATAGACATATACTGGCAATTTAATCTCTAGTCTATACCACATACAATCGAGAATACAGCAACAATAAGCAAGATTTAATCAAACAGGGGGTTGTCCAGCAATCAGACCAAAAAGTATAGACCAATCAATCGTATGGACGATGGCCTCACATTGTAGCATCAATCATTCATATCCAGAGCGCCGATCCCGAAGGAACGGAATAACAATCATATGACATATACAATCTATGAGTCACAGTACCCGGGAGCTTTGACGTCCGATCCATTGATCCAGTTGTTGAGTGTCAGGGCGGTCGTATACAAACAGCTAAGGACACCGAAAACGGAGAGTGCGATATCGGCAATCTGCTGTCGTCTCGATTGGGCACAGGCCTTAAGATGCAGCAAAGGCTAAGCACAAGTTAGTAACCATTTTGGCGGACCGAATTGAAGGTACTTAACAGGTTAACTCACCGGATATACATAAATCAAGGGGACACAGGCGAAACTTCCGACAAGCGAAACAAACTTGTCCAAGTCTTCTGCTCCGCCCCAGGCAATGAATGCACAGATCATGACAAGGAAGAAACGGAAGCAATTCTTCTTCCACTTGATACTGGGATTGTACTTTCCGCTGCGAGTGAAAAGCTCATTCTCCAAAATTCGAATGGCCGGGAAAAGCTGCAGTGGGGTACTGAGAAGAATCGCGAGAGAGTACAAGAACTGCACGGCATTTACAAACTTGTCATCCTGAGGCATGTTGAGGATGACTACCGTCTTCGTTGCGGATCCATATGCCGCATAGCTAAATGCACCAGCGCTGAGGAAGATGACCGTGATTATGACCATCACCATTGCCAGAACACCGGGAAACTTTTGCGGGTGCTTCATTGATTCCTGGATTGGGATGATCAAACCAATTCCCTCATACGTGAAAATAGCCGTGCCGATGAAAAGTGTCCAGGTGGATGGGTTGAAGGAGATGATATCCGAAACACCTCCTTGGTTCGAGATAGTCAAGAAATCATAATAGAAGAGGTAAACCAGCCCCAGCATGATAAACAGATCTGCAATGAGAGCAGTGAACCCGAGCTTGCTGATATCGCGGATCAATGAGAGAGGGAGGAAGATGACCAGCTGCAGCAACACCATGAACTTGATGTCAATGAAAGATTTGCATTTGCTGACAGCCAGAACGAAGGCTTGTAAATTCTCGGCCGTGAAAACAATATATGCCGACACGAAACCCAATTGACTCAACACAATGGATCCAAGGATGATGCGCCTCATATGCTTTCCATAGAGCGCACCACCAATGTCACCAAAGGAACCATCGATCTTCAGCCGCGTATTAACCAGAAGGATGAAGCAGTAAAAGCTGAGTAGTGATACGCCAAGAAGTACCATACTACTGAACAGCATGCCACCATTCAAGAAAGCTCTTGGCAAGAACAAAACTCCTGTGCCAACGAAAGACTTGAGTAGAAGTAATGCTGCTCCGGTCCTCGTGTTGGTTCCCGTCCCACCGCGTGGCTTGCGCTTCCTCCGGCCAGCTGTGTCTGGCCTGAGGAGGGCTGAATCTTCACCTGGTTCTCTGCCTTCTGCTTCGTCATAAGTATCCGATGAGAAATACTCATCGGGGCCCAGGACCTCGTCATCCTCTTCGAGCTCTTCACCAGCAAAGTGACCGTATAGAGTCAGGAATTCCAAAAAGCTGCTTGTTGGAAGCTGTGGCTGGGCAGCAGAAGCCTGCGCACCCGAGCCATCCAGATCTCCAGGAAGGTTAGGGCCTACTGCCCGTCTTAGATAGTCCCTTCTGAAACCTCCTGGGACACGGATACTGTTGATGTTCGTTGTTTCATCCTCAGGTGCAGGTCGAGCATGACTGAAGCTCCTGCTCCGGTTCGGTTTCCGCAAAGAGCTTCCAGCTTCTGCATCCTCAGCCCATCTGTATACCTGTCTCGTGATATCACCACCCTGGAGTTGCAGACTAGAGAACTCATCCTCGGCGTTACTTTGGGCGCCGCCAGACGAGTGGATATCCCGATTCTCGACCACATTCTGGGGTTGCACCAAATGCCTCTTGACAACTTCGGGATCCTCGTATGGACCTGCTGAGTATATTGAACCCTCTCTCCCAGCCTTATTATCAAAGGAACCGTAATTCGACCTGACAGGCTGGTTCAGGAGGGCAGGCGAAGCAGTCCGCCTCGGAGGGGTACCTGCTCTCGGAGGAGGAGATCGGCCGAGGTAATCCTGGAGCGCAGATGCAATCATGGATTGTCCGGGGCCGGGTAAGGATGATGGATTGTCGACTCTCCGAAGGTCTTGGTTGGTTGCCGCGGTTGGTTGAATCGGCAGCGGTACCTGTCTTGACGAATAGGAGTTCGAGGGAGAAGGAATTGGTGATGCTAACCGGGCTATCGAAGCATGCCTATAAGAAGAAGAAACATCTCCTGCAGGCGATCCCGAGCGCATCGCGGACGTGGAGATCGGCGACGATGAACGGTTACGCTGAGAGGATGAGCCCTCACCGTTGTCGGACATCCTGGAGGATGACATGTTGACAAGAAGCAAGATTGAATTTTCTCGGGGTACGAGAATTTGTTAATACCGAAAACAATTGGTTCTATTTGAGTTTTCGGAGGCGAACCAGGATCATGGGGGAATGGCTACGGAGTAGGAAGGGCTGATAAGAGCGGAGGAGGAGAGTTGAGAGGATCGATAATGCGAGAGGCGCAAGTCGTTCACCGCAATGTATGCGGAGAGACTAGGCTTCCTGTTGTTTCCACGCACCCCAAAACACCCCGCGCCTTGTCGACCATGACAATCGTGAACAAAGGTGAAGACGGGCCAACAAAGAAACGATAGAAGTGATGGAGAGACGAGGATGAGATAAGGGAGATCAGATGAGGCAGACTGCGAGACCCAGTGACCACTTTTGCATTGTTTGTTTATCGCTCGGCACATGAGGTCATCGCCGACGATCTGAACTCGGATTTCGCGTCTCCAATATCCTTTCTTCGTTACACGGTAACTCAACGTGCATGGCCCTGAGAGGTCCTTGCTGGTTTGCATCACGGTAGCTCTTACTGTGCTTGCAGGCAAATTACTCCTAACCCGGCCTTAGCACCATCTCATCGTCCTTGTGCCTCCGATTCGTCCGCTTCTCATTCGTGTCATTGCTGTATGAGGGAAGAGAAAGGCTCCTACAACCAGGAGCTGAGGCCCTATAATCCATGACTGACGGACGGACTGACAGTGCCTCGGAGTCCCTGTCCCGAAGGAGACCCAATTTCTCCACGCGGGCGGCTGAAGAAGACGTTTCTAGGCTGGATCCGAGCGAATCTGCCAATGCATCCCCCGAGGAAAGTAGCAAGTTCCTCCACGGGAGGATGACTTCCTCCTCTCATTTGCAAGAGCCTTCGCAATTCCACCGCTCATTTCAATCCCAACAGAACGTCATAGATAATGTTGCTCGTTGGTGGAGTGGGCGGGAGTGTGACGGAAAGCATGAGCTTTCTAGGGAGAGAATCGATTTCAATCGCTCACCCCCCGGGCCCTTCAGAGAGGGTCAGAAGGAGAGAGATGGCCAGAAAGACCGTACGCTTGACAATCCTGATAAGCTTGGAACGTTCTCTGGCGTCTTTGTGCCGACTACCTTGAACGTTCTCAGTATCCTGATGTTCCTTCGCTTTGGCTTCATCCTAGGTCAAGCCGGTTTATTAGGAATGTTAGGTATGGCAGCCTTCTATCATTACCCGTATTATTCTATTGGAGCCTGACACGCACTAGGTTTACTGGTCGCTTCGTACACGATCAATCTCGTAACGACTATGTCTCTATCCGCTATTGCAACCAACGGAACAGTTCGGGGAGGTGGAGCATACTATCTTATATCTCGATCACTAGGTCCTGAGTTTGGTGGGTCTATAGGGATAGTGTTCTACCTGGGATATGTGTTGAATACCGGTATGAATGCCGTCGGTCTTGTTGACTGTTTCACACAGAACTTCGGGTCTGAGTCTGGTACCTGGGGCAATTTCCTTAGAGAAGGCTTCTGGTGGCAATACCTCTGGGGAACTGTCATCCTCATCATGTGTACCGCGATATGCTTAGCGGGAAGTTCTATATTCTCCAGAGCTAGCAACGGGTTGCTTATCATTCTCCTCATTGCGACTTTCAGCATACCAGTCTCTGCCGTATTCATGAAGCCATTCAGCATCCCAAAGGTTGGGGTAGAATTCACAGGATTGCGGCTTCAGACGCTGCTAGAAAATCTCAAACCAAAGCTTACCAAAGGCGCTGCTGGCAGCCAAATACGTGGACGGGAGAACTTCCAGGACCTATTCGGGATCCTGTTCCCTGCTACTGGTGGTATATTCGCGTAGGTACGTTCCCTAGGTCTTAAGAACACCAAGCTCACGTACCAACAGCGGCGCGAGCATGTCTGGTGACCTTAAGAACCCCAGCAGATCGATTCCAAAGGGAACTTTGTGTGGTCTAGTCTTGACATTCATCACCTATGCTATCGTAATTCTCGCCATGGCTGCTTCGATCACCCGGGAATCGTTCTACAAGAATGCCAACGTTGTTCAAGTGGTATGTAATGGTTGCCTGAGTTGAACGGCGTGCGTCGCTCACCAAGTACAGGCAAACCTTTCTGGGTCAGTTATACTTATGGGAGAATTCGCGACAAGCTTTTTTTCTGCGCTTATGGGAGTTATTGGCTCAGCAAAGCTGCTCCAAGCGGTTGCGCGAGACGGCTTGCTTCCTGGCCTAAGTTTCTTTGGCAAGGGTACCAGGAAGACCGATGAGCCCGTGAACGCAATCATCTTCACTTACATGGTTGCACAGCTCACCATGCTTTTTGACATCAACCAAATTGCATCCTTCGTTACGATGACTTATTTAATGACCTTTCTGGTGACGAACCTGGCCTGTTTCCTCCTAAAGATCGGGTCTGCCCCCAACTTTCGCCCGTCTTTCCACTACTTCAACTGGAAAACCGCAGCGACCGGCACCTTGGTATGCGGCGCAAGCATGTTCTTCGTCGACGGGATCTATGCCACAGGCTGCGTGGGCGTACTGATGATGCTATTCCTGCTAATTCACTACACCTCGCCTCCTAAGTCCTGGGGTGATGTCAGCCAGAGTCTGATCTACCATCAAGTGCGAAAATATCTGCTTCGGCTCCGCCAGGAGCATGTAAAGTTCTGGCGACCCCAGATACTACTGTTTGTCAACGATCTCAGCGAACAGTCTAAGATGATCTCGTTTTGTAACTCGCTGAAGAAAGGAGGGTTGTTTGTGCTGGGCCATGTGCTCGTAACAGATGACTTCACCACCGCTGTGCCAGAGGCACGGCGTCAGCAGACTGCATGGACCAAGTTCGTAGAGAGCTCCCGAGTGAAGGCCTTTGTCAACATTACGGTCTCTCCTACCGCCGAATGGGGTGTCCGCAATGTCACACTAAGTGCTGGCCTGGGAGGTATGAGGCCGAACATAGTTGTCATTGATCAATTCCGCGAAGGCAAATCGTTGGTTGAGAGGCCATCTCTTTCGAGTCGGAGAGAATCGGGTGGAAGACGTATATCTCGCGAACTGGTGCCTGTGATAGCGGAAGATGGCTCGCAGGAGCTACCAATGTCAACCAAGACATATGTGACCATCCTAGAGGATTTGCTCTTCAAGCTGCGGATGAATGTTGCTGTGGCCAAGGGATTTGAGGATCTGGAGCTTCCTGGACCACACGGACAGCACAGAAAGAAGTACATTGACCTCTGGCCGATTCAGATGAGCGCAGAGCTCGGTGCAGACAGTGAGAGCAAGAAGAATGTTTTGACCACGAACTTTGACACCTACACCCTCATCTTACAGTTAGGGTGTATCCTAAACACTGTACCGTCGTGGAAAAAGACGTACAAGCTCCGAGTGGCTGTTTTCGTTGAGTATGAAACCGACGTCGAGGACGAGAGAGGAAGGGTCGAAGCGCTTCTTGAGAAGCTAAGGATAGAGGCCGAGGTTTTGGTTTTCTGGCTGGCATGCGGCGACCTTAAAACCTACCGTATCATCGTCAACGGCGACATATCGCCGGAGACCGAGGATGCCGAACCTCGAGTCCATGAAGCTTTACGGAACGAAGAATGGTGGCAGGATATCCAGAAGTCTAGGAGTGAGCATGAAGCTCAACAGCAAGCTGAACTGGGTGCTATCCGAAGGGCAGATGAGCGGGTGCCTAGTTGGCCCATGCAAAGCCCCGAAAGTGTACATAAGCCACTACAACCCCTGGCTGGTGGGCTGAGGAGATTGGTAGAGTCCTCCAAGCGCCGGCGATCCATTTCGAGCTTCAGAGGGCTGGGAAGTGTAAGCCTAGGCATGCAAACCCATCGCTTGCTCGATGCTTTTGTCGACTACGACAGCAGCGAGAGCAGCACAGGTGAGAGCAGTGACGAAGGAGAGTTTCCGCCTTACCTGGATGAGGAGGATGTGGACGAAGAAAACGGCCAGGATGCCGAACACAGGATCCAGGGTCCTCAATCAGAACCGGAAGGATCTTCTAAGGCGAAACAGAAGGTTATCGAAGAGGTTGCGCCGGACCAGGCAGTTCCGTCAATTATCATGACGTGTGACGATGGGACATCCCCGAAGACCCAGTCAAGTCCATCCCGGCCAAAATTCACCCGTTCGCCGTCCAGCAGCCGCTTCAGCTCATCACCAATTCCTGAAGCTCGTGTCAACGCAGAGGAGGGCGCGGGCCCTTCAATCATGTTCGCCCCTAGTGCATCTCCTCCACGCACATCTAACCGGGTTGAGTCCATCTACACACGACGCTCATCTTCAGGGCCGTCTGTCCTCAAAACTGCGTCTGGATATCCGCGACAGGCATCAGTCCCCTTATCATTCAATGATCTCCCTAGTCGGGCGCAACACCTGATCTTGAATGAACTGATGAACAAGCACAGTGGTGATACAGCTGTTCTATTCACAACATTACCCTCGCCGTCCGAAGGGACTGCACAGAGCGAGGCAGCAAGTGCCTCGTACCTGAGTGACTTGACGGTCTTCTGGCAAGGTCTGCCGCCATGTCTGCTGGTTCATAGCAACAGCATGACAGTGACGATGAATCTCTAGTGTAAGGGCATGAACATGAAAGGGGAGCAAGGCATTGCACATTCTCGCTAAACCATAGTATATACGACTACTGGTACATTGACTGTTGATAGCATATGCATATGTTAATAACTGTTTGGAGATATTATCATTCTCCACAAATATGACCAAACTACTATCATATTGCCCAGCCAAGTAGTACTAACAGACTTCAATAGCCGATGGGTTGACCCACCCCAACTGTCACCCACCAGGATCTTGCCAGTGCAACTTTTACAAGGATACCAGGAAACGAGCTCCCCCCTTATCTTTCCAGTTGGCTCACTCCTTGGTTCCATCCTTTTTCAGCAAGACTCGCGTTGATTCAACCGCGGTGTACACCATCTTCTGACTGTTTCCCAAACCAACAGAATAATGTATGTATATTCTAAAGCTAAAACAACCAGGAATGTAGCATGATGTAATGTATACAGAAAAGAAATGTCCATTGGAACAAACAGGTACACATCCCATAGTGCCGACAGTAGTGGTTTTCCAGTCTAAGTATAACTGAAGAAGCCATTTCCGGATTTGACACCCAAGTCACCCCGATCGATCATCTCCCGTAGGTACTTGCGCGGCGCATTGGGGATCCCCATTCTCACCTTGGCATAATGTTCCTCGACGGCGAGAATCACGTCCAATCCAGCAATGTCCATCAGCTCGCAGGGCCCTCGGGGTGTTTTCAGCACACACTTGTAGATTTGGTCCACCTCCTCGGGCGTGGCAATGCCCTCTTCTAAGACCAGGAGGGTCTCTCGTTTGATGGCGGCCCAGATGCTATACATGATTAGCATGTATACTCGTGTTCCATATGACGTGGTTGGCGAGATACCGGTTGAAGGTGTAGCCTGTGGAGGATTTGCGGACGTGGAAGGGTTGGAATCCATGGTCTTGGGTTTCCTTCATAAGCAGAGGTATGATGTCGGGTCGGGTTTGGCTGGAGCCCATAATTTCGATTGCTGAGGGATGGTTGATTAGCACATTGAAAAAGCTCTTCATGGTTGGAGTAGGCTTGGACTTCGTTACCTGTTGTCTCGGGTGGCCAGACTTGGAAAGATAATAGTTAGTATAGCTGCTCGTGGGGCAAGTTATTGATAGGTATTGGACTTACAGGAATGCAGGTTGACGAAACGATCATCTGCCTTAAGCGACAGTCCATTGCAGATATCAGTAATGGAATAACTGCTCGAGTTTGATGCGATGATTGTCTGGGAGTGCGATCTACTGTCGAGCTCCAGCATCACGGACCGCTTGTATTCCAGGTCCTCTGGGACACACTGACGGGATTTAGCTAGGGTACATCAGTGCTCGGTGGCCTTTCCCTACCTCAATAGCAAGCCAGGAGTCGCGAAGCGCTGGGTCCAGATCGTCGACAGTGAGGCTGGTTATTTTGCCTTCCTTGCCAGCTGGATTGGAGGCTCTCAGCCTTTGTATGGTGGCTAATGCCAGGTTTAGCTGGGCCGGGCTTTGGTCGACAAGGTAGACTGGTCTCCCTTGGCGCGACCACTGTTTCCGATACTAGTTAAACCAGAGCTCCGATTTAGAGTCAGAGAATCAAACATACCATGTATGCAAGGCGCGAGCCTTGAGTGCCTGCACCGAGCAGAGTAACAGCGTTGAAGAGTTTAGACATTTGGCGACTTGACTTTAATTGACTTCAGTTATCCTGCGATTCAATTTTGACGCTTATAGCTGCAAGCAATCCCTAGTTTATATAGACAGAGATACCTATCGTCAAATACTAAGGATTTGTCGAAGTTTTAATTGGTTTTCTGATGTCAGGGCCATTTTTGACCGTTCGTTCCTGTTAATACCCTGATCTGTACAACAGCACAGGTTTGGTTGATGACTTACTTGTTTTCGAGTAGATATTTCTTGCTCCTTTCAGGAACTGGCTTTGACCAAGGGGTGTTACCGCAATGTCTTTTGATCTTGCCTCCCAAACCTGTAGTCCTTTTCTTCATGGTAATTTGGTGAGCAACCCATAAATGATCGATTGATTGACTCAGAGTTTAGCGCTTACCATTCGAAGCCGCGGCATTTACGCTGAGTGACTAGCAAATTGACACTTTCGGTGGCAATTTGCCGAATTTAGTTTGTTACATCTAATCGTGGTCTAATTGAAGAACATTCCCAGTGAACGGGGTATGAGGCCGGTGGCTGGGTTCCTGGCTGACAGTCTGCGTTTTGCTTGGTCAGGTCCTTGTATATTTCCGGGGAAGGGAACGTGAAATGTCAGAGCAAGGAAGTATAAAGTCTATCGGGATGATGTAAACATGTAATAGATAGGTTCAGCCGATATTGATCAGCTCTTTCTCGGCTTGGAACCTAGAAACTATAAGTCCGATGGCGAACGATATGTCTCTCCTCTGCTTCCAGCTAATATTCTGAAAACTGGCAAATCTTCGAACAGAAGTCGAACGGATTTGCATGGCTAACGGCACAACACTAATAATCTTCTCGAGAAACTTATCACGACCTTGCAGTCTCAAATGGCCAAGAATCATGATGCAGTGGTTGTCAGGCCCCTACGACATAGGGATCCTACCATGCCATGCGACGATCTTGCCAACTCTTCAGACGAAGATCGCGACCCTTTACTAGACGAGCTTGATACTCATATGCTACCAAGCTCCGCATCGAATGGGCTGAGAACTCTGAATCTACCGGGAGTAGTTGACGATTAGAGGATCCGGATTGGGAGTACTTTGTTCGTCGTTCGAATGTCATTGAAATAACATTGTTCCTGGAAACGTTAAACGCGAGAGCGCTATTGTTTGTTTGACGCTTATATTGTATAGTCTTTTTAAGTTCTCGCCTAGACATGAAGTTTGTAGTGACTCGTAGCCGGTACTATATATTGATGGCTAGCCAACAGTCACAACAGGCAGGGAGAATAATTGAAACAAGGAGATCAAGTCGGATCATGCTGACGACCAATGTAGATGAAAAAGGTTAATCTTGTGCGGCCATATGTGGTTCAGATTGAAAGTGCATAGAAGCCCAGCATGTCGCACGAGGAGCGAATGGCATGTGCTGGGCCAGTTTGCAACGGCAGTCTGGCTGTGGCACCATTTGCACCTGGAATCATCTGACTGGCATTCATTACATACTACCGTTCCCCTGTCCTGGTGCAACACAGTAAAGGGACTAACACCCTCATGTCCAATACAAGACTATCATAAGTTGCTGTCCCATTTCCATGCCATTTGGGAATAATTAATATAAATGATTCCAAGCATTGTCAGCTTAGCTGCCTGCAATGGCTACAAGAGTGGTTTTGATGGATACAGTATTGACCATGAAAATTAACCTACATCAAGACCACACTGTCTGAAAGACGAGCGTCCCAGAGCTTGCTTAAAGCGACAGAATTCTCCCTAAACCTTGGGTTGATAAAGCAAGGATGCCCGCCAGAGAATAGCTATAATGTTAAATCGGAAGTGAGAGATGCATCAGAGGAACAGTTGACACCAGACAATGTCAGCCCAACCCAGGTGGCCTTTAGCAAATGTGTAGGCATCGATTGTTGCAGTGAGTGGCCATCCACAGCCGGACTCATACTATTTTTACCAAGTCGATATGCCGTGGAAGGTTCGGACTGACGTGTTTGTCCGCGAGACAGAGAGACTATTTGAAACAGATATACTCCGGAAGCCGTCTCCGACCAGGCCCGGTCTTATGACTACTGCAATTATCCAGTCAGAGTTCACACGCGGGAGATTAGACGGACTATATTCTCGGCTGTATGGGAGAACTTGCCAGCCCAGGCGAAACCGGTTGCAAAGGGCCTCCTGCCCGGTATATCCGGCCAATGTAGCATCAAGGTAGCAATAAGTGGATACTCCATGCTTTGGGCTAGATAGCTACGGCATACCTACGCACCGACCTCTAGAGGATTGCATTTCGATGACGCCGTGCTACTCCTCCGTGCCTTGCTACAAAAGCTGGGAGGAGAGAAAGGTGGATTTGCTTGTTCGGGGGAAGGGGGGAAGAGCACGAAGAGGGCAGCAGGTTGGCAGCGAGGGTAATCAGACTCAGGGCTACCGTGTAGAATCTAGACCACGAAGTAATGGGCGCTGCAAGGCAAAAGGATTAAACGCAGACCAGAAGAAGCAATTGTCAGATGGCCGCCCGTCGAAACGGTGACTAATGCACAATTGGGGTCCGCTGATTGGCTGCCACCCCAGCTTCCCCTTCTAGCATCCATCGATCCCTGCCTCGCGCTGGCCGATCAACTGCCCCGGCGATTCGTGTTCTCATTCTCTCGTGCTTCTCGTTCGGTTTTCACGCATGCTGACTTGGGCGCCTTTTTGCGGCCCTTTTTTCTCTCATTAATTCTTCCCCCCCGCGACTTCTAGTCTCTCTCTCCTCGCCATGCTCACCGTCCAAATCTCCTAACGCTTAGCCTTCCCGACCTTCAGCCCCCCGGAATCCATCGCAACCCCCTAAGTTACGTATCCTTCCCATTCGCTTCAGTAATGCACCACGGGCGAGTACGTCGCAAGAACGGCAGTCTCAGAGCCTCCAAAGCTGGCCAGCGTCGCAACATGTCCCATTTGATACCCGATAATGCCCCTCCACCTCAATCCAAAACCGTCACCGTTAGCGACGATAGTCCTGATACCTCCGACGCCGCCTCGAACACTTCAGCGACCACCGTTATCACCAATACCTCCAGCGTCCCTGCCACCTCTCCCACTAACGGGGTTGATCCCGTGAAGAAAGCTATGGCCCGCAAGGCTTCGTCGCCGATGGCGCCCCCTTTCATGGTGTCCGCGCCGGGCAAGGTCATCGTCTTCGGTGAACATGCCGTCGTGCACGGCAAGGCTGCCATGGCCGCCGCAATCTCCCTCCGCTCCTACTTCCTCGTAACCACTCTGTCGAAATCACAGCGCACCATTACCTTGAACCTCCGGGACATGGATTTCAACCACACCTGGAACATTGACGATCTGCCCTGGGATTTCTTCAAACAACCCTCCAAGAAGAAGTACTATTACGACCTAGTAACTAGCCTCGACGAAGAATTGTACGACTCTCTGAAACCATGTGTTGAAGATATATCGCCCAAGGCGCCCGAGGAGATACGGAAGAAACACAAAGGGTCGGCGCTGGCGTTCCTGTACCTATTTTGCTCCTTGGGCTCACCCCAGCACCCAGGAGCTATATATACTTTGCGCTCGACCATCCCCATGGGTGCAGGTCTTGGAAGCAGCGCCAGTGTCTGCACTTGTTTCAGTGCTGCATTGTTACTTCAGATCCGTACTCTAGCAGGCCCACATGATGATCAGCCCCCGGATGAAGCGGAGTTACAGATCGAGCGTATCAACCGGTGGGCTTTTGTCGGAGAATTATGTATACACGGAAACCCAAGTGGTGTGGACAACACGGTCTCTACTGGCGGCAAGGCCGTAATTTTCAGGAGAGAGGACTACTCGAAGCCCCCGAAAGTTATACCGCTACCTAATTTCCCTGAATTACCGCTCTTGCTTGTTGACACACGACAGAGCCGCTCGACGGCGGTCGAAGTTGCCAAAGTTGGGAAGCTCAAGAAGGAACACCCACTCGTCACCGAATCGATCCTTGATGCCATTGATAAGGTGACTGTGTCCGCTCAGAGTGCGATCCAGGGGGTGGAGGGTGATAGTATCGATAAGGAGACTCTCGAACATATCGGAACGCTGGTTCGTGTCAACCACGGTTTCCTAGTTTCCCTGGGGGTATCTCATCCGCGACTGGAGCGAATCCGGGAACTGGTCGACTTTGCCAATATTGGTTGGACAAAGTTGACTGGTGCGGGCGGCGGTGGTTGTGCGATCACACTCCTGCGCCCAGATGCCAGTGTGGACGCGCTCCGTGAGCTGGAGCGCAAACTCGCTGCAGAGAATTTCTCCAAGTATGAGACAACCTTGGGTGGAGACGGTATTGGAGTCCTCTGGCCAGCGGTGCTGCACAACGGCACTGATGAAGAGGGCGGCGAAGAGATCGACCAGCAGAAGTTTGAAAATGCCGACGGACCCGAAGGCATCGAGCGCCTTGTTGGCGTCGGCGTTCAAGAACGTCGGGAAGGCTGGAAATTCTGGAAACGAGCTGTCTGAACTCGACTTTCCCTCACCCTCTCTCATTTCATCGGAACTCTTTACGATCATTTCCCCTTACGTCCGAGCTTGGTGTTAGGGCATTGCACGATTGCATATTCTATTTGTTTAATCGACTTTCAATTCCCCTTTTTCTTCTGTTGTCATGGCTTCACTATACTTACTATTCTCTTCCCTTCTGTGTATAATAATTCTTTCCAGATTCTTCGACACGCCTCTTATCTAACTACGGAATATATTCCTTATCATACACATTTTATTGACCCCCCTTTTCTTTTCTTTTCTTTCAATCTTTCTTCAAATGATGCGTCAGGGACCCAGGCTTCAGTGAACAACTTATCTCATGCTTTATGTTGTATCTAAGTAATCCAGCGATGCCAGTGTCAAGTCAAGAAGTGTATTCAGCCCCTCTTATGTGTATACTTGAACTTCAAGTATCTGGCACTGAAAATAACAATATTACTAATGTACTACTACCAATATCATAGAACGCTAAATATACACTCCCAGCGATATGAACAAAGCACAGAAGAAAGGACGTATATCCTTTTCACGTTCATCATCAATTACAGTACCAGGCTGGTACTTGGACAAACAAACACAAGAAAGAGGTTAAAGATAGTGGTCCCATTCTATGATTACCCCATTGTAGTCTCCCAGCCCTTTTCTATCATCACATCCATCCAATAGACGCCCGGCTCCCCGGCGTCCATACGCCGCCAAACCTCCCGCACCAGCTGCAGACAGACACTAATGGGCTTGGGAGGGAGCACGTGAAGATACGAGGTGAGGCGGCCAAGGATGAACCGACGACTTTGCGAGACGTCAATGGCATGGGAGGAGATACTTGGGCCGTTGCTGCTATCGAGAGTGGCGTCAAGTGGGGGCAGACGGGGCAGACGAAGCTCGCTACTCGAGGCTACGAGGAGGAAGGGCTGGAGACATCGGGTGCGGGACTCAAGGGGGATGGTCTTTAGGCGGGAGAGAGTTGTGAGGGTAAATTCGGTCAGCCAGGCGTCGTAGTAAGAGTCGGAGTCGGAGCCTGAATGTGCGGTGGTTGATGTTGTTGTTGGATCGGCGGAGTCGGTGGGTTTTGCGGGCGGACATGAAGGGTCGCAGTACCAGGGTGTACTACTGCCCACTGGAGAGGAGAGGAACGGATCTTGCATGGTTGGTTCTGGAGCTTGCGGGTTTGGGGAAGGTCGTTGTGTGGGTAGTCGTCGGCGAAGAAGATCGGGAAAGACCCGGTATAATTGCATTAGACCGGTACAGCGGTATACTTCGGCCATTGTGAGAAGATGCCAGACTGGGGTTTCGTCGTCGCCTGGGCTGATGATTTCAGCTTCAGCTGGGTGCGCCAGACTCAAAAGTCGCTCTTCTAGCTCTGTTGCTTTTGCCATGGCGCGCTGGGCGCGTGCAATGTCTGAGTGTGAGGTAAAGCAGCGGGAGCGAATTCGTTTGCGCTCCCTACGTATAAGCCTTCCTACTTCTTGGACGGTATGCTGGGTGTCGCGGGCTATGCCGGTCCATGGATGGGGAACGCGTTGTAGGACGAGCGATTCACCTGTTGCGGCGGCTGCGGAGCCTGGCAACACCGCCGAGTCATCCGCCACAAAGGATAGGAGCATTTCCCAGTAGACCAAAGCTTCTTCAAAAAATTGATGGTTATTGCTACGGCCTGGAATTGGTGGTCCGGCGTGCTTGGTGTCCAGATGATTTCGCAGCAGGTTGAAGAAGGAAATGCCAAGGTCCTTGGGGTCGTGCCAGCTGGCTGTTTGACCAAGCATCAAGAGAGCTAGGAGTGACTTGTCGTCCAGGGCAGACTCCTTTGTGATGATATCGACTGCCTCGTCACGCATTTTCCGGCCTAACGGGCCGAATTGAGGGAAGTCGTGGACGAGTGTTGCAGCAGCCATGCTCTGCATGGTCCGACACATGGCCAACGACGAGCCCCATAGTCGGGATACTGTCGACCGGAATGGGTTCATCTGACTGTCATAGCTTGAAAACAAGGCCGCTACCTCTTTGAAGTAGTACTCCACGAGTGTCCACGAAGGATTGTTGAGGGGCTGCGGGATCGATGTGAAGTCCCGCTGTGCTGGCCTTGAGCCAGGTGGAGGGTAGTGGCGTACAATAGTAGAAGGTGAAAAGCCAGGAAAGATGTGAGGCTCATCTTGTAGAATCGGTGCGGCCAAAGAGAACAACCCGAACGGATCATCTGCATTAGTTCCCGGTGATTCGAAGTTCAATGCTGGGTTATTTTGGCTAGCTGTTGATGCCGATGCTGGAGAATGGAGGTCTGCCAGTTCCGGTAGTGAGCCTGACTGCTGTAAGTCCCATAAGTTGTCACATATACCGCCTGGTCCGCCTAGTTCAAGACCTCGAGGATTGGCCGGGCCGTCGGAAGTGGTAAAGTTGAGGCTGTCACCATCCGTGGCCAAAGACTGAGTCAGCGGGTCAACATAGTCGGCAGCGCTGGTAGTCAGATTTTTGGGATCGGAACTTTGATTCGGGATAGTGTTAGAATCACTGGGAATATCCCCAGCGGGATCTTTGTTCGGCTCCCCGTGGGCCTGCGGCGGATACTTGGTGACCCAACGCAGAGACTGGACATATCCAGGGCAATTGACACCCAGGCGGGTGCATCGACTACAATGAGGTCGTTCTTCCCCGCATTTTACCTATTAATAGGCGAAGCATCAAAATTAATGTTTGGGGCCACATGGGGCGGGACTATGTAGCCACCGCGCAAAGGATACTAAACTCACTCGTTTGCTCTTGCACCGAGCACATCCATTACGAGACTTTTTGACACGACGCATTATCGGTCCGAGGTGGGCTCATGGTAAGTTGAGGATAAAGAAAGCGAACAGGTGGACATGGCAGAGGATGAGGAGACGATGGCCATGTCAAGTTGGAGAATGCGGGGGACATTTTGCCTGGCCTTATCGCGGGCCAATGACCATCGTAGGGGACTTTTTGTCCTCTTCGGGAAGCGCACGTTGCCTTCATGCATCATCGTGGACAATAACTGGACTTTCTGGATTGGCTGCTTCAAAATGCGCTGGTGACCGCCACTGGTAGTGGCTCTGAAAAGGACCCGGGTCAAGTAGTGGTTGCTTCCCCAGATGAACATGAAGCAAATGGCGATGAAGGGTGGAGGAAAACAATGGCAGACAGGCCAGAACAATCACCCAAAATGGCTGGCCGCCTTGATATTGTTCTGTTGGTGCCTGAGGCAATAATACCCCACCCGCACGGAGAGGCACTCATTTTGGCGCATATCAATCCATCCACTGGAATATCTTCACCGTTTTGTTGTATCGCGCAGTCCTCTTTGCACGTTGGAAAGTAACTCCGACACCCAATAGCATATAGACTGTTTACTGCAGACTCAACTTGCTTCGTGTGTGAGCAAGTATACGTACTCAAGCTTGGCCTTTGGTGCCCCGGATTTTACCGGACGTCATTCACTGCCCCGTCGGGATATCGGACAAGGATCTAATTTGGATTGTCCCAGAGACATCAGGGTGCAAGCTGGTTGAAACTTCAGCTCACCTATATATTAAATCGAGGGTCTCCTTGGTTGTGTATAGCGTGAACCATCGTACCCCTGACCAGCTGTTTAAAGTGTTTACTAGCCGCTATATCTAGAAAGTACTTACTTTCAAGTTGAAACATGGAAGGAAAATACGCGTCTGATACCGAATGGGCTTCCATACAGCCAATTCCTCTGAATGATGGCTCCGATTCAGGAGCCCAGCCATTGGCTACCATTGCCTATCCTTCGCATTATCTCGAGGCCACATCGTATCTGCGAGCGGTCATGGCGGCCAACGAAATGTCGGAAAGGGCACTGAAGTTGACTGAAGACATTATTTCGATGAATCCGGCACACTATACCGTATGGTAAGCTTGTCTTGTTCGACCCGCGTATGATACTATTGGGACAGGCAGCTAACTAGGACTATCAGGATTTACCGAGCTAAGATCCTCTTTGCTTTGGGCAAAGACCTCAAAGACGAGCTGGAATGGCTCAACGGCGTCTCACTCAAGTATCTGAAAAATTATCAGATATGGTATGGCAAACTGTCCCTTTCATCCCATTCTATATTGGCGCATCTAACTTTCACCAGGCACCATCGTCAAGTTCTCATGTCACGCACAGACTACTTCCCGAGCCCACCAGCTAAGGAGCCAGACTTCCTTATGGAAATGTTTGCACAAGACTCCAAGAACTACCATGTTTGGACCTACCGTCACTGGTACGTCCGCCACTTCAAGCTCTGGGATGCCCCGCGGGAAATCCAGGACGTGGAGGCCCTCATTGCATCGGATGTCCGCAACAACTCCGCCTGGAACCACCGCTTCATGCTCCGGTTTGGCCCGCGCGATAACGAGCCAGATGCTGGGATGCCCAATAGCGGCGGAGACCCTTCGGAGAAGGGCCGACTAGCCGTTGTTGATGAAGACGTCGTCGACGCTGAGCTGCAGTACGCTAAATCCAAGATTGTCCGGGCGCCCGAGAACCGCAGCCCGTGGTCATATGCACGGGGAGTATTGCGTGCCGCGGGTCGGCCTCTTTCGGAATGGAAGGAATTTGCTGGCAAGTTCGTCGTCGATAAGGAAGATGGTAGTGTTGAGGTCAAGAGTAGCCATGCTGTAGAATGGCTGGCTGATGTATTCATTGCGGAAAGCGAGCCGGCATCGGAACAGGAAGCCGTCCGTATGCTTACCTTACTGAAGGAGAAGTATGATCCCGTTCGATCTAACTATTGGGATTATCGCATTCGGACGATTACCAGTACAGCCGTGCCTGCAACAGCATGAAAACCTTGTATATTGCTAGCGAGAAGTCTAGGATGGAGAATTAGCTGCTAGAGTGATTCTAAGGCTGTGATTCCAGATCATCAGAAAAAAGGTTCTGCTAATATTATATCATATATCAAACAAGCACGCTGTGTCGTACATCATTAACCTGTATAGTGAGACCCATGCAACCCAAATTTCCACAAGAAACAAACAAAACCAACAGATACACCATAACCCATTGAAGCATTAGCCATGAAATTCACAATCACTCAGATGCCCACCCATCAGCCAGCATCTTCCTCCATTCTGCCGCCATATCAATAGTAACATTGCTGCCACCGCAGACAATAATAACGACGCGACTGTCTGCATTCAAGTCCGGCACCAACTCCTTCAACTTAGACTGCATCCCCCCAGCAGAGGCCGACAGCGACAGCGAAGGAACCGGACCATCATCCTCATTCTCCCCAGCAGACAGCCGATCATCTCCATACCCTTCATCCTTACTCACATACCCAACATCCATGCCCCTCTTCCTCTTCTGACCCGCAGCCACCATCTTCGAAGAAGAAGATGATGAAGAAGCACAGCTAGACCCCCCAACCGCAGCCTCCACACAAACACCACAAGCCAACTCAACCAACAACCTCTCATCATCCACAAGCCTCATCACGCCCCTTGCGGCCTCCGCATCCGAAAACACCGCACTGTGCACCTTCACGCCCGGCGGCGGCTTCACCGCATACTGAAACGTTCTCTCAGAGACCTTAATAGCCCCCAACGACGTAGCCTGCGACGTGATCTTCGGCAACGAGATTAGTTCGTTACTCTCCAACGCTGTAGCTAGAGAATCCGTGCCCTTGGTCTCAACAGCCACAAGATGAACAGGCTTCGCCGCACCATCATCGGCAACCTTAGCCTTAGCCCTATGCCTCTCAATCCCCATAACCAACCCATTCAACAGCCCTCCACCACCGACACTACAAACAATAGCATCGACCGGCAACGCACGACCGGCATGAACTTTTTCCTCTTCCTCCCCGACAGGCGGCGGGACCTGGTCCACCAATTCATCAATGATAGTGCTGTTCCCTTGCCAGATAGGCTCATTGTCAAATGGATGTAGGGCAATCTTCACAACATCATCATCACTTTCTGCATCATTGTTGTCCTTATTATTCATCACAACATCCTTCATATACTGTCCCGCCTCCGAGAACGTCTCCCCGTACTGAATCACATCCGCTGCACCCGCATTGCGCAGCTTCTGCACCATCAGCGGCTTCGTCGACACAGGCACCACCACTGTGCAGGGGTATCCCAGGCTCCGGGCGGCACAGACGGCAGCTAAGCCGGCATTGCCGCCGGAGGAGGCGTAAAAGTGCACGGGACGGTGGTAGTTCTCGGGTTTGAGGAGGTGAGAGAGGATTTGATTGCCCATGGCGCGGGACTTGAAGGAGCCGCTGGGCTGGATGTTCTCGAGTTTCAGGAAGATTCTACATCCTGCGGCGCGGGAGAGGGTCGTGGATTCGATGAGGGGGGTTGGGGTCCAGGGGGTTTTGTAGGTTGGGGGGTTGGTTGGGGGGAGGATGCTGCCCATTGTGAGTGTGTTGGTATATCGATTTCCCTTCGGGGTGTGGTGATAGTGTTCAATTGGCGATGATGGTGATGATGATGATGATGATGGTTAGTACGACGGTAGTAGAGATGTTATAAAATAAAGTAGATGGTAGTAAGGAGGTGATATGATATGATATGATCTATCAGTTGTTGGGATGAGAAGATATTGTTTTGGATAGACAGTAAGAGAAGAGAAGGGAGGAGAGGAGAGGAGAGGGGACAAGATCAGGTATAAGATAATCAATGTATACTACAGTCAAACAGAGAAAGAAAACCCCTAGAATATGATACAAACCTCATATACTCCCGCCATGATATAGCGCTGAATCCCATAGTTCGTGATATACAACACGGACGCTTTCCGATATAGTCCGCCCAAGTTTGCCGCGGGAAACCCACCCCCAAGAGTTTCCCGTCCCGAGTCTATCTATCAGGAATTCGACCAACCCTTCGCCCAGTCGGCACCCTTTTCCCGTTGATAAACTCGCGCATATTCTGCTCCAGTTATCGCCATACCATGACATAACATAAACCTTCCCTCCACCCCTGCATGCGTATGAATGACGGTCTGGGACCCAGAGCCATCCATAACGCAGTCTCCATCAAGCAGCAAACGGAAAAGCCAAACCCGTTCTATTTCCACAGTCTCCTCCACCAGGCGGAGACCCGTGCTTAAATTGTGCGTGTTTTGGCTGACCGAACGTTCCAATCTGGTGACCGTGATTGGACCCCAGCCCATTCCTGTTATCAAATGGAAAGGACCGCCACATTAACTTTCCACGATAAGAGGGGGAAATAGGATACTCTTTTTAGCATCCACTCCGTAGTCTGCGTCGGAGCCGTACGTCGCCGCCGCATAGCTCCTTTTGGCCGGGTCCGTTCTGTCTACGTGGAACATGTCCAGAAGCTCGTTGGCCTTGGTGGGCATGACAGGCTGCAGGAGGATACCGGCCATTCGCAGTGATTCGGCGACATTGAAGATCGATCGCTGGCGGTCGTTCGGGCTCTTCCATGGTTCTGCGTGGTGGAAGTATTTGTTGGTCTGGGTGGTCCGGGTTAGAATAAGTCTGGAAATAATCACCGATCATAGGGTGGGTCTATCCTTATCCCTTACCTGATCGATTAAGGTAGTGATTTCTTGCAGGGCAGCACGGGGGTTCAGATTTTCCATTTGCTCTGCTATCCTCTTGGGTACATCCTTGAGCATTGTTTCGTACGCCTCATCGGCCGGAGTCGCTGGTGGAAGTCTGCCGCACGTGCCATTCTCGATGTAAGTCCTAAGATTACCCTTGGCACAGCCGATTGCCCGATGTGCAAGGTTTCCGAGCCCCTTCTGCAGTAGCTTCTGATAGTCGCGGATGATGTAAGCATTATCGTAGTCGGCGTCGCCCACCAATGCACCTTGGTGGATGAGGAAGAAACGCATGGAATCCACCCCGAAGCGGTTGATGGCAAAGAAGGGGTTCACCACATTACCCGTAGACTTCGACATCTTCTCACGGTTCATAGTCCAATGTCCATGAACGAGTACATTGCGGGGAAGAGGAAGGTCAAGAGCCATGAGGAATGCGGGCCAGTATACGCAGTGAAAGCTGTTGCTCAATTAGTCAAGGGTTCGCGTATATGGCAAGCTTGAAGGCGAATACGCACCGAACAATATCCTTACCGACGACATGCACATCCGCAGGCCAACCGAGGTGGCTTCCTTGGCCGGGTGCAAACGGGTAGCCTGCCTTGGTCAAGTAGTTGACAAGCGCATCTAGCCAGACATAGACGGTCTGTGTGTTGTCGCCGGGAACCGGAATACCCCAGGTCAGCCGCTCCGCAGGTCTAGAGATTGACAAGTCTTGAAGGCCTTCGGAAACAGATTTGACAACATTGGTTGTATACATCGTCGGGGTAATGAATCCAGTTTTGTATAGATCGAGCAAACGTTCCTGGAAAGCTGACAGACGGAAATGGTAGTTGGTTTCCGACGACCACTCCACCTCCTTTCCTGTCTCAATGGAGACCTGCCTGGGTAAGCTTCGATTGTTTTGGCAGATAGGTTGGCGTGCAGCTTACCATCTTGGTATGCCCAGTCTCGGGGTCCAGCGACTTTTGTACTTGCGTCTGAGGGTAGAATGTCTCATCGCTAACCGAGTACCAGCCTTCGTGCTTCGCGGTGTAAACGTATCCCCGGTGCTCCAACACTTCCTACTCACATGTCAGCCTCAGAGTCATGCGCCCGGGCGTATTTCCCAAGTACATACCCAAAAATACTGAACAGCTTCCTTGTGCGCAGGTTCAGTTGTCCGTATAAAGTAATTGTAGTCCATATTCGCAGCATTTGCTAGAGCCTAAGCTTAGGAGTTAGAATCGATTTCGCACCGGAGCACGACAGTATAGTGAATGCTGCCTACCTCAAACGTCTTGTAATTCATGTCGCAGAACGCCTGCGTATCCATCTCCGCAGCCAACGCGGCCTGCTGAATCTTTACAAAATCAGCCATACTGTGCTAGGCAGTGGTTATTGGCCCGTACCTTCATGCCATGTTCGTCCGTTCCCGTCAGCAATTGTGCGTCAGCGTCTCCGATGAGAGTCCGCCATCTCTTGATGACATCGGCAAGGACCATAGTATACAGATGACCGACATGAGGGGCTATATGAGTCAATGCGTTAGCGGCGAGCGAGAAAGCACAATAAAACATGGGACGAGGTCATACCAGCGTTGACATAGAAAATGGGTGTCGTGACATAGTATGGCTTCTTAGAAGCGCTTTCCGAGGCCGCCGTTGCGAATCGACGCGGACGGATCGTTGTCGCTGGGCGGGCAGTTGCGCGGGGGACGCATCTCCAAGATGGGCGACTGCAGGCCAGGAATTGGCCGGTCCAAGATGCCGCACGAAAACCTGCCCTCGAGATAGCCATTGGCGTGGGACTGCGGAAGGGAGCAATGATGGTTTATTCCAGGCGGCGTTTTCGTCGGAGCTCGATCATCATCTCCGGGTGGTCCAAGCTTCCGTGCCATTTTTCTGCCGTCCGATGCCTGCTCCTCTTCTCCGCGATCGCGCATTCTTACATAGCATCTAGTGTCGTTCACTCTGTTCGACCACCATCTTATAACTCGTTCTTGGACTGTTAAAAAGTTTTCAGGAGCTCAAGTTTCTTGATATTAGGGTCTATATACAGTGTCTTGGCTTGTTTACCGAAATTTTCGTTGAAATCCATCAAACAGTCCCGAATCACAATGGCTCCTCCTTCAGAAGACACATTGACAAAGGTTTCTACGGATGGTATGTCGATCTACGAGAAATATCTCGCCTGCAAAATTCTAATGTGGACTTTCTTTCAGCGGCAACCGACTTTGTCCAGTCCTTCTACCCTGCCCTCGAGAACAACCGTTCCACGATAGCCTCATTCTACAGCCAGCCCACGGCCATGATCCTTTTTAACGGAAACGCTGTCGCCGATGGAGCCGCCGTCCAAGAGATTTTTGTCAACCAAATGTCCCCGACGCATTACGAAGTGCAGTCTGTCGATTGCCAGATTATCAACAAGGCGTATCCGACACCTACCTCGACTGGAGTGAAGCTCCCCACCGAAACGACTGTCAAGGACATGTCTATCTTGGTTGTCGTTAGCGGCTATGTGCGCTTTGGAGAGTCCAGAGATTTGCCCCAACGAGGCTTCAGCGAGACCTTTGTGCTGGTGCCGAATCCTTCCGCCGACGGGCCCAAAGGGAAGCGCAAGCGAGAATGGCTTATCCAAACCCAGAACTTCCGACTCGTCGTATGAAGGAACAAGACCGGGATTTATTTGATGGAAGAGGATGCCTCTCACTACGCCTTTGACGGAAATGACTAGAATTGCTATTGCGGTGTGACAACTTGATAAACACATTATGCGCTATGATCCAAGGACGCGACTACACAATTTGAGCCGAAAAAGGAAAACGGAAGAAACCTTAGGAAATACCCCACGACACGCCAAGCGAAGAATTTTCGAAACAAAGCAACTGCTATCTCGTCACTGAACCGCGGATCTTCGCGGTACACGCATATTTGCTCTGATGCGCTCGAGTAACTCGTCGCGCGATGCGCTTTCGCTGGGCAAAAGGCCCCTCTTGGAGTGACAGTTAGAAACCATTGCTCTTTTTTGGCGACATTGACTGTTTTGTTTACGAGGGAAGAAGAAAACATACAACTCGAAGCCATCTCCGCATTTCATCTGCAGTCCAATTCTCCGGATCTTTTAGACGTCAGCTTGGTATACCTACAATCACAGAGGATATCGATCCGTGCCTCCAGTTGGGTCAGCTTCAGCGGGGAACACATCGCTACCCCAGATGGCCCAAGCGGCCGCTGCAGTCACCATTCCAGCAAAACCTGACAAAGTTAGATCGGACTTTCCGTCAACAATATTCAGCTCAGAATAATATACCTAGAAATAGGTTCTGAGGGCATATTAGCTTACGGACGCCGCTATCATTTCTGGGGCTGATTGTATAGTACCTTGGAGTTCAATGCGCGATCTAAAGGCGTCGGCATTTTGTTCTGGATTAGAGATCGCTGCTATGTATACTTGAGAAACGTATTGCTAGTAGTCACGAAGACGGAAGGAGGCGATGATATCTGTTGAGATGAACAACAAGCTTGTTGCCAGATATCCCAGTAGATATAAGACGGAGGGTGGCTAAAACACTATAGATAGATGTCGATCCCCCGTACTCCGTAGGCAGCCGCCTTATCGATTGCACCGCCACATATATCATTGCGGGATGTCCCGCCACGACGTGGCACGCGGACTAAGGGCTTCCGGGGGGCAACCCTACAGCCCACAGAAGCTAGCTGATTCCCCCGGCCAGCACCGCCCGCCGACGAGCTTCGAGACCCGCGATTGTCATCCAAACCTTCCGTCATCCACGACTACTCAAACGAAAGTCACAAACCCCACTAGCCACCATGCCTCAGGAAATCTCCGACATCAAGCAGTTCATCGAGGTCTGCCGCCGCAAGGATGCGTCCTGTACGTTTACCCGACCTTTAGCCGCTTAGTTATCATGAGGTGGAAAGCTCCGCGGAGCTAGCTCTTTGAGGGGGAAGCTCGAGACGGGTACCCGACTATCATCAAAAGGGCAAATTGGAATGGTTGATCGGGATGGATGAATGATAAGAAGTGGAGGCTAACGCGTGATGGTCTTGTCTTTCAAACAGCTGCTCGCATCAAGCGCAACCCCAAGGACCAGCAGATCAAGTTCAAGGTCCGCTGCTCCCGCTTCGTCTACACCCTTGTCCTGAAGGACTCCGACAAGGCCGACAAGCTCAAGCAGAGCCTGCCCCCTGGTGCGTTTGCTCCCGTCACCTGATCGACTGTTTCTTTGGATGGTGTTATGGAACAAGATACATGTCGTCGGACGCGTTTGTTTCCTTACGACTTGAGATGGGCATTGATGTGGACCTCGGCTATTGCATGACATCATTCGGATTGAGTACTAACATCAATTGTTTTCTCACACAGCTCTCAAGGTTGTCGACGTCTCCAAGGGAGACAAGAAGAAGGCTCTGTAAATACCTTCATCAACACATTGAGGTTGGGACTCGGCGAGGAGGTCGTCGGCGCATGGAATTTAGTCGAAGCATGAATACACTTGTCGATTACGATTAGGAAATTGGCATGGACATGGATTGCTTCTGTGGGCCGGCACGGAGGGTTAATCTATCCTTGAACCAGATTGGTTGTCTCTTCGCGTCTGGTTACCAGTGGACTCTGATATATGTCTTCACATTTCACTGAAACCGGATGACCTACATGACTGGAACTTTTCTGCTAAGGGATTAGCTTTGTCGGAGCACCTTGCATCCTATACAACGTAATGGAGAAAAACAGTTGAAAATTCCATGATACCTCCACTTTCTCCCGATGATGTTATATGAGTCCTTGTGCCCTGGCTATGCTGCGTTGACTGAACAGGCATTGCTAGTCTTGGTCCCATGCTATCCTTTTTGCAGGTCGTAGATTCGTAGTATTGGACTGGCTATGTGCGTTGCCGATCGGACGGTGCCGTGCATGCTGTAGACTCGTGTAACATACGGATTATGCTGTGAAGCCCTCGCCGTTTGTTATGACAGCATACCGTACATACATGCTACCATATCCAGCCTCATTCCATAACACGAGCACAAAGATCTAGTTTGAGATGTACAGTCCAGTCAGACTGCCCCAGTCCTCTGATGTCATAGATTAAGATCTAAGATCTATGTGACAGTATTCTATCATAACCAGCAAATCTACAACAACGTCCCATAAGAGCTCTATCCACTACTCGAGAATCACTCTACCCTCTCATAACCCACTTCAACATACCCCGACACCCCAGCCCTCTCCAAACTCACATCAACCATCTCCCGTCCAAGCGCCTCCCTTTCCCTCCTCAACTCAAACTCCCCAAAGTAATTCGGCTCCTCAGCAACCTTCCGAAACATAGCACCCTCAAACAGCGCCAGACTCCGCTCATTAGCCTGACCAATTTTCACACTCAAACAAGCAAACTTAAGGACCGCCTCCATCCCCTTCAATGCCGTCGCGGCAGTCTCATCCCTGCTAACAAACTCATCCAAAATCTCCGCTTCATGGTCAACGATATACCGTAGGAAAGTATTCAGAGCGGCTTTCCCAAAGCCCTTGCGCTGGTTATTCTTCTCGGCTATCATTAGTTCAATTTCCCCGATGATTTGGGGCTCCGCGTCTCCTTCTTCGCCGTCATCGACGCGGAGGAATAAATTGATGTCTCCGACCATTCGATCCGAGGCGTCGTCTGTGTCTTTGATGGCGGGTGTTGAGGTTTCTGTTTGGGATGGTGATGGGAGACAGACGATGAATGTTAATTTGTCCGGGTCTTGGCGCCAGCTTTGTTGCATGGCGTATTCTTCCTCTATAGAGAGGGGTTCGGAGGCGGTTGCTTCTTGGATTTCCTAATTTGGCAGGTTAGTAATTGTAGGTATGATATTCGTATATTTACGGTGGGGGTTTGGCTGTCTAAAAAGATTACGATTTTACCTCATCTTTCATCCATTCATGGTATCTTGGAACGTGCCATTTGGAATATGGGACTAAAAGCACCGTGGAGGTGGAAATGGCTATAGAGGGGATTTAGTTAGCTTGCTTGGGTGGTGGCGCATGCAATCAATGCTCCGATATACCTGTCTTGGCATTAAGCAGCATGTCGAAATATCTGGCTCATAAGTCGAAAGTACCCTGACGAGTCTGTTTAGGAGTACGTGAGTATGGATTACTGAGATAGCCGGTTCTCCAGACCCCGATGCGTGGTGGTAGAAGATTGAATTGAAGAGCCGGGACTTTTCCGCGCGGAGCTTGGCACCGCCCACTTTTAATGCACGAATCTCAGATAGCCCTTGTTTCCGATTTAGCCAGCATATCGGTGTCAATGATATGATAAGAAAAGAACAAAACAACAAAGCAGTAGCTCATAAGACTTATATCTCATTAATATATGCTATTGGTATCAGCTGCTTATTGTTGCTCTTGTTGTCCGGCAAATGTGCTAAACTTCACCACTTCCACCTCGAGGGTCTCGGTGTCGACCAAAACTAGTTCTCCGGTTTCCTTGAACTTGGGTATAGATAGAAGGCGCACACGAGGCCCAGATGTGTTATCGTCATCTGTTCCTGTCATCTCCGTGTCGGCTCCGTTCAGCTTCAGTGGGGCATCACCCTCAATTACAGCTGTCTTGAACTGTGGCTGGTTGCCAGCAAAGAAAATATGCGGGCAGGTTTGTATAACGAATGGATCATGTGTTTGGAATGGATAGGACCCTGTTTCCGAGATATCAGCATTTGTACCAGTGGGATCAAGAGGTCAACCAGGAGCTTACATAGTGTATCGGGCGCGGTGGGAACTCCACATCTCCAGCGCAGCATAGCCTCCATGACCCTCATCCTCGCCTCTGAATCTCCAGCACCATCGGCCACATTCCCTTCCTCATCTGCGAAATTCAAATACCGGAGGATGTCATCCACATTCTGACCACTGCTGCCCCATAGTCGCCATCCTTCCACGTCCCCTTCCCACGGGTTCGTTACACTGTCGAACCAACCTGGCTCTTTCTTGTCCTCACCAGCAGGAGGCGGAGCACAGTATGCCCTAGCCTGTGGGAACATAGCACGGTGGATTCCCTGTTGAGGGAGAGAAAAGTTTGCCGGGTCAGATTCGCCTGGCATAAGTGTGACGGGCATACTAGGCAGGATCTCTGCTAGGAAAGAATCAAGTCGCGTAATAGGCGATGCATTATAAGCAGAAGCATCATATCCGTACTTCTTCGGACCGGTCCTTTTCTTTGTAGCGCTATCGGCGTTGACATCCGTAGTCATGCTCGCTCCAACTGAATTTCCCGCAATAATCAACCTAGTGATTGCAGAAGCATCGGGCAGTGCACCTTCAGAAGCACCACCGGTATAACCAAGCAAATAGTCTGCCAAAAGTTCCAAAGCAAGAGTATCGCTCGAAGTTCCGGTGATCCCTAAGCCGCTCACAAATGCGATCTTACCCTTCATGGCTCCCGTTGGTGCGTCCAGTGTATCGCTCCCCCATCGGCGGGGTTGTTGTGGTAGATCAGGCACTTTGGTATCTATAACCTCGAAATCTCCATTTGCGTTCTCGGTTCCCAGGACTGCAATGATGGCTCCTGTGCATAACTGCGTGTTCCGGAGCATGCTCCCAGTTAGGCGCAGTCGGCCGGACTCGTCTTCCAACATAATTTGAGTCAACTCCGGATGAGCAGGATCTTGGTAAGTCGGCCGCGGAGGTGGTGCTAACGTATAGTTCTGTTGCCAGAATTAGAATGAGAGCCATACGCAACAGAGCATTGTAGTATTTCACCTCTTTTGTAAGATCGTCCAAAATATTCGGCTTCAATGGCATGTCCATGTATATCGTTCCTGCGACCCAACAAAGCTCTCCCTGCCTCACGTCGAGGACTCTCTCCACGCGGCGCGCATTTTCTCCAGCGATCTGGCCACCAAACCAAGACATGTCAGCAAACCAGTTTCCCATTTGTATGCTATTGTAATCCTCAATCGAGGTCTTGAAATGCGATGAATGTGACCGGTCTTACACTAAAACCTTCCCATGCTTCGACTGCAATCTCCTCAACTGCGGGCTTGAGTTTTGCCAACCGCAAGAAGTACATGTCGCCATATTGCTGCTGGTAATGCCTATCCTGGCCGCTTCCCAGTCGAAATGTGTCCAAAGGTTTATAATGTGAGGGTACACGGGTGGTTGCGTCAAATTCTTCATTGCTATATGAGCCGCATCGACAGTTAGACTTCATCTTTAGCAAATTTAACAATCGGGGAGATTGACATGCGGGAGAACGAACGTGGGAGGGCGCAGGAACTCGTCGCTGCTTGCCATTTTGGCGTCAATTTATCCGAATACACTTGAATAATTATTTTAATTGTTGACTCATATGGGCGACGGCGACTATGTACTTGAGTGATGTTGTTGGATGCAGCTGGTGGTGCTGAGTGCTTTTGTCCTGTGCTTCTTCCGCCAACGCGATCACGCGTCTTTTGGCGTTGCGTAATTACAGTACCGCTTTGGGCTTCTCCACCTCTGGAAAGCAGGCAACTTGCCAGAGTCCTTCACAACTGACTGAGATCCATGGCTGTTGTTCTAATGGTTTAATGGGATTAACTTTTTACTGTTAATTATTGTGGGTTTACTTTATAGAACTATGCATCATTCGACATCTTGAAGCCTCCAATGGCAATTATCCATGCTGTTGTTTGGCACGCTAGGCATGTTCGACTGAGCTCAATGTTTAGCTACTTTATGAACAGTGACCGCGCATCTAGATGACTCCTAGTACGGATTAAGGGTTAGTAAGTAGATAGCTGGACTAAGAACTGAACTTATGACCCCAGCGAAGCTTCCTGTATCCTAATCTGGGTTTATCCGGTCTCCGACATAAGAAGACCACACTAATTCGCCCTGACTGAAGAACATAGTAGGAAGAGGGATACCTTTCGCTGCAGTCCGACCTAGACAGGATTTACGCCCTCTAGGCTTGGAATTTAGCAGATCTTGGAAGGTTTGTTTCGACCCTACCGGCCTGGTTGAGGACTTTTGCCTTGGCTGATAAGAAGGCCCCTGCACGAGACAGGAAGACTTGGGTTTTGCTTGTATTATCGTGGACATTTTTTGCGCCAAAAATGGTATGCTAAACCTGAAACTCGATAGATGGATGGTCTGGTCCATTTTCGCCAGCGCGCCATCCCTTCATTGAAGTGCTCAAGCATTCCTTCCTTCATTCTAAAGAATGGATTCCCGGAAGTTTACTCCGTGGCAGCAGTGTCCTTCAATCCGACTAAAGCCGAATGACCCAAAACATCATCGGGATACCGGAAGATTAAAATTGCCAGCGAGGGATGTGGCATTGTGTGTGGCATGCCGAATGGATGGAATGCGCCCAATCCACGTTGACTCTTTGGTCCATTATAATATGTATAGGCTTGGTTTCCCTGTTTGGCAGGATTTCTTCGCCCATCCTGTTGACCCATATTCAAGACAGTGATTTGCGGAAAATCCTCGTACTTGGATAGTGGCCTGTCGTCAGAATGCGAGTCCTATTTCCTTTCGGCCACCTGCTGCGCAGTTTTCTACTTACCAGCTTGATAGCGAGCATCGTCACCTCAGCGTATCTCGACGCGTTTTTACGCGGTCTGCACTCAAACCTGTTCATAAGGAGCATCCCAGGATCTCTTGCAACAGCGCCTCAAGGCGCGGTAGGCTACTATCAGCCTCCCCCCGGCCCTGCTGTCACCTATCCTTACCGGGTCTTGACAACTTCTGCGCCATCAAACGAGGAAACAGCGGCAACGACGGTAACGGGTACGAGTATATCGACAGAAACCAAGCAGGAGTCATTGCAAGATGGGAGTAACGGCATCAACGAGTAAGCAGTCCATGTGATACATCAGAGAGAGAGTTGTATAGTTGACAATCTCCTACCTAGGCCACGAAAGAACATTGCGATTATGTCAGGGACAGTGACAGGAACTCAGGTGATCATGGAAGCGACGCAATCTGCGACGGCAAATAGGGACATGATCTTAACTTCAGGCGGCTTCTTGCTCTCAATCCTGCTGGGTATACTGCATCTTTGAACATACTTTCTGTGTCTGATATGAGTTTATGGCCTGTTTCTTTGGTCTTTCGATCGAAGTCATTCGCTCACTGGATTGTGATTTGTCTGCCTTTTATTAGCGATTCCTGTATCAGCTGTGGAGTTTTTCTGCCCAAGTCCAAAAGTTACAATGTCTATTTATAGGATCAATGAAGACCGTAACCAAGCCGCGGCCTTCAGTACACAGCCTCTCTTAGTGACCATAAGAGCAATATATTTGTGCTAGCTCAAAAATATGCACACGACACAACTCCGCATAATTCAGGAACTCAGTCCTTATGATCAGCCATTATCACTGGGATTAGTGCCAAGTTGAAGAAAGGAAGAGCACAATGTGGTCCGAGTGGCAAGAGCGAGCAAAGGCCAATGCCTCGGTCCGTCCGGGTCTAACGCGTTGGAGCTCCGCTTCCCCGCATTTGAGCTCCTCAGGCACAAGCCAGTTCCCCTGCTTTCACCGCGGATCATATGCTCTGCACTAGGATACTTATGCTCAAGAGAAGGCGTTCCTCCAGCAATGGATTTGTTCATACTGCTACAAGCTCAAGTCCTAGAGGAGCCTTCCTATCTCGAAACAACCCACTTTACAATCTATTAGGTAGGCTTGCCCGTTTTTAAGTCAGAGTTTGTTGCTGACCGCATCCCATTGTTTCGATTTATAGACAAATTACCTCCTATATAACAGCGTAACAAACATACCGCTCTACAGTTCTGCTCCCTCGCTCCTGAACCATGTCTCTCCATACCCCCCTTTGCTCATTGCTGAAAATCCAGCATCCGGTCCTGCTGGCAGGCATGGCACGTGCATCCGGAGCACCCCTCGCCGCCGCGGTCTCCAATGCCGGCGGTCTAGGAACAGTCGGCGGGCTAGGCTATACCCCCGAGCAACTATCCGAGATCCTGACCGAACTCAAATCACTTCTTAAAGACCCTTCGCTACCATTTGGCGTTGATTTGGCCTTGCCGCAGGTCGGCGGAGGAGCACGGGCCACGAACCATGACTACACCCACGGGCAGCTGGATCAGCTCATTGACGTGGTCATCTCGCACGGAGCCAAGCTGTTCGTGTGTGCAGTCGGTGTGCCACCGGAGCGGGTCATCAAGCGGCTCCACGACGCGGGCATCCTGATCATGAACATGGTCGGAGCACCCAAGCACGCTGAGAAGGCGTTCAAGCTGGGCGTAGATATTGTTTGTGCGCAAGGAGGTGAAGGAGGTGGCCATACGGGCGACATTCCGTTTTCAGTGCTCGTACCGGCGGTGGTGGATGTAGCGAGGAAGTATAAAAGCCCGTTGACGGGGCAGCCTGCGTTGGTTGTTGCTGCGGGTGGTGTCAATGATGGCCGGAGCTTGGCTGCGGCGTTGATGCTGGGTGCCGCGGGTGTTTGGGTGGGAACCAGGTTTGTCGCTTCAGAGGAAAGTGGTGCGAGTCGCTTGCACAAAGAGGCTGTTGTTGGTGCGCAGTATGGAGAGACGAAACGGACGCTAGTCATATCTGGGAGGCCGCTGCGCATGCTTCCTAATGAATACATCAAGGAGTGGGAGAAGCGCCCCGAAGATATTGCTAGATTGACGGCCCAAGGTATCGTTCCTATTGAGCATGACTTCAAGAACGATAAGGATGTCGATGTGCCGTTTTTGATGGGTGATGTTTCGGCCATCATTAAAGAGATCAAACCTGCCGGTGTGATTGTCCGGGAGATGGTCCAGCAGGCTGTGGATATGCTGAAGAAGGGAGGATCTTATATTAACGGCCCGGCGAGTAGACTTTGATCGAAATATCGGCGCTGCTTCAATTCTCTCCAAGAGCGCTGACATATATGACATGATATTTGTATTGCAAATAATTTTCATGATAGCGTAATAAGTACGTTTAGATGTTAGTGATCTAGCATGTACAAGTACACGAAATAGAAAAGCGAACAAAAGTTAGGACCACGACTTGCAAAACCCCCACAGCTGTGATGGTGCATGTTGCAATTCAAGGCTGACAGCAACCTAAATGAGCAGGGCAACCTATCTTTAAAGAGCCGAACCGCTACAAGATCTGCATACGGAGACAGGAGAGACCCCGAGCGACCAGCGCCACACTGCGCAGTTGCCAATGCACGCTCTCGAGGGGCAAATTTTCAACTCATCAAGGCCAACTACCACGCAGCTGAACAGAGACGTAAAAGAACACCCGAGACAATTGCGGCATTGCCAGCGCAAATGACGAAGACTTCGCAATCGTGTTTGGTCACAAGCCCAAGGAAACATGAACAACGAGAACATGACATTGATGAAAACTGCATTAGTGGCATCCATTGATCATTGCCTTATTTCCGTTGGCTCGCGCTTCCAGCAGGTTGGGCGGCGGGGGAGGCCCAAATACTGGCTTTTCGGTTTGCTGGGGAATATTGCGGTCTCCGTTCATGTCGCCATCCGGGCTGTCGAGCTCGTAGTCATCGTCACTGATTCCTTCATCATCTTCCTCGTCTTCATAGTCCTCATCATATTCACTCTCCGTCCCCTCGTCATCGCCATCCAAATCCGCAGCAAGACCTTGCCCGCGACCCTGGGCTTGCATTCGACGACAAAGTGCTTCCAAATGATGGCTTTTCTTTCGCCACTTTTCTAACTCCTCATGATTCCTTGTGCGCTCCTCCGCCATCTCGAGTATGTTGCGGTTCGTTTGATCGTGCTTCCGTGTAAGGGTGTGGTTTTCCTTCTCTAGCCGTTTGGTCTTTTTGGACATCTCTTCCATTTCTTTGCGAAACGTAAGAAAAAGCTCGTTGCTGTTGTTCAGCGTATCCTCCACCTGCGATATTATTATTACCAGCGGTCAAAACGAGGCTGAGGCCGAGCAAGCCATCGACATCGGTCCATACCTGCTTGAACTTTTCCACGTAGATGTTTAGTTGACTGCGTAGTTCGGCTTCGGTATGCGAGAAGGTAGAGACCTGGGAGCTCAGAGCACGACAACGAGCGGCTTCATTCTCGGCTGTACGGCGCTGCTCTTCGTACTTGGCGGTAAGGCATTGTATCTCGGCATCCTTGCTGCGAAGGAGTGCCTTGTAATGTAACTCGCGCATTTCAAATTTCTCGCCAATAGTTTTGATCTTTGCGCGCAAACTATGATAAGAGGGTCAGAGATTAATGAGCACACCCAGCAGACAGCCGCAACTCACGCTTCGTCTAGATCGATGTCCGCTTTCTCACTGCGGGGATTCCCTTTGGCAGCCATGACGTCCTGAATATCATACAGCAGAGAATCGAGGCGTTCGTTAACAATAAGCCGCGCTTTCTTTTCGGTCTCCTCAAGCTTCTTGTTCTCATCCTATGAACCATCTCGTTTAGCCATCTCCCTACGTGGTGTAGCGTAATAGTGATGCTGTGGAGCTTGGACCAACCTACCTTGACCTTCTTATTTTCCTTGGTTAGCTCCCTACACAGCTTTTCTAATTTATCCTTCATAGTAACGGTTTTGTTCAACTCGGATTTGCCCTTGTCCTGATCCTTCTGCAGTTGATCGGCCCGCTTCTTGCTCTTAGAATAGTCGCGATCTAGCTTCTTCATATCGGCCAGTAGTTCGGTGTACTTTTTGTGAACCGTCTCGAGCCGTGTCATCGGAGATTCGATATTGCTAAGGAGTTGGTTCAGGTCCCTCGTAGCCTTCTTAACTTCGCGCTCTATAGGCAAACAGTCAGCCCATGAAACAACTACTATTCCACTTATTCCACCACTCATGATTATGACGCACCGATTTCTGCCTCCTGATCCTTTTCTCCGGCAGCATCTTGCTCCAACTGCGATATTTTGGCAGCCAAGAGCTTGGATGTCTCATTGGGGTCTGCGACCTTCTTCCCCTTGTTCTTTTTCGACATTGCTGCAGCAGACATTGCTCCGAGTTTTAGAGGATAAAGATCGAGTCGAACTATCGTAGAGCGATTGCGTTGGCGGTGGTCGCGTGGCCAATCCACGAAAACGAAAATTGCGAAGCCGGAACGGTTGGCTAGGACTGGCGGGAAATGGATTCGCTATTCACGCCACGGAGCGGTGGCAACGAGTCGACAAGGAGTGAGCCCGATTCGAAGACGGAGCTGCGGATAGGCAGGGGAGTGTCGTGATCGACAGTGACTCAGTGATTCGAATGTCCAGTGTAGCGGAGAACCTGGGTGGCCTTTTCCCAGACTTGGAGAACTCGGTGGGTAATGGATCCCTAAGGCCCTCTACTAGCCCGGTTCTGCCAAGCTGACCGAAATCACACGGCGTAAGCAGCCTGCAAAGTGTCTTGAGAGTCAAAAGGCAGTTCGGCGACGGAGTCGACTAATGAACGCCGGACGGCTTGAGGATCTTGCCGGGGAGGATTGAATAGTCGTAAGAGGGGGGATGCGCACTTGACCTGCACTAGCCTCTTTTGAAAACTTCTCTTGGCGCCTTTCTAATTTACGGTCCGCCTTCCGAATAGCAGGCCCGATCTCTCGCTCTGCCTTCCTTTCTTTTTTCTCCATTCTCCCTCCACTTTTGCATTCCAACCTCGAATGCTTCCACGGCACGTCACTCGCTTTATCTATCTGATATCGTGCTCGGTGTGGCCAATTGGTTGCGTATCCTAGTCTTTTGCGCTTAATCCCGGTCCGCTCGGGACCGCCATTTCCGACCACCTTTGGTACCCTAATCCCCGGCAGCGGACTCGCTAAAGTACGTCACGGCGTGAGAGTCAAGCCGGTGACCATCAGTCTCTTGCTGTTTCTAGGCTTGGCTATCATCTTCTAAGTAACGCTATGCTGCGTTCATCGTTAGGGGTAGGCCGGAGCCGACTTCCGGCCCTGCAGAAACCCGGGCGTTTACTGAGATCGGATAGCGCTCTGCTCCGCTGGGGCCAGATAAGAAGATCTGCTTCGACTGTCACAAGCCTTGAGAACTTTCCGGAGATCGGTGAAGGAATCCATGGGTTCACTGTTCAGGAGAAGAAGCATGTTCCAGAGCTGCACCTTACAGCAATCCGCTTGAAGCATGACAAAACCGATGCCGACTACATCCACGTGGCTAGAGAAGACAAGAACAATGTCTTTGGTATTGGGTTCAAGACGAATCCTCCGGATGCTACTGGTGTGCCGCATATCTTGGAGCATACTACACTTTGCGGAAGTGAAAAGTGAGTTTCCTTAAACATGTCTTGAATGCCTGACATGCTGGCCCCAATGACTAACCCGGATCTTCCTACCTAGATATCCCATCCGCGACCCTTTCTTCAAGATGCTACCTCGATCTCTTTCAAACTTCATGAATGCTTTCACCTCCGCTGACCATACTACCTACCCTTTCGCCACGACAAACCCGCAAGACTTCCAGAATCTCCTTTCGGTCTATCTTGACGCCACTTTCCATCCGTTGTTGAAGGAAGAAGATTTCAGACAAGAAGGTTGGCGTTTAGGTCCGGAAGATCCTCGCGCCATACTGGCCCGCGGGGAACAATCGCAGGCGGACCAGAAGCCAGAAGATATTCTCTTCAAAGGTGTCGTCTACAACGAGATGAAGGGCCAAATTTCGGACGCCAATTATCTTTACTACATCAAATATAAGGAGAACATCATTCCTGCGCTCAACAACTCTGGAGGAGATCCCCAGTACATCACCGATCTGACCCACAAACAACTGGTCGAATTTTCGAAGCGCAATTACCACCCCAGCAATGCCAAGATTTTTACCTATGGTGATATGCCACTGAGCGCTCATCTCCAACAAATTGGGGGCGTGCTGGATGGTTTCCAAAAGGGAGAGGCCGACACTGCTGTTAAGCTACCGATCGATCTTTCTCACGGTCCTCAGAGCGTGACTGTTTCGGGGCCGATCGACACATTCGCCAGCGAAGACAAACAGCACAAAACGTCGACTTCATGGTATATGGGGGATGCTGCTGATGTTGTCGAGACATTCTCGGCCGGTATTCTTTCCTCGCTGCTCCTTGACGGTTATGGATCGCCTTTGTATCGAGCCTTGATTGAAAGTGGCTTAGGGTCCTCATTCACCCCTAATACGGGCCTTGACTCTTCAGGTCGTGTACCCGTGTTCTCAGCTGGTGTTACCGGTGTGAGCGCAGAAGAAGCACCTAAAGTCAAAGCTGCCATTCAACAAGTCTTCAAGGAGTGCCTCGCTACTGGCTTCAGTGACGAGAAGGTGCGGGGTTTCCTTCACCAATTGGAACTTGCTCTGAGACATAAGACTGCCAACTTCGGTATTGGTGTCATGGAGAAGACCATCTCCTCATGGTTCAATGGCTCCAATCCCATGAAGGAACTCGCCTGGAATGAGGTCATTGATGAGTTCAAGAGCAGATATGAGAAGGGGGGCTACCTGGAATCCTTAATGCAGAAGTATCTCATGAATGACAATTGCTTGACTTTCACAATGGTCGGCAGTCCTACTTGGAACCAAGAATTGGACGAACAAGAAATGGTGCGGAAGGAGGAAAAGTTCAACAAGCTCATTGAGCAGCATGGCTCTTTGGAAAAGGTGGTTGCTAAGCTTATAGAGGAAGAGCTCCAGTTGCTGAAAACTCAAGAAGAGGCACAGAACGCAGACCTGTCATGCCTTCCTTCCCTTCGTGTTGCTGATATTTCTCGGGAGAAAGAGCGCAAGCCAGTTCGAGAGTCGAAGGTTGACGGCGTAGACGTCGTCTGGCGCGAGGCTCCAACCAACGGCTTAACCTACTTCCAAGCGTTGAACGCGTTTGAAGATCTGCCAGACGATCTCCGTCTCTTGATGCCACTGTTCAATGACTGTATAATGCGTCTGGGTACAGCCAGCAAGTCAATGGAGCAGTGGGAGGATATCATCAAGTTGAAGACGGGTGGCATCTCCACGTCCTCCTTCCATATCTCATCCCCAACGCAGCTTGGAAAGTTCGCGGAGGGTCTTCAATTCTCTGGTTTTGCCTTGGACAAGAACATCCCGGAGATGCTGGAGATCATGACTACACTTGTCACTGAGACCGACTTCACTAGTCCCAGTGCGCCAGCCATGATCCAGGAACTGCTACGACTGACGACCAACGGCGCCTTGGATGCAGTGGCTGGATCAGGTCACCGTTATGCCCTTAATGCCGCTGCAGCGGGTCTTTCCCGTAGTTTCTGGGTTCAAGAGCAACAATCCGGCCTTGCCCAGTTGCAAGCTACAGCTAATCTGCTGCGAGATGCAGAGACCTCGCCAGAACGCCTTGCGGAATTGGTTGATAAGCTTCGCCAGATCCAGTCGTTTGCTATCTCTAGATCCTCTGGTCTCCGTGTTCGGATGGTTTGTGAGCAGAGCAGCGCGAAGCAAAATGAGTCGGTACTACAAAAGTGGCTTACGGGCTTACCACAACTCCGCTCACCGACATCTACACCCAGCATTTCAGCTCTCGGCTTGGGTACCCACAAGGCGTTCTATGACATGCCTTATAAGGTCTACTACTCAGGCTTGGCTATGCAAACCGTCCCTTTCACCAGTTCATCCAGTGCATCTCTTAGCGTCCTTTCTCAGCTTCTTACACATAACTACCTCCACCCAGAGATTCGTGAGAAAGGCGGCGCCTATGGCGCGAGTGCCATGAATGGTCCAGTGAAGGGAATGTTCGCTTTCACTAGTTATCGGGACCCTAATCCTGTTAACACCCTGAAGGTCTTCCAGAACAGTGGTGTCTTCGCCAGGGACCGAGCTTGGTCGGAACGGGAGCTCAACGAGGCGAAATTGGGTATCTTCCAGGGTCTTGATGCCCCAATGAGCGTTGATGAAGAGGGTGCGAGATATTTCATGAGCGGCGTGACCCATGAGATGGATCAGCGCTGGAGAGAGCAGGTCCTTGATGTCACGGCTAAGGATGTCAACGAAGCAGCTGAGTCCTTCTTGGTCCAGGGTTCGCAGCGGTCCGTGTGCCTTCTCGGTGAAAAGAAGGATTGGATTGAATCGGACGGCTGGGATATGAGGAAACTTTCCATGGGAGTCTCTGGTGAAACTGACCAGGCTGCTATGGACGCGCAGGATGCCGCGGCATCCGCTTAGACGCACTACTAGACGTTCCTAATTAGGAACGCGATTGATACCTACGTTGTTGCTTTTCACTGACTTTGAGTTCTTGGTAGAATCGTTGGTGTTGCTTCGACAGGCATGTGTACCATATAACCATGTATTATTATCACGATGTTCTCACGCACGACAAGAACCTGTATATAGATCTTTACATGTACAATACCCCTTCACTCTTCACTCATCCTGGTTGTTGGAAACAACTAGACATTCTGGCCTATCCAATGCACGCGCTCTCAAGAACAGACGAGCTCTATCTCCAGTCTATGCACTATGACCGGTAGATGGCCAGTCCTCCTAACCAAGGAGCAAGCGCAAGATCAACAGGAATGTGAACCCGCAGCAGGCAATGGTCTACTATCATGGTACACTTCTATATTCCCGTTTTCAGACCCGCCCTGATCCTTTTCAGCCTACGCAGGGCGGACTAAAAACGAGGAAACATAATCTCGGCGGTGGACGATATAACTAGAACATGAAATTGCAGTAATCACTCTACATACGCAATGAGGTGAAAACAGGAATAGATCACCAGTGTACTCTGTACTTTGTTTCCCTGAGGGGAAGGGCCATTGTGCCACTTCCATGCGAGTAGTAGTAGGAGTGGACCGGTCTCGGACCAGCTAGATGGGACCAGATCTCGCTGTTATCTCGATTTTCCAATAAGCTCAATCGCCTCTTATCAGAGGCTAAAATAGTCGAAGAAATGGCTCCGACTCACGTGTCGCCCGCCAAAACATGCTATCGACCATAGTACATTCTCTTAAGGCCCTGTGGAAAGATATACCCATTCAAATTGGGTGCCGGAACCTCGACTGAATTATGATTCATCAGGTCTTGCTAAACATCTGTGATTGCAAAAGTCCATCATCACCATGAGGGGGGCTAAAGCGATTACCCTCGGTCCAAAGCCGACTAAAGCATGCGGTAAGCGGCTTCAGTTCTTGGGGGCTTAAGCAAAGCAAAGCTGATCGTCCCATGCAGTCAACTGCCGCAGATTAAAGGTCAGAGACGGTTACTTAGTCTTGCAAGATGTGACTGGCGTGCTGATAGCTGCTAAGATGAAATGTGTCGTGGAGGGAACTCCCCCATGCCGCCGATGCCGACACACAAAGGCTAATTGCGTCTTCAGACCAAGATCGAATGTTAGCACTTTGGTCGACTAAATGTCCATAGATGATGCTTACGGGTTTCAGGCAGCATCGGCAGTTCATGACGTGGTGAGAATACAACAAGACACGCCGGATAGAAACCAAGACATCGATGCGATTCTTGGCCGTCTGGATAGGATTGAGAGTGCCCTAGGCTTTAGTAGAGGAAGCAGCTCCGTGACAGCGGATGTTCTTGACCCAGATCAGGATGAAGGGTCTGGGGAGATGTCTCTGCGCCCTCTTTGGAAGGCCGTAAGGCATCTCAAACTGATCACTCGGCCTGCTCAGGATGATGCTCTCTGGTCACATCCAGTTATCAAGCATCTGTGGTACTCGTACGCAATCATCTCCATTATGAGTTGTTCCTCTAATCTGGGTGGACTAATACCAAAGTAGTTTCCTCAATAATCTACCCCTACTCCATTTTCTGAAAGATCAGAGTGCTTTTGCATCACCATCTCCCCTTCTGCTTGCATCTGTTTTATTCATATCCGCTCTCCATGGTCCGTCCAACGATCTATCGGAGTTTACGAAAGGATACTTTGTCGCCCAGTGTTGCGCGATCGCAGAGCTTGTCAACCCAGTGCCATACGTTTCTCCAGTGGAGATGTTTGGGAACGGCACAGAAGACCCTGATCGATCCTTGGGTACTATGGATGATTCGCTGACCTTTCAGAACATCCTCGGCTTGATTATGGCTAGCTTGGGCTCAGAAGCTTGTGTGCCAACTACTGGCACATGGATAGCCATTGCGTATCGCCTCTTACTCGATCACGCGCCTCGCGAAGTTGAAACCACGACCCACGACTGGGCTGGGCTGTTCTCAGGTCTCCAGGTAATCGATATTGAGCATGCTTCTATGCACATGTGTTGTCCCCTATTACCGGAACAGCCACCCATACCCACTCTTGTCCAATTTAACGCCCGTGAAGGAAATGCTTTTCATGGCCTCATCCAAATGATGCATCAGGGACTCAGCCATTTTGTCGGAAGAGGACTCCCCACCATATGGTCTTTTGTGAGCGCAAAAGACCGCGAGGTCCTCTCGCCAATCCGGACACCCTTCACCAAGGAAGACGCACGAGTTATCCACCATTGGGCCCGGCAATTGGACGATTGGCTAGTCCGATATAATGCAGCACCTCGTGAGATCTCTTAGTGGCTGATTTCAAAGGAGAGGATGCTGACAAAAATGCAACTTCCAGAGCCATCCCCTTCTGATCGTCAGGGCATACTCATCCTTCTACAATACCATCTACACAAACTATACGTCCTATCCATATATCATCCAGCCAGAGGATTTGATCTAGGTTCTACGGATATCTCACCAGCCGAAAGACACGAACTACTAGTCTCAGCCCGCGCAGTTCTGCGGCTTCGTCTAGGTGACGCTAGTATATGGTCTAATTGGGATCTAATAGTAAATGCCCCATCCTCTAGCTCCATTGCACACCTTCACCGCAGCTGACTTTCTTAGATGGTAACGTTTGCAGCCATGCTACTACTCCGAGGAATCGAAGACGGTGTATTACATCAAGACGGTAAGAGATAGTTACTTGACTCAACGTGAACCACATTCATTGCTGACCTGCATGCATCTGTACAGACCTCCACCTGATTGAAAAGCACATCGACAGCTTGAAAAGGAACCATTCATCTGTGCCAAGCATCCATAGCATACTCGCTGATCGACTCGAGTCGGGCCTACAGAGCATGCATACACCGCCTGAAATGGGGCCCGACTTTGCATTTCCCGCTCCAGAAGAGGATTATTCTTGGGCGATCTTTGATCAGGAGATTTTGTCTCTAGCAAATCCGCCGTGGCTATATGAGGGCGTTCTTCCCCTGGAGGAGATGCCAAGGGTAGATGAGAATCAGGGTGGGTTGTCGGCGCGGTTGGAGTATACTGCTTTAGCGCAGGGAGGTGCGGATGCTCTGGGTGGAGGTAATATTGGATATAATTGATGCTGTTCGGTAGGCACAACTAATTAAAAGTACCGGGTGATGGCTGTCTATTGGCGTGGTTGTGAGACGAAGACGCAAGAATTGTCACATCTTCAAGATACGGAATATATTCAAGTTCGTGAATCATCATGCTAATATACAGTTCAGAGGCCGCCATAAGAAGCAGAAGACGGCTGTGTCCTCATATATGAGAGAGATCGCTGAAGGATATGGGAATTTAGATGGTTAGGTTTGGCCTGCAAACCTGAATTAGCGATTAGCCGTGCTTCCTCCATGCAAAGCAACCTGGTGCCCTTCATTTAATCGATAGAGGCATCATCCCTCGGAGCATCTGCTGTATCTTCCTGATCAGATAACTTCGAGGCATTGCTTTGGTCGTGGAAATGGCCAGGATGCGACGCAGGACTAGCATCGCGAAATTCGGGCGTGGATGGAAATGGGGGGAATGGTTCGGTTTGTGAGTCGATTCCGGGGGAACCCGGATTCAGCGAGGACTGAGATTGTACATCCTGACTTTGAGGGACTGTGTGTTCTACAGTGGAGTCTAAAGGAGTATCGGCGGGCTCGTGATGACCGGCGCCCAGCGAAGGGATGTGAAGTTGTGGAGATGGTGAATTTTGTGAAGCCTACGTGATTGTTATGTTAGCCCGTCATCTATTATTCTGGCATGAGACCAACCAATAATGGAGCTACCTACCTCGTCTTTTGCTTGGTGTAAGCCTCGTGTTGAAGCCAGCTGCTGTGCAGCAAGCCGTCTTCGTGCAATCTCTGATTTTTCTTCGAGCGCTGCTTGCTCTTCTTCTTTTTTGAGATCGGCTAATGTAGGGGTGCTAGCTTGACGAGTGACCTCTACATACGACCCCTCCGGAGACCGCAGGCGGCTGCTTCTCTTTTTCTTCTTCTTTCTCTCCTTCGAGGAGGCGGTTGTTCTTAAGCTAAACGTCCCAGACACTGACCTCATACTTGCAGGTTTATCTCCTATCAGATCAATTGAATCGAGTCCAGTACCGCGACGGCTGGCCAGAGCTAGAGCGAACTCATCATCTAGTGGCACTGCATCCTCTTCCTCGTCGCTGGGAATCAAGTCACCCCGCGAGCTCAAGGAATTGGTCGTGTCACGCGATGACTGTGTTGAACTCCGATATCTCCCATTCACTCTTGAGGTTGCTGGGCCCTCGCTTTCCTCAGTTTCTTCTATGAGAGGCTCATCTTCAAGTTCATGCCGTCGCAAGCCCACGGGATGTTCTTGAAGATCTGCTGCGGACGGGCGATATTTCAGCCCCCGAGCGCCGAATCTCCACGGGAAGCGCTCTAGAAACCCCAGGAAGGAGGAACTCGGAATAACAGTTGGGTCATTACGGTCGTCAGACATTATAGCAGTGCTCTTCCGCCTCGTGCGACGAGCACCATAGCTCATTTTCCGCTGCCTTCGAGGCTGTTCGGAACTCCCACGAGCCAAGCCACTTCCAGCCAGCAAGCGATCAAGTTCGTCAGTACCCCATCCTAGCAGACCATCGTTCGGATCCTCATTGTCCCAGTCATCGTAGAAGTCGAAATTAGCCTCTGCGCGGCCGCGTCGGCGGCGTCGAAGCTGATCTTCGCGGCTAGGGAGACAAGGCGCAGTGCACGAGTAGATACAGGTCCCAATCGCTGCAAAACAGGGTACCACGTAATTATGTGAGAAAGTATAAAGACCCTCCTGGGCGGTCTCATTTGCAGACTCGAGATTATGATGAATCTGATTGATTGTCTGGCGGACCCGAGGGTCTCTCGATCGCATCATGTCGGATGACGGTAGGGATGCGACGTTGGCCCAGAGCCACGCCGCGACCGCAGGAGCGATGAGATCACTTCAAAGTAAAATCAGGTATCCCCATGGGATAGCTGTGCTGGGAATGGGGATCTCGGAGTGTTTCGGGGGGTATATTTCGGCAGAAAAGGGAGTTGGTATACGATAACAGCAGCATTGGAGAGGCGGAGATAATAACGAGGGGAGATTCCCCGAGAGGGAGCCTGAGGAAGCAACGTTCCTCTTGGATGGTCGATGTCATCGGCCCGCCCTTAGTCAGCCCACACGTGCCCTGTGCTAGAATCGGGCTCTTTTCAGTGTTATCCATACACTGTCTGCTTCTTCTGCCAATTGCATGGTCTAGTATACTAAGCTCACTTCAGGCGTCCGGTCATTGCCTAGTAATTGCTCATCTTTAGCATGGTTTATTATATTCGTTTTCTCAAGACACCGAGGTTTCAAAAACAGAAACCTGGGTCTATATCCGTCTCCGCTCTAATTTGCATCACTACAGACCTGGGAGACGCTTTTCTCGCACAAGATGTGAACTTGCTTGTAACACTGAGTCTCAATGACTCTGGTAAACTTCTGTATCAGGAACCATTGAGCTGGAAGGCTGGAAGGCGCGAGCTCCCAATAATGCTCGGGCCCTTTTCTGCCAATATATCTCAGCAGACAATTGTTCTAGGCGTGACGGCCACAAGTCCGCAGAAGCGGTCTCCCTCACCAGATCGCTTGCTGGGCAATTCTAGTCTTCCTCTAGTCATGTCGGCCTGGAGCGCACCTTTTGGTGGGTCGCCGTCCTCAGTAGCAGAGAAGCTTGTTGAAAGACGCTTTGGACCCCAGGATCGTCTAGGCTTGAGGATATGGGAAGAGACTGGAACAGTATCGCTCGGCATATCTGGTAAGGCTTTCTTATTGGAAACGAGGCTCTCTTCTTCCTTGTACGAGGCTTACATATCTCCAGGGATGCGGCGGTGGCTTCGGTCGTATACCTTCAGCAGATAGTGGCAGGAGATCCTGCGGTCTCTGTGCCATTATTGCAGGGCCTTCTTCGGGGCGAACGCAACACTCCTCTCCATGTTCTCGAACTAGGATCAGGATGTGGCGTTGTAGGAATTGCTCTTGCTGAGCTTCTCCCTCATTGTTCTGTAGTACTCACAGATCTGCCTGAGGTGGAGGAAATTGTGACACAGAACATAGCTGTTGCGAAGCCGGCCGATTCCTCTGAGCTCGAGTTCAGCACCCTTGACTGGGATGAGGAACTTCCGAGTGACTTGTGTGGTGGTTCGGTAGATCTGGTCCTCGTTTCAGATTGTACTTATAATGCAGACAGCTTGCCTGCGCTAGTCTCAGTACTAAGCCGATTAGTGCAAATGTCGCCTGAGGCTGTCATCTTGGTGGCATTGAAGAGACGTCATGAAAGCGAGTCTATTTTCTTCGATCTGATGCAGTCTGCTGGGCTCCATAATTTGCACCTAGATCGGAAGCAGCTCCCATCGCAACACGGTCAATTTGACGACATTGAATTGCGTTGTTACGGCAGAGAAAGGGGTATATCATCAAGTCAATAGTCGGGTAAGATACATGCTTGGATTATAGCCAGGATTACATAGGTTACTGAACGGCCAGTGGCGGTACATACTCCCTTAAAGTCAAAATCAGCATTTGCTGCAAAGGCAACTGATCACAGCTGCACAGCCCTACCAAGGCTAGGAGCGTTAATCAAGCGCAGATTGGTTCATCATGCTCTTCCATAACCCCCGGCTTCTCGGAAATTTTGCCCCTTGGACCTGTATTGTGGTGGTGCAGAGAGCTAAGAAACCATGGTCGGTCGTGCAAGGTTGCAGCTCTTACACCTGCACCTGATGGCTTAGCAATGCAGCTCTTTAGTGGCATCTAGCTGACTACATGCCGGGATTATAAAGTTTAAGGTCCAGGCTCTCGGATTCTCTTGGTTACATATCCTCAGAAGCCGGCTGCAACAACTATAGCTAAAAGACCCATGACCGTATAAGACTGTACATGCCATTTCACAGCATCATATCAATCAACCCAACAATCTCTCCTCACAAACGTTCTCGCCCTCTCCATCGCCTCCTCCGCCTCCCTCTCAAAACCCAGCACCTTCCCTGCCCAAAAAATATCATGCGGTGCATCCTTCGTCTCACAAAACTCGACAACATTCCCCAACGCCCTCATCTCCTCCACAAACTCCACATGATCCTCAAAAAACACCTCCGACGTTCCCGTGTGCACGAAAATCGGCATTCCTAAAGCCTTAAACCCATTCCCAAGGGGATTCAGAAATCGATGTCCCCTCTCCCAACCCTCAGGCGTTACCCGCCTAATACCCCAATCCAGCAAATCCCCAGAAAGATAATCAACCCATCGACACGGATGCCGATCAACCTTCTGCGCCCCGTTCTCCGATAAATCCAACCACGGACTCCATAACAACGCAGCCGCAGGCAGCGGTAATACTTCCGTCCCTTTCTTCTTCTCCTCGACCCAATACCTAATCATGGAGAGAACCAAATTCCCACCTGCCGAATCACCGGACAGGATTATATTCTGAGGCTCGATCCCCAACACCTCGAGAACATACACATAAGCCGTGATCCCATCCTGCAGGGCGGCAGGAAACGAGGCATTTCTTTCCACGGAGAGGCGATACTGCGGCAGCATGACAGGACAACCCATCACTTTGCTGAGGATGCTAGGGCTCCAGCTGTTGTCTTTGAGGCGGACGCCACCGAGGACGTACGCGCCGCCGTGGAAGTGAAGAATCACTCGAGCTGGTTTTGAGGAGGGAAGGGCAGGGTGCCATACTGCGCCAATGGGGACGGGATGGACAGATGGGATGCTGGTGAGGATGCTGTCGCGGGAGAGATAGAGTGCTAGCTGGTTAGATGTGGTGGTGTCTGGAGGGTTGATGATTATGAAACGATCGCCTTCACGGCCTGGAGTGAGGGTTTTTGGGGTGCGGTATTCCACTGCTGTTTGATCGCTCAGCCATATGTAGAAGAATTTTACGCTGATGGCTTGTCGGTAGGTCCATGCTGGATGGGGCCGCGTGAAGTGGGGGAGGTAGTAGATAAGAGTGCCGAGAATGCGGATGGGGAGAGTGGTGAGGGCGAAGGCGTTGTAGAGGATCGCTCGGATCGATGGCATAGTTGGGGATATGGGGTGTCTAGAGTTGATGAGCGCCATGAGCTCGTTGTTGTGTTTACATATCCATTTGCTACTCATAACGCTGCTCAGGTGAGCAGATGCATGACTCGAGTCAACTGCATAGTACACATGATCAACGATGTTCTGAATATCGACTCTCACGCCGATCCCAACTACTACTGGTTATAAAGCAGGAAAGCGCCTTGCTTCCGACATGATAATTCCATCAACCTCCGCAACTAGTTAGCCAATAACAACATAGTTTCTCCAGCTATTGCTGCATCTTTATACAAGTACCGGAGGGGAGTGGCCACCAAGCAGACGCCGGTCAAGCATGATCCAGACAGATTAACGAAGGACCTTTTCACCTATCGAGCAACTCGAATTGGACTCCTCAGCCTCTGACTTCTCAAAGAAACGCGCCGCTGCAGGTCTGAATGACGCTTTATTGCACCCAACTCTGTCGGTTCCCCAGGGTAACCAGGTGAAGGGGACAATTGATTCTCGGTGTTTCCCATAGCAGGTCTTTTAGATTCGCTCCACAGCTTCCGGATTGACATACGGTTGCCTAAGCGCTGGAGTCGACGACTTCCTCGGTCAGTCAGGTCAGAAAGCACATTCTCCAGAGAAGAGTCTGCTGGCACAAAGTCGACATCGCTGCATTCGGAGATACGGTCAAAAGCATCATATACCACTTCTGGAAATGCAATGTGGCGTCGGTTTCCGCGGGAGATCTGCTTGCCATCGCTGAGACTGGAAGTCCGTGGAGGAGGCATAACCGGCAGCCCATTTCCAGGATACCTGGGTTCCTCTGATTTGTCACGAGCATAAGTGATGCATCTCTGGTTGAAAGCGCTAAAATTTGCGGCCAGCGTCACTGCGCAGAGTGGCAGGAAGGCTAGTCGCATAGGCTCCGTAGTAATGGTCTCACCGAATACTTTCTCCGACTGAGGTGGTGAAGCACCGGCGCAGAGAGCCCATAAATCGGAATACAGCCGGCAGACAACAAGAATATTTCCGCTAACCAGATCGAACTCGTCAGAACATGGTTTATCATGATCGGACAGGGTATATGCAGGATCAACACAGATCACAAGGGACCCTTCGTGAATGGACCGCTTTTCATCCAGACCTAAACGTATGTCCTTGTATGCTTGCAATCGTGCAGGGATGCCTTTCCCTTTGTGGCAGACGGAGCTCTGCAAAAGGACTCGGCTCGGACAATGTTGCACGGAGGCTCGCCGATCCGACAGAATGTATTTCCCCGCTGAACCCAACTGTTGCCATGCCTGCGGTCTGTCACGAGCGGGCCAATCATGCTTGACACAGTTAGTCTATGTACTCATGGTCTGTTCTGTAACTGCTAGACACCCACAAGAATAATGGTCTCCTGGTCAGACTTCGACTGGTTGGTTAATGTGCGAGATACCATGTCTGCTAATGCAGCAGTAGCTTCACAGCCATCAGCTATGCAGGAATATGCATCTTCGAGCATCTCACTATCATTGGCTGCATGGCCACTGCACGTTTCTATTGTACAACTGCTGCTGCTGCTTGCGGAGAGACTCGATGTTCTTGACTGCTGTGGAGGACACCAAACAGGAGGCCGTGGAAAGTATACGGCATGGCGGCGCTTTTTAGTCACTGAGTCTTGGATAGACTCTGCATCAGGCGCACCAAACTCATAGGCGGATTCGTCTGAACTGTCATGATTGGAGAAGGGTACTAGAAAGACGCTTCCCTCATCTTTGAGTCGATCCCTGCTAAGGAGCGAGTCGAAGCTAAGCATGTTGTACATAGCCATCTATCTTGTAAGTATGCAAGCAAGCACTATGCAGTTAGATACAGAAGAGTCAATGCTACGAGCTGGTTGATCTGCCGAAACATCCTAACTACAGGTGGTCGCATCGCGACTGCCCTCCAGGAGGAGAGCTGCCAAGGAAGGCGCGTATAGTCATGTCTGAGCAGAACATGGCAGCAACGTCCCTTCTCAAGTATACACAGAAGAACATCAAATATCATCGTCAACCGGCTATACATGGCAGAGTGAGGGGCATCAGGGATTAGAAATCAGCAGACGAACATCCGAGCACCTCGGCTCGCGATGCTGACTCATCCAGAACAAGGGGTCTACGGACGACTAGATAAACTAGACACTCTTTGTGATAACTTCATCTTTGGTTGTTGGATCACATCACAATTAGCTTTCTTTCGTCATCTCATCTGTTTCAAAACCATGGCTGTGCCGCGTATAAACGTCTACTTGGACGTAGTCAGTCCGTTCGGCTATATCGCCTTCAGTGTACTAAAGGTGCGTCTATCCATCTACCCTACTATCGCTTAAATCATCATCCCGATATTCTAACGTCTAAAAGAACTCTCCTGCTTTTGCCAAATGTAACATCACTTACATCCCTATTTTCCTGGGTGGTATCATGCAAGCATGCGGGAATACTGCCCCTATCAATATCAAGAGTGCGTGTCCCTTCAACACCTAAAACACGCACATAAACACTTCTAATGAATGTATATAGATAAGAATAAGTATATCGAAAAAGAGCGTTGCCGTTGGGCTCACTACTTCAATATCCCAATTGTCCAGACAGCCCCCGAAGGCTTCCCGCCACGGACGCTAAGCACCCAGCGTGCGCTCTGTGCGATCTCCCTAAAGCACCCGGACAAGCTTGTGCCGGCCTTTGAAACGCTCTATCACTTGTTCTGGGTAGAGGGTAATCCCAACATTGCGCAGCCTGAATGCTTCGGTCCGGCTCTTGAAGGGGTACTCGGAAAGGACGTGGCACAGTCGGTATTGGCCGATGTATGCTACCTGCATTGTTTGCTTTTATGTGGAATTTGTGTGCTAACTCAGTATTGTAGATGGATCATGGAGACATCAAGGCAGCCTTGATTGCGAATACAGATCGAGCGTTCAAATCAGGCTCATTTGGCATACCCTGGTTTGAGTGCACCAATGACAAGGGCGAAACTGACACATTCTGGGGAGTGGATCATCTGGGACAGGTTGCGGAGTTTTTGGGACTGAATATCAAGCAAGACAAGGGTTTCAGAGCAGCTCTGTGAGCGTAAGGCTACTGCTTCTGAAACTGCAGGGTTTATTTTTATCTTCAGCAAGCCTGACTGACGTATGCATGAAATTATTCAATTATAACCATATCACATCTTTTGTATTTGATCATATAGCAATTCCGAACGCTATACCTTCTTCCCCCTTCCCGAGTTATTCATACTCATATGCCTCTCCTGCAAGAACTGAATAATCTTCTCCCTTTCCAAGTTCTCAATACACCGAATCTCATCCGGATCCGCCGGACTCGACACCGCCATCTACATCCTCAATCAGCACACAGCCACCAAAACCAACAGGACTCATCATCTCAAAACCAACTAAACAAAACGAGAAAAAATAAGAGAGAATGTCACTCACCCTCCCCATTCCCATGATCCTCCTCACTTCCCCCCACCATCAACGACCTTACATGTTCCCACGTACTATTCAAAAAATCCCCCGGCGCCGGCGCCGATGCCACACCATCAAACACATTCTTCATTTCCTTCACGCCCGATTGTGCCATATCATTAAGTGAGTTATGGGGGTTCATCATCGAGTTCCCGTTCGAGCTATCGGTCGTGGATGCGGGCTCTCTGTAGCCCATCTCTCGGGCGGTTTCGCGGGCGGTGTCATCGACGGTTTTCATTGTAGACACACTGGGTATGTAGTGTATTAATTAGATATGTAGGTAAGTCCCAGTAGGGAGAGTTTATGTGTATAGTAGAAGTAGTAGTGGTATTATCTTGCTGTAAATGAATGATTGATTGGAGGGTTTCAATTATGTAGTTTATCTATGTGGCCGATGACATCAAGTTAGTGCGGGTGGATCATGATATCATCGTCGTCAGCCTTGTGGATCCTCGGGGCTTTCGGGTGTGGCAGGTTGGCTGGCGGTCTTGGTTGGGGAGGGTTTCTAGGGGCTGTAGGTAGGAATGGTTCAGCCTTATAGGGTGGTCGGAGTTAATTCTACTGTAGTGTCGTTTTAAATGAGTATCGTGTTCCTTGTTTTGGTCATCTGAATTTTAAACGATTTCCGTGTGGTAGTCCATGGGAGTATCTAGCTACTTAGTCCCTATAGTCTTCACTGCGATGAGAATGACGCATGAATTTGATGAATATGATTATTCCTGATTACTTTTTATTTTCCTCTGTGTGTGTGTGCTAGAATCATCATACTCCATTCCTAAAATCTCTAGTAAATCACGAATAGCGAGAAAGCATCAGGTAGTATTAAGTGAGACAATCAAGCCATAGATATCTACCACTAATCCAATGACGATTTGTAATAAGCGTAAAATGATTTTTACCGTATTCTGCAAAGATGCACAGCTAACCAAGCATCAATGCGAGTATCCATCCGTCAAGAAAGGACTCCGAAGTAACTTTTCTGCCTGTAATCGGTCGCGAGGGTCTTTCTGCAACATAAGGGAAAGGAACGATGTGAGAGTCTCTATATTCTCAGCACCAAATTTCTCCGGTAGCCTATCTCTCAGGTATAATTTGAAGTCCCCATTCTTCTGGTTGTTCGAACCGAGTCTTTGCTCAATAAAAGAAGAATGGTCATTGTCTATCTCCTCTCGTGTGAGGCCGAATGTATCCAGAGGGAACAATGGCTCGTTCGTTGCAAGTTCGAATATCTTCGCAGAAGAATTAGAACGAAAGTCTGAGTTTCCACGGGGAGGAGTTTCATAACATGCCAAGCAACCTAAGGTCCAGATATCTATGGCAATGTCAACGGCAATACCATCGGTATGTCGTTGCATCAGCTCAGGTGCACGCAACCCCAGAGGTGTTATTGGTTTTTGGTCCCAGTGTTGGACATATTGAGCTGATATTGCCCGTGACGACTTAGCAAATCTGGCTAGACAAGATATAGTACGAATAGGTGTATCTTACCTCCGCCCAGATCCCCGATCCTAACCTCAAGCGTTGAGAAATGCGCCTTACTCAATTGTCCCCGGCGCCTTTGGGTGGGCATTAAATATTTGGGGGCACTGTTATCTTCGCTCATCCCTTCTCGCCACTTAACTGAGCTGAACTCGGGGGGCTGTAACAAGGCCTCCATATCCATAGTTCCAGCAACTGAGAACAGAATGTTTGCCGGTTGGAGATCTGTTTTAAGCCTATTAGAATGTTGCTTACACAACCGAAGAGCCTCGACATACCACAATGAACGATGCCTGACTGGTGAAGAAAGTCAAGACCCAGCAAAAGTTGGCGAGAGATAGCCCGAAGATATCCTGCTTCTTGCGGGTTCCCGCTGATTGTCATTGCTTCCCCATCGGATGTCATCAGCGGGAAAACAAGGCACAAGTGGTTTCCATTTGGTCCTGTATGATAAAAATAGTCTAGAAGTTCAACCACATGTCTCTTTCCCGCGTGTTCCACGTCGGAATCTGACAGGGTCAGAAGGATAGAAAGCTCCCTATTGTGGTCGGAATTTTCTGCCTTTAGTATCTTCAATACGACCTGTTGCGAGTCTATTCGAGGTATTACCAGCCTGTTAGTTTTATTTTCGATGTCATGGTTCGCAAGAATGTACTCACATCTTTTGATCCTTTGCGAGCCATACCGTTGAGTATTGGCCAAAAGCTAGCTTCCCAATGATTTTGTAGCGTTGGTAAAATACATCGTGAAGGTGCACAGGATGATACCCCCCATGACGATACTCTTCAACAGGCTCTACCACATCGTAGATTCTTTCGAAGCGGCGCATTTTATGTCGTACCCAGGAAGTGAGTTAAGGGATATAGAGAGACTTTCTCGGAAACATCCAGGATGAACACGAAGTATTGATTGAATCTGATGATTTGACGCCAAAATCGTGCCATTGGCCACGCAATATATCAAAGAACGGTCTATATGGTGATGGACATGAGAGCAGAAAATAGTAGATCTACAAGTAACGAGACACCCATGTCGATGTCTGAGGCATCCACAACCCCACTCCAGATCTTAAAGATTACCTGATGAGGATTAGCGTGCCCCTCCACCCCCCTCCGAATCTTTACTCCGGCTTCAACTTCAACAATCAATCGCACTTCCTCCACATCGTTCTTTTCCGTCCTTCTTTTTCTCACGTATTTTAGATATAGAGATAGACTTCTATCACTTACCATTATATATACAAACCAACGCCCCCACAAAACCACCAACGAAGAAACAAAATGGCCCCCATCCCCATAACAATCCTAACAGGCTTCCTGGGCAGCGGCAAAACTACCCTCCTTTTAAATCTCATTCCTCAACTCCCTTCAACTTACCGACTCGCACTCCTCAAGAACGAATTCGGCGATGTAGCAATCGACTCCCAACTCGCATCTACCTCCTCAATCAGCGGTGTCCGCGAACTCCTCAACGGCTGCATCTGCTGCAACCTCGTCGGCCAGCTCAGCGACGCGCTCTTCCAGCTCCTCAACGAAGTCAACCCCGACCGCATTGTGATCGAGACATCTGGGTCTGCGTTCCCGGCCACCCTAGCAATGGAAGTCAATCGGCTTGCGCGCGAACACCCAGGAACATTCAGCTTGGATGGAGTGATTAGCGTGATTGATGTGGAGAATTGGGAGGGGTATGAGGATACGAGTTATACGGCGAAACTGCAGGCGCGGTATACGGATCTGATTGTGTTTAATAAGTGGGAGGCGGCGGGGGAGATGAAGTTCGAGATTTGTTTAGACCGAGTAGGTGATTTGGAGGTTGAGACTCCGTGGGTGAAGAGTGAGAAGGGACGGGTGGATAAGGATGTGTTGTTGGGGATCGATGGGGCGTTGTTCGGAGAGGAGGGGGTGGATGGGCATGAGCATGGGCATGAGCATAACCATGGGGAGGGGCATAAGCATGAACATGGACATCAGTCCGAGGTGGAGGTGCTGTCGGTTACATTGAAGGCGAAGCAGGATGGGGCTGTTGTGGATACCCAGGCATTGGTGGAGAAGTTGTTGCGCGCGGCGAACAAGGAAGAGGTATATCGGATCAAGGGCGTCATGCGGTGCTCGACTGCTGCGCCGCCGGCCGCGTCGGAGGAAGAGGATGCGCAGCAGGCGGGCCAATCGGTGGCTGTGGATGCGGATGGCCCGGCAGCAAGACACTATATCCTGAACTGGGCGTTTGGGCGCTGGACGTTCACGCCGTCTGATATGGTGGCCGAGACGGCCGATCCTGCGGTGGCGGCTAGAATTACTTTCATTCTGGCCCGGTATGAGTCGGGCAAGTGGAAGAAGAGGCTGGAGGCCGGTGGATTGGTTCAGGTTGCGGAGGGGAGTACTAGTGAGGGGGCGGAGTTGGTGGTTGAAAGACTAGTCTAGATGGGTCTGTTTGAACATTTTCTGCCAGGTCTAGAATTGGGCATGATGCTGGAGCTGGCTCTGCATCGGATGACCTGCTGATTGCGGGGTTGGGTTATGTATGCATGAATATATACGATGACAGTGTGGGGTGATAGATATCAGATAGACTAGATTTAAACACGAAACGTTGTGCAATGAAGATAAGGGGAGCCCCTTTTAAATGAAACAGGCATATATGACCAAACAGACTTCTGTAAATACACACTGTATTCGACCCGAAATCTACTCTAGAAGCACACAAACACATTTATTAACAAAGCAGGTCAACGAGCGACCTGCTAAGTAGAGCAACATATAAGTACCAAACGGAAGCCAAAAAATATCAAACAATAGTGAGTCTAGTACTCGAGGAGCGCAGAAGCCCCGGCTTCGCTGGAGATGTAGATCACCTCGTGGTTGTCCGAAAAGCCGTTAAAGCGGGTCGCGCTACACTTGGTGTAGGCTCCCATCTCCTCGAAGTAAAGCCAATCTCCAACTTCCAGCAGAGCTGGCAGCGCAATGCGCTTGGAGATAACATCAATGCCGTCACAGGTCGGCCCCCAGATGGAGTACGTGACACCCCCCGAAGTCGCAGCATAAGGGGAGTTAGCGGCCGACGCACAGGTCAGGACCTGGGCCACGGGGTGCTGGTGGTCAAAGATGATGTTGGAGAAGTTTCCATACACCCCGTCGTTGAGATACAGCATGTAGGCGTCGTTGGCCGGGTCCTCCGGGTCGCGCACCTCACGGCGAGCAATGATGTTGGCCGCCAGAGTGAACGCATTGGCAACATAGTAGCGACCCGGTTCGGCAATGACCCGGATGTTGGGCGGGAAATAGGTCTCCAACGCCTCGCTCAGGACGCCGGCGAATTTCTCAAAAGTGTCCTGGGAGAAACCTCCGCCGACATCCAAAGTGTGCAGTTCGTGGCCAATCTCTGCGGCTTGATCAAACACAAGGCGCGCGTCCTGCACGGCTTTCAGGAAAGCCTTAGGATCCTCAGCGCCTGATCCGACGTGAAAACTCACGCCGACCACCTTCAGCTCGAGCTGGTGCGCCAATTCGAGGAGCTGGCGAGCAACGTCCAAGGAAGCTCCGAATTTCATGCTGAACTGGCACAAGCTGTTCGAATCATCCGTGAGGATGCGCAGATAAAGCTCGGCGTCCGGGTAGTTGGCCTTGATCTTGTACAGCTCGTCGGCGTTGTCAAAGGTCATCTGCTTGACGCCCACCTGGGCGGCGTAGCGCAGATAGGACTTGGTCTTGCAGGGCTGCGCGTAGATGATGCGGCTTGGGTCGACGCCGGTCTCGAGGGCCATATCGATCTCGGCCTTGGACGCACAATCAAAACCGTTTCCGAGTTTAGCCATGAGGCGAAGGATCTCCGGGTCGGGGTTGCACTTGACCGCTATTGACTCACTGTTAGCCGCTGTCATGAAAATCCCAGTTGTGCATTCATATCCTTACCGTAGAAAGGCCGAACACGGCTCAAGTTCATTTTCCAGCGCAGATGCTGGCGGTAGACCTCCCCCCATATCTGCCACGTAAAACGGGTCCTCCTCTCCTGGCGCGCAGCTGTCCACATTGACCTCAGCTGCGCGCTTCTTCAGGATGTCCAAGACTAGTTCCTTGGCAGCCAACCTAGATTGCGATAAATCGTCCCCTCCATGATTGCTGAATTGACCATGATCCCAATTGAGATTATAGTCGTGTTTCTCCTGGTAGTATTTAGGAGTGCATACTTCAGCAGGTACACAAGCAGTCGGTGCCATAACCATGCGCGCTGCGACGGAGCACGGAATAGGTCTTTTAAAAAAGTAAAGTAGTAAAAAAAAAGTTGAGTGTCTTTAACGCGACTGCGTGTTAGGGAGGGCGAAAAGATTCGCAACCGAAGTTGACTGGACCAAGCCTCCTAGACCCTTCCTCCTTGAGAGGAAGAACCTTCAGAGAAGTCCTATGCGGCAGCTCAAGAAAAGAGGGGATGAGCTGAGTGGGCGTCAGGAGGTTAAAAGGAGGAGCACCGGACGTAAACACGGGAGTCGACACCAGCAGGAGGGGGAATGTTGTTAAGAGTGTCGCGGGGACGTCTCGGAGATACAATGTGACGAAGAACGAAATGGGAGGCTACGAGAGCCGTGGTGAGCTTGGAGCCTTTGGAACTGGTGGATTCCAAAGGCCTAGAAAATGCGACGTGGAAGGATGAGTGAGAGATTTGGAGAGGGAAAAAAACAAGGTTTTTTTCCCAATTAGAAGAAATCTGACGCGACCAGCCACTGATCAGCAAGCTTGTATGACAGCTCCGATGAGAACTGAAAGGGGTTGCGAGATTTAATTTCTGGGTCCGGGGGGAGGAGGGGGGAAGGGCAGGAGGTGAGAGGTGCGTGCAGAGTTTTAACGACTTGGACGCGGAGGTTAGGGCAAAGGGCACGGCGTCAGGCAGACACCCGGGGGGGAAGGAAACGATCTCGATGAGTCGATAATACGAGGAAGGCCGAGCGCTGCAGGACACCCAGCAAGGAACGAGAGAATGGATGAGGACTTACCGCAATGGCTCGATGTAAATGGGGGTGCGCAACAAAGGGACGATGCAGACGAAGTCGAAGAGAGAAAAAGCAGCGACAGAATAGAGGGATGAGAGAGTGGTTCTCGTGGGGGGGGGGAGATTACGGCATCTCCCGAATGGCCGTGCCCCTCTCCCGTCACCGCTCGGTACGGTTCTGTATAGTATGTATAGTATGTATAGTATGTATCTTACCTCCGCCTCTACTTCGCCCTTCCATCATTATTTCCCTCACCTTCAACGTACCCCGGAGTGGATCACTGCCCTTCACACAGTATGGTTACTTTTTCTCTCATCCCGCCAGTAATGGTTGATGTGGTCTCAATCTTGCTGCCTGTCTCCTGTTCCATGGGAACCTGGCAGATCCCCTTGCTCACTGATTCGGCCTGACGCCCTCCCGATTTTCCCTCAACTTTCCAATAGATCAGTCCCTGAAGATCCGTCGTCTGAATCCTGGGCCTACGGACAGTTTACTAGTGTACCAGACAATTTGAGTCACTTTCTCTCTCGAACCACATGCTTCTGCTTATCACCTTAGGATGGTTTGTCTCTCGGCACCTGCCCACCGGGATGCGTCATCCGGACCATCTAGATATGATGAGTACTACTCCGTACTTCCCGCGCAACTGGCAAGGGAGACAGATAAGTGGTCCCTCAGTTCTGAAGAAAGAGGACCGGGCAAGTACTTCCCGCGAGCTAGAATTTGAACCGGCCTCACCAGGTCGTACATGGTAGTATAGGCCCGGAACAGACTGTTCCTGGTTTCGCCACTTCAGCCTGTTTCTTGGAAAGTGCGGCATGGCGCGCTGCCGTCCGTCTTTTTTGATGCCTTCTTATTAGCCGCCTGTCCATTGGTTCAAAAAGCTTGACCGCCGTGGCTCGTTGGTCGGCAGTATTTCAATCGCTCCACCCGGGCGGTGACAGACCCTGATCTACAGTTATGTGGCACGTGATGGGTATCCTATTTGCACCACCCATCAAAAATTGATGCGACGTCCTGAATTGTCCAAAGATAATAATAGGTCTTCGTGTTAACTTATTATTGTATTACCTCCAAGTATTCCATATCCATCAATATTGTACCATTTTGAGTCATGAGTGGAAAACTAACTACATGATACTTAGTAGTACTACTAGTAGTAATCGGTCCGTCCTACTGTACTAAATATATCTCAACTGAGAAGGCACGGGTCATGGGATACGACGAGCAATGATCTTACGGCATCATGTGGCAGGGCACTGCCTACTACCGGCATACTTTAGTATTAAGGCTTAAGATCTATCGAATGAATCTGACCGACTGCAGATTTTAGTGGATTGACGATTGCAAAAAGCAGAAAATAGAGATATCAATAGGTTCAACATCCCTCTAGCAATAGGCCAAAGAATAAGACATTGTCACTATCACCGTTGTACATCACAGAAAACCCAACAATGAATATGCACCAAGTCCAAGACCACCATCTCATCAAGACAACCAAAACAACCACGCGGCATAATCACATAACTCATATACTCATACATTCATAGCGTACACCACAAGCGCTGCAATTCAATCCAACCCAATAACCCAAATAAGCTTAGATAATTAACCAATCCAAACGGAACCAGCCGTTCATCCCCGACATCCACCCAGAATCAACGCCTCACCCCAATCAAAGGCCACCGGACCTTGCTCGGATCAGTCTCAATCTTCCCACGCTCACGAGTCGGGCCAGCTAACTGAGCACTACTACTAGCACTTGCAGGGTTGAGACTACTACTCTTCGAAGTCGTTATCGTCGTTGTCGAACAAACACCACCAGATTTTGTTGACCATGCATTCATATTCGCAGGGCGCTTCCCCTTGTCCTTGTTTCGAGTCGTTTCCGCACCGGAACGGATAGTAAGTTGGTTTAGAGTATCCTGTCTGAATTCTTGTTTCTTCCAGCTATTTGACGACTGGTCAAATGTCAGTGCCTGTGCAGGGTCGAACATCAGTGGGACCAGATCTTCGCGTTTACGGTGCTGTGCGTTTGAACGTCTAAGCCCTCCACTCACCGCGGGATTTGCCTTGTTGGCATTGAGGTTGAATTTGCGTTGTGACGGTAGGGACATCTTCGTAGGGGGCTGATAAAGAGGTTTGTGGTTATTATTCTTTGTTGGTGAGGTTGTTGAGTTGGTGAGAGGGATGTAGAGACTTGGTAGGTAGTGATAGTAGATGGAGAATATAGAGGGGAAGATGGGGCCAGAGGGAATCGAGGGAAAGTTGTGATAATGATGATGATGGTGGGATTTGAAATAAGTGCCAATAATCCAAGAGATGTATTATGCTAATTCGAGGTTGAGGCTGGAGGGTTTCCAACTGTTTATATGTTGTGAAGCTAGGAATATTGGATAAGAGCAGAGACTTGTTTGGAGTTCTCCTTATGTCAAAACAAAGAGTAGGCTTACGCTTAATGTTTCAGTTTGTTGCGGCTGCTTCTTTTGTTTGAACCGGGGTCTTGTGCATGGGGACGGCATGCTGGGACCGATTAAGAAACAATGTGAGGACAGTGGCCGGACGAGAATGCTATATATGAGTGTTTGATATTCTATCGTCGTCACGACGATGACCGCGGACTGGTGAAGAAATCCCAGTTCTCAATGAAAATAAGTGAGTTTCAGTTAGACAGCGTCACCTGATCCGCAGTCTGGAAGCACTACTTTGTATATCGGCAATCGTCTGCTGTTCGATATAATATTCTTTATTCTCAGCAATTCTTGTCCTTTCAAATGCTAAAAGGACTGTTCTGGCCATACTCTGTTCGAGGGGATACAATGACTGTGTTTACGGCAATACCATGGGTAACTAGCTATCTTCGCCTCAAGTTTCACGAAGACGAAATAAAAGTTATTACCAAGAAGAAAAAAGGTATTATAATACAAGAATCGTGAGACGGAATATCTGTGGAAAAGGAAAGGAAACAAGCGCTAGGAACGTGTCGAATCCGAAAGGGTATAATAACGAAGAAATAACAGTCTTTCTTCTCGATTTGTCTCATTCACAACCACAAGACCCATCTGACACCTGAAAGAACACCCCTAAAAACCCCTCGCAAGATCTTGAAAGCCATTACAATCAGCCAAACCCACCAGAGCATGCCAACCAGTGCCCATTCAAGCATCACGAACCCGGTGCGCCGAACCCAGCGCAACCGGCGATGACGCCGCCTGACTCCTTTGTCGAGTGTATCGCTCAGCTGCTTGACAGCAAGCGTACTAGTCGTGTTGAGTTGGACGCTCAAATCCTCTGCGTCCTGTGTGGCTGCCTGGACACGCGGCGAGATGGTATCATTGACAATGTCCTCGAGCTTGTTCAGTTGCGACCTTAAAGGAGATGAGACCGAACCAGAGAAATTGTCTATGGATTGTTGGAACGAGCGATGTGTTTTCTCGAACCTTCTGAGCAGACCCTGTGCAGCTACATCGTACTCATAGAGCCGAGTTACTTGCGGTACGGATGCTTCCGTACCAAATGTGCGTCGAAGGAAATCTGGTGGTGGCTGCCGCACACACTCTGCTCGCCGGGTGATCTCTCGGGCTTTAATCCCCGAAGAAAGAAGAAGGGCCCGCGTCCGCTCGATTTCGCGCTTCCCAGGAACACCAACAACAAGCGAGCTAGATATGCTGCGATTAGATATACTCCAGCTTCTTGACTCAGTTGCCAGTCTTGGGCGTTTCTCCTGGGACGATGAAGTAGTGTCTGCTCTCGCTTGAGCAAGACCTGTGACAGGAGGCCTCGTCAAACTGAAGGGAACATTGACATCTCTGATGTTACCCTTTTTGTATTGTTCCTGCACTGTATGGATATCAGTGCTAAATCGTAATTTCTCATGTTTTGTTGCTGGCGTATGGAGAGATGTAGAAAACCCGCCCACTTCTCTCTGTGAATCCGTCGTATCGATGTCAGCACCGTTCTTAGGAGGACTGCCGTAGACAGACGGTTGATATTCTCCTAAACGGTCTTGCCGAGCCGTGGAGGCAAAGGGAGACGGAGGAGGCACATTGGTCTTCGCATTGATCTTCTCAATGTTCTTGCGTGAAGTTCGGTTGGGATCGTCGGAGAACGTAGGGAACCGGCGCAAAAGAGACTTAGCGCCAGACATCCTATCCCCTCTAGCTTCTTCCGGATCATCGGGAGGATCGGAAACAGAAGTATCCGTGCTTGAAACGGAAGATCTACGTGACTGGGCAACGTTATCCTTTTTGAGTATTAGATCCCCTACTTTTGACATTTCGTTGCCCACTTTCTCTGCGATCTTCCCAGGGCCCTTGAATATTCCACGCAGCTTGGATTCGCCCTGTACTGCGTCTTTGCGGTTCTGTGAGTTGACCTTTGATGGGTCTTCTTGAAATGCCGAAGAGATTCGATCGGGAAGCGGGCTTGGTTCCAGCCTTCCACCCGGGGAAATGACCTCAGGATGCCCAGCTGAAGTATCCTTGCGCACAGCCGNCGAATCCAGGGAGCTATTATCCGCGTTATCTTTTGCCCGAATATTGCTCTTGCTCCGCTCATGTCGAGCACCAATAGCACGTGAGAAGCGGCCCTTTGTAGGCGACGGTGAACGGCTTGCCGGTGGGGATAGATTGGACGCAATACTCGGAAACATGCCGACCTGTGCATGGAGCTCGGGAGACCTGCTTTCTGCAGTCGATAAGGTCGTCAGGGGGTCGTAGCGATCATCGACGCTCGGGATAGAGGATATAGAACTTCGCTTTCCCTCTGACCGGGCCCAAGTAGGAGATCTTCCGGTCACATAACGGGGAAATGTATCATGGGTTGGCGTCAGTCTGGTATCCATAGCGGTGTCATACTCTGAGAGCGCCTCAGAGGCTCGAAGTCGTGAGGCGCCGGGCAGTGGGGACACATCCCTCTCAGAGGACAACGTATTATCCATAGGTGATTCCCGGTACAAACGCCCCTCAGCACTAGAGATGCTTGAAGAGCTACTTGATAATAGTCCCAGTTTATGTCTCTTAGAGCCTGTAACTTTCCCTGATGCTTCGATTCCATATCCACTACGGCCAGAGCCGTGGAACCTGTGCCGACGCCGTCCACGCCCGACTCTATTGAATTCTGTTGCTAGAACAGAGCGTGAATCAGACAAGGAGGTACGAGAAGTGGGGTGCTCCGAGTCTAGCGATTGCCGGTTATTCTGTAGCTGCTCCGTTGGTTCAATGGGCGTCTGATTATCATCAGGAGTAATAAGGATCGAGGGATCTGGGTAGAGATTATTTCCATCCCTATCAACGATCTTACTCTTGTTCTGCCTTTCCTCGACCCACGCGGCATCGGAAAGGAACTCTGCTGGGTCGATGACCCAGTCTAATCTTGGCCTGCGTGCTTTGACGCTACTAGCACGGCTGGCACGCCTTAGACTTGAAGGAGGAGAGACAGCAAGATGATCAGGTTCTTCCACCTCTGCACGCGGCATAGCATCCTTGCAATTGTGAAAAGCTGGAAGCCGCAGACATTCAAGAGGACCATGCGGTTGCTGGCCGTATTCAGCTTGCACCGAATCGACCCATTGATGTACTTTCTCCGTATCGTACCATCCGGCTGCCTCCGTGTCTATTGCACAGCGCTCACGAAATCTCACTTTGCGATTGCGAATGCACTGGAGAGGATTGTAGACCCGGTGTGATGGAAAGCCACTGCTATTTACAGATGTTGAATCGGCATTTTGATCGTCAAATGGTTGCAGAGGAGGAAGGGAAGGAAGTAGTCGTAGATATTCCGAAAATAGCTCAAAATGGCGACGAGCTTTTTCAGCTCGAGCGAGTGTGCTTTCTGAGAAGCCCTGCGGCAAGGGTTCCGATCCAGCGGAATGTGGAAGTAGACTTGCCACTGAAGATGGCGCATGGGTCGACAGTCCACCTGGTTGAATGGAGCCAACTGTTCTAGTATGATCTTCACCCGGTGCTTGTGTGACCCTTTGACCATGTTGAGAGCCATGTCCCAGGTCGGTTACTGGAACTGAAGCATGTCTACCAGTGTATGGAGCGGATGGCTGACCACCTGCCAGAGCCCATCTACCTCCTGAAAGACGATTTGAAGCAGAGCGACCTAGGCTATTTCTTTTTCTTGACTCGCTCAGATTCAAGGCAAGATTCACTATCTGGAGCGAATCCCTATCAAGGCCTACGGCGGCCTGATTGTCCGTCTGCTTGGAATGCGACTCCTGAGAGGCCGCCTCCTGCTCCAGATGAGAAGAAGCAGGAGTCTCTTCCGCTGCTGTGGGTTCCGTATGCTCCGTATGATTGGTATGCTCCGCCTGTTCTACTTGCGATACTTTCTGCTCTTTATGCCGAATCCAAGGGAATCGCGAGCGCTTCTTCGGAACCACCAGGTCCGGTTCGGGTGCTTCACACTTCTCCTTACGGCTGGATTCTGAGCGGCGAGGAAGGTATTGGCTTGCACGCAAGCTCTTCGACCTGGGTAGAAAAGATGAATCCACTAGGAACCCGCCAGAGCTGGCCGTTCGGCGTTGGGCCCGGCCTCCTTTATCGCCATCCCGAGAGCTGCTACCGAGAGTGCTGCCCTCTAGCTCTCCGCTCGCTCGTCCCTCGTTCATATGCGCACCCTTTCGCCGGTCGGAATTATCATTAGACGTATTGTATCGTATATGGAGCCCTGGCTGTGTCTCATCGGTTTCAGGCATAGGAGGTGTAGGTGGATGCGATTCATTGGTCTTCGGCGACATCAAAGCTATGGTGACGAAGTGGTCCGTCCCGCGGGATAGGAAAGGGGGCAACGTCCACGAGTAACGGCCGACATGGGGATATGCGAGAAATTGCTAGAATTCAGTCATGGCTTCTGGAGGAAAAACAGGGATCTAGGGAGATCAATCTGGACACCCCCTCGTCCTCGTTGTCCAGATGTGGTCTGACGATCGCTACTTCATCAGTAGGCAGCAGATGCATGATGCGCCGCGGCCCACGTGGAGCTGCAAACACGGCAAACAATCCCCCTCAATATTAAACATTCCCCAGACTCGATTACCAACGTATCAGATAGCTGACAAGTGATGCTCCACACATACATTGTGAAGCAGTGGGATATTCGAATAGTGCTTGAAGCTTTCAACTAGTATACAGTATACAAAGGAGAATATCTAGCATTGACTCTAACAACGCAGGCGGACAACTAGAGGTACAAGTCCTGTAGATAGGAGGCATGAGGTACAAGAAAGCTAAAATGATATCGAGGTTATTCTCTACTCGACCCTCAAACATTGTAGACGCGCCTCAGTTTCAATCACCTATAGATAGAATATGTCAGTTCAGTTCATCCAGAAAGACAGAAATTTTTGGGCGGAATCCTTACCTCCAGAGCTTGCTTAACTTCCAACACTCTGCGAACATCCACAAGCCAGTCCTTGCTCAGAATCTTGGCCCATCCCGACAAACTGTTCATCTCACGAGCTGCAGCATCGAGGTTACCTTCTTCCAGGAGGCTCTCGGTCCGGTACAGCACACTCTCCACATCGTCGCTACCGGCAACAGCATCCTTCTTGAACATGACCTTGCTCAGGACGACACTGGCAGCGTGGCTAGCGATACCTGCATCTTCGGGCAGAAGGCTAGCCTTGCGCACCTCATCAGCGACGCGACGGAAGCGCTCGATGATCTGAGAGGTCGAAGGAATTCCACGCTGGTAAGCAGCAGGGTTGATGGAAGAGATAGCAGCCTCAACAACGGGGTCCTCAGCGGCCAATTCCTTCACAGCGACAAGCTCGCGGACGAAGGGGCGAGGAACTGCAGAGCGATCAACAACGGAGCGCACGGCATCAACAGCCACCTGGAGTTGTTGGGTCCTGAGGTTGCTGTCAATGACCTCTCTCCAGCCAGAGGTAAGCTTCTCCAGCTCGCTGACGTTGGCGGTGAGTTCGTTCAATTTGCTGAGACGACCCTCGCGCTCCCGCTCCACGAGCTCCTTGACTTCGTGCAGGTACTTGCGGTTAAGCTCAATGGCTTGCTCAACCAGCTCGTTCTTGAGGCGCTGTTCGGCCACCTCCTGAGCTCTCTGCAACTCCGTTCTGATCTTCTCCTGGTAGGCATGAGCCAACTTTTCACGCTCAGCCTCGAATTCCTCGCGGTACTGGGCGGCATCGGCCGCACGCATTTCGTCAAAACGACGGATAAGCTCGCGAGCAGACTCATCGAAAGTAGCATGGGCCTGTTGGATCTCCTCCTGCGCAGCACGGCGGGCCTCCTCGCGAACAGCGATGATCTTCTCTCCAACCTTCTGGAGTTCCTCCTTGGCCTTGGCCACGGGCTGAGAGTACTTGCCGGAGTTCTCATCAGCGCTGATGACGGTGATCATGTCGTTGAACGTCTTCACCAACTCCTGGACGATTGCTTCATCTCCCTCGTTGACCTGAGCAAATTCGAGAGGAGTGACAGCAGGAATGGCCGGCTGTCTGGGCTCCTCCTTCTTCTCAGCCTCCTTGGCGGCCTTATCCTCCTTAGCCTTCACAACAGCAGTGGTCTTGTCCTCGGGCTTAGCGGCGGCGGGCTTGGTTTGCGCTTCGGAGCTCTTCTGAGCTGGAGTGGCACTCATGTGGGGGCCTTTCTGGGAGACATCTGCTCCCGAAATCTCCTCTTCGGCGACCTTTGAGGTGAGTCCGCTCTTGCTTGGGATGGTGATCTTGTTTCCTTCATCCCTTGGGGTCGGGTTAAGGCGGTTCTGGTTTCTCAAAGTATTCGGGAATCGACGGTAGAAGTCACGCTCTTCGAAATAAAGGACACTCTCCTCACCATAGGGAATGTATTCGGTAAAGAAATCGTGGAAGTTATCGAATTTCAAAGCCAGGAAAACGCCGCCACCGTATGCGAATCCGGAGGTAAGCAGCAGGTAGAGAAGGAATCTGCGGAAGCGTCCACCCTTGGGAGCTGGGGTAGGAGGAGTAGAGGGAGGGAGAGTGGACTCTGTCATACATCAGCACTGGGGAAGCTTGCGACTCAACTGATCAGAGCATTCGTACCTTGTCCGGCGGGCGATGGCTTAGGGACGGTCTCTGGGGGAACAGCAGACTCGGAGGACGGAGTAGCGGGCGTAGGAGCAGCGGTGGTAGGGGGCTTAATATCGGCGAAGAACCTCTGCAGAGAATTGATACGAAATTAGTTGGGATGTTTGTGACTCAACTGCGGATGCCGTCACCGTACCTGACCTGAAAGCCGGCTGCTTGCTCCGGCTCTGGACAGCCATTGAGATGCGGTCCGCTGACGAGCGGAGGACAGCAGCAACTGCCGTCCCGGTGCAACAGAAGAGCGCAGCATCATGGGCCGCACTACCATGGAGATGAGCGCTGAGAGCTGGCTTAGTTGAGGGGTTGGTGTTGATGGGAGTGAAAACGCGGACCGGAATTGGGATAGGTGCTTTTACGATCCGCTCCGATCCTGCACCGCCAAAGAGTGGCTCAGCTCGGGTCACCTCGCACCGCCCGCGCCGGCTGTCCGGATAGACCGAGCTAGCTGCCTTATAGTGCTGCAGGACATTATTCTGTCCACAAATAAGCGCTTAATATCAGTGGCAATAACTAGTTATTGTATAGAATATAGTTGTTTATCTATTATTTGCATCTACAAGACTCACTTCACCTTGCTCCAAACACCTACTATGCGTATGTCACTGGAATTAATAGATGGCTAGTTCAGATCCGATGACTGAAGGTGGAGTATTATATAGGCATAGCATACTGAGAGTCTCAGGAAGAACGACAAAGAAAAGTAAGAAAGTAACATGAATTCAACCCATCAGAAGGATACAGACGCCAGCAGAAGAGGAAGCAGAGACAGATAGAACAACGCGGAACAAAGAAATCATAGGTTCATCCCTGTCGCATAATGTCTAGACAGTCAAATCCAACCGTGCCAGTACAGTATAAAGCTCTCTCCCCACATCCAATGACGGTATTTGAAAAGTTTCGTCTTGTCAGATCAAGTCCAGTGAGAAAGACTGATTAAGATTGAACGGATCATCAAGTTCAAATCCGTAGGGATAACCGAATCCCCTGGGAAGCAAGAGACACCTATACGACGCCGATCGGCCAAAGTTGCAGTAATCACGGCACCATTAGAAAGCCATAAAACAGTCTTGTTCGAAGTCGCTGACGGGTTGCACACTGTTTGCCCAGCGTGCCGGTTCACATTCAAGCTAGAAGACACACGTCTCCTGCATCTAACAACAGACCATGCGAAAGGAGGAAAGGAAGAAAGGGGGATTAGATCGAAGAATCGACACACAACAGTTAGTACACGCCACTTGGAAAGCCTAGCAGTTGCAGGAACCGGCACCTTGGGTACCGGGTGCTTCTGGCCGCAGGTCAACACCAGGACGGGGAGTTGTGCGCAGGTTTCGAGGACCCGCCTGATCAAGAGGGAGTTTCTTCGCGATTGCTGTGAATAGTTCCTTAACGTTGGAGGAGGTCTTTGCAGATGTCTCAAAGAACAGAAGACCAGCTTCACGTGCATAGGCTTCGGCGTCAGCCGTAGGAATGGCTCTCTTGTCCGGGCTCTCCGTCACCAGATCGAGCTTGTTTCCTGCAAGGGCGATGACGATGTTCTCATTTGCCTGACGCTGCAATTCCTTCACCCACGACTTGGCCTTGTCCAGTGATGACTGCTCAACGTTACGACCAATTAGTTACTGTAGGAAAGGAATAGGTCGAGCCGGGAATCATACAGCCTGAGTGATATCGTACACAACGACCGCGCAGTTGGCGTTTCTGTAATACATGGGGGCCAGAGACTTGTATCTCTCCTGGCCGGCTGTATCCCATATCTCGAACTTAACCGTCGTGCTTTCGTCCAGGGAGATGGTTTGTGTGAGGAAGGCGGCGCCAATGGTCGACTCGCGGTAATCATCAAATTGATCCTTATGCAGTGTTAGTCCCAGTAAGTCAACCAAAAAAAACCGTCCTTTCGTAAGAAAAATTTCCGGAAATATCGACGAATTATCCCACCTTGACGAATCTCAGTACTAGCGAACTCTGTGGAGCCAGAAAGTCAGCGACCGCTATTTAGAACCCTGAAGATCACAAAATCCCAACCTTTCCGACCGCGGACTCTCCTAGAAAGGGCGAACGAAAACAACATGTCAGTACTTTTGTCGCACACTATAGTGGGGCCAATAACAGGGGGATACCAACCCAGCAATACAAGCTTGAACTGAGCGAACCTGGCCCCGGGACGGGCGCCTGCTGCGGCTCTGGAGGCCATAGTCGATGTGGTTTAAGGAGCAACTTTCACGAGGAAAAAAAGTCAAGAGAGAATGGCGCCCACGATACAAGCACAAAAGGGGGGGCTGGATGAGGTGGATAGCTCGAGATGGAGGGAGGAAACAAGTATTGGAGGCGGACTCGGGATGCTGGGAGGTTTGATGGCGGCCTGTCGGTGGTAGATGACGAAGGGATTCATTCAGCCACACCTGGCCCAAGCCGACTGGCCGCTCTGCGGGGCGGTGTGGCGCCCTGGCCGATTCCGTCCGCGCCAGCCTTGCTTATCACCACCAGCACATGCTGGCACAACGAGGTGCTGTGAGGTACCTCCGTCTCTCTTGCTCCCGAGCCTCCCTGGAGATCATCCCGGGGTTCCCTGAAATTACGTCTCTGCCTGTTGTTCATTCGTGCCTCTCACCTTCCGTTCCCTTTCACTTTCCCCCCCATCCTTCTTGCGCAATATGCGCTGAATTTTTTCTTACCACACTCTTTGACCCTCCCCTGAACTATACCTTGTTCTAGTATCTCTCCCTTCTTCCTTTTTAAGCTTCTTCGTCCCACATCGTGGGTAAACGCCCAACAATGGCTGCCTCCGTTCTTCCGTTTCGCGACATCAATTTGCACGCTGCCTCCTCTCATTATGCCTTCACTTCACCATCGTCCCCTAATGCCCCGACCCTTGTTGTCGAGCGTCCGACCGGCGACTTGCGGCTCAGTAACGGCACCCTCTCCGGAGCTAAGCGCATCTCCAGTATTGCAGGCATTCTGGGTATTATCAAACTGAAGCTCGGTGAGTCCCTGCAAATATACTGTCCTGTCCGTCATTATACTAATCTGTTTAGATAAATATATCATAGTTATCACCAAGGCCCTGCCCGTGGGGCGCCTACGCGGCCACATGGTCTATAAGGTTGCGGCGACCGAGTTCTTGCCCCTGCGTGAGCGCTCCCTGCACGACTATGATGAAGATACATATCTGGCACTGTTGAAGGAGCTGCTTCGTACAGGCCCAATGTACTTTTCCTACGCTCTGGATATCACCAATAGCTTCCAACGTCAGTCGCAAACCGACCCCAACCTTCCTATGTGGAAACGAGCCGACGATCGATTTTTCTGGAACCGTTTCATCCAGTCGGACTTGATAGACTTCAGCCTGGGAGAACATGATGTTACCGGGGTGCGCTACGGACCACAACCTGGAGTTGACCCATATATTCTGCCTGTTATGTTCGGAATGCTTCGTATCACGCCCGCGAAAGTCAAATCCACCTCTTTCACATTTGCTCTTATCACCAGGAGATCTAGGTACCGTGGTGGGACGAGGTATTTCTCCCGCGGTATCGACGATCAAGGCCACGTGTCCAACTACAATGAGACTGAGCAGATTGTTATCCTCAATGATGCGACGGGGGGTCTCTCTGGATTCTCTGGAGGCCAGTCTCTAGCAAAGGACAAATTGGATGGCTCAGCGCAGGACCTTCAGGTCATGGCGTTCGTGCAGACCAGAGGAAGCGTGCCCGTATACTGGGCCGAAGTCAACAACCTAAAGTACACACCGAAGCTGCAGGTCCGTGGGGTTGAAACCGCCGTGGATGCTGCTCGTAAGCATTTCGCTGAGCAGATTCGTGTCTATGGCGAAAATTACTTGGTCAACCTTGTGAACCAGAAAGGCAGGGAAGAGCGTGTCAAGACTGCCTACGAACAGCTGGTTCGCATTCTAGTGTCGTCCTCTACCGATAGCACCGAAGCGGATGAAATATCATCAGAGAAGGTGCACGCGGTGGAGCCCGGACTGAGGCAGAGGGAATTGGACCGACTCCACTACGTATATTTCGACTTCCACAATGAGACAAAGGGACTCAAGTGGCACCGTGCGGAGTTGCTGCTGGAACGGCTCATGGACGGTCTGACACGAGGTGGATATTTCCGTGGAGTAGAAAATCCGGGTGCTCCTGGTGGTCAATTGGATACACGCTCCGCGCAGTCCAGCGTCGTCCGGACGAATTGCATGGATTGTTTGGATCGTACGAACGTCGTTCAAAGTATGCTGGGACGTTGGGCTATAACACGCCAACTCGTTGATGCAGGGGTCTTACAACCTGGAGAAGCAGCGAACGACGACCGCGACTTTGAAAACCTATTCCGTAACATCTGGGCGGACAATGCAGATGTTGTGTCTAAGGCCTATTCCGGCACTGGAGCACTGAAGACCGATTTCACCCGGACTGGCGAGCGCACTCGCGCTGGTATGCTGCAAGACTTGAATAACTCCATCACACGATATGTACGGAACAACTTCATGGACGGCCCTCGCCAAGATGGGTTTGATGTCTTCCTGGGCACCTATCTTCCCCCCAACTCCACCCTGGGGAACATCCAGCTCTTCCTGGATCGTCGACCACTCATCATCCAGTCTGTTCCGTATATCTTTGCTGCCGGAGTCTTCTTGATCGCGGTAGCCGCTTGCACAAAACGCTTACCCGACTCCACCGTGTGGCCCCTGCGCTTATTTGTTCTTTTCTGGTTCATCGTCAGCGCCTGGTGTGCACGGTTTATCCTTGCTCATGGAATGCTCTATGTAAGACCTCCTATTGTCCTCCTCATTATGTCCACATACTGACCCGATGAAACAGGTAAATTGGCCGAAATTGAACACACCTACAGCTGGCTCTGAGGGGTATCAAGATGCGCTCATAAAGGCTCGCTCTGATCCTATAGTTGGCCAACTACTCCCTGCGAGGAGGCACCAGAGAGGCTATAGCAATGCCCGGCTGGTCTTCCTCGAGGAGGGCAAAACGAGGATCGAGTAATCTGTCTCGCCGTACTTTTTCATCCACTTCTTCAATAAAACTAAGCATGTTACATGGCCACTATGTGTTTCTGTACATTTAGTGTTACTTGTTCATTTGGCTTTAGATCCGTTTATGTTCTTGCTTCTTTCCCTCTTTCCTTTTACTATTATTTCATTTCTGTTTTGAAGCTCTACTCGGCCTCCATTTCTTATTATTACTCTTTATAGAAGTCGGTCGACCTTAATGTGATTAACACGCTGATGGTCGCACCATCGGCTGTTCAGGCCTTTTCACCCCCGCAAATTAAGTAGAGACCTAATAATCCAAACCAAGTTGACTCATTCCTAAGTATCTGCGGGCTACAAGTCAATCTGGGTTTCCGCTTCCGGCTTACACATCACATGATGGAGGGGTGGCTTCTTGCTCCCAGCTGTTAGCGGTAACCGGCCCATCCGTGCAGCTGTGCTGATGAAAATGGCAATAATGACCATTGACAATGACTTAACTATCAAAAATAATAGCGGGACGGCCCACAAAGAACCAGATCGGCCAAGTTGATTTGCCGGATAACTGGGTCGTTTTAAGGTAATCGGGCTTAGCGTCAGTACTGCCGGCAGAACAGCTGGAACTCCATAAGCCCAATTTGATCGGAGCAGAAGGTCTCTCACTCTATTCATTGGTACCGGTGTGGTAATCGACCTGCAACCCCTCAGTCTTTAGCAAGGCACGTGAGCGGGTTCTTACTCGACCCTCATGAGGGGCATACGAACATTTTCTCCCTTCTATAGGTCTTGCCAGCTGCGTCGACACTTCTCTTGTGCCACAGTCATGTCCCGCAATTATGAGGTACGCGCACCTCCGATCGGATGCCGATGACTCAATGACTGGAATACCATTCTAACAAAATAACGCAGGCTGCGATTGCGGCCCTCAATTCGCTGCAAACCAATTTTGCGGTGGTTGAGGAATTGAGGAAGTCGGTGTCTAGGAAAGATATGAACCTACGCTCCCTTCCAGAGACCGTAGAGTGGCTCCGACGCATTGGTTACCAGGTGGGTACCACCTTCCACAGCAGATTCATGAAGCCGTGAAGTCCTGTCTGTCATGACTAATATAGGATTCTCTTTTATAGCCTTCGGACCTGAACCAAATAAATCCTATCCACGTTGCCGGGACGAAGGGCAAAGGCTCGACATCGTCCTTCATCTCCTCCATTCTGTCCCAGTATACTCCGTCTGGATCCGCGGATGCCCCCTCGCGCAAGCTCAACAAGGTCGGACTTTACACCTCACCTCACCTGCGATTCGCCCGAGAACGTATCAAGATCGACAATGAGCCACTCTCCGAAGAGAAATTCGCCAAGTACTTCTTTGAGGTATGGGATAGACTCGAAGAGGCTGCCCAGAAGGCGGGCGAAGACCCGACAAGCCTACGAACCAAGCCGCAGTACTTCCGATACTTGACTTTAATGGCTTTCCACACCTACATTAGCGAAGGAGTAGATGCTGCGGTTATAGAGTGCGGTATTGGTGGGGAGTACGACTGCACAAATGTGATCGAAAAGCCAGCTGCGACTGCGATCACTAGTTTAGGCATTGACCACACTGCCATGCTCGGAAACACCATTGAAGAGATTGCTTGGCACAAAGGCGGCATTATAAAGCCTGGTACTAAAGGGTTCAGTGCGCCGCAGCCTCCAACCGCGGAGAAGGTTCTGTACGATCGTGCAGCGGAGAAAGGCACTCAGCTTGAGATAGTAAGAGGTCACCCCGAGCTTAGCACTACCGGAGACGTAAAGCTTGGTTTGGCTGGTGATTTCCAATATACAAATGCCGCTGTCGCCGTTGCCGCAGCTGCCGAATTCCTCAGGAAGGTCGGGGTCGAAGATGTTCCTTCCGACATCCTCTCGAAGCCTTTGCCGCTAACGTTCCGCAAAGGGCTGGAGTCTGCCCGGCTTGGAGGTCGCTGCGAAACGCGACATGAGAAAGATGTCACCTGGTACCTTGATGGAGGCCATACATTGGAAAGTATCAGGCTCGCTGGCCAGTGGTTCGCTTCCCAGGTGCAAGCCAACTCTTCATCTACTGCAGCCGCGAACAAGAAGCTGCGCGTTTTGATCTTCAACCAGCAGACTCGCGATAGCAATGCTCTCGCCGAGGCTTTACATGAGACCTTATCTGCAGCCTTGGGCGCGGAGCAGCCTTTCACTCATGCTCTCTTTTGCACCAATGTCACCTACAAGGATGCAGGCTATCGTCCTGACCTGGTTAGTATGAACACAAATGCGGATGACGTGCAGAGGCTACAGGTCCAGAAAAGTCTTGCTGAAAAGTGGCATTCGATTGATCCCCGCGCCGAGGTCAAGGTGTATGGTACTATCGAGGAAGCTGTAGACTTCGCTCGGGAACTGGCGACGAGAGAGAGGGGCCTTGTAGGGCAAGATGAGGCTCCTGTCATGACTTTTGTCACAGGTAGCTTACTCCTTGTGGGTGGGTTCTTGGATGTGATCGAGACGAAGCCCAGCCAGTACAACTGAGTGTGCTTCCCAATTCCTTCTACATTGTATTTGCAAGTGAAGTGATGATTTCTGCCTCACCATGAGGTTTCAACAACAATTCTGGTGATACCCACAAACCAAGGCTAGTGCCTTATTTGCATGACACTAGCCTTATTTGCATGATTAATGGTCCGATGATGTCGAGATAGCATTAGAAGGGGCGTCTGATCTCTTTCAACAAAGCTCTTATTATCTTGTGTATATACTAGTATCGATAAAAATCGCGAGACGGTGTTGTGGATCCAAACGAAGCTTCACTGTAGTGTTAGGGTGGCTGCCATTACCGCGGCAGTGCGAGTAAGCTCCCCTCCCCGCGCAGGAACGGCGGCAACGTGGGGCTGCTTAGAAAACCTTCCCGTGTCCACTTTGGTCCGAACCCCTCGAACTTCGATTCATTATTCCCGCTGCTACAAGCTGTGATGTCGGACCCTAAGGATAACAAGGGCAAGGCCCCTGAGGCGCCCAAAGCTGAAGTGAGTAGCTTCCGATTTGTTGACCTGAACTTCTCATGCCCCTCAATGTTTGGAGATCGTCTAACAAGCAGCTACTCTAGGATGCGCCAGGTAACAAGCTGTCCACCAAGGCAGTGGAGGCTCTGCTGGAGAGCAATGCCGCCCTGAAGAATGAGCTGGCCGGAATGGACAAGGACAAGGCTGCGGAGGCTCTACGGAAGATGGATATTGCTGAGCTGTTGACGGGTCTCGCTGTGGGTGGAAAGAACCAGAAGGACATGGCTTCGTACAAGTTCTGGCAGACACAGCCGGTGCCTCGTTTCGATGAGGCGGCCAACGATGCTGGTGGTCCCATCAAGATCATCGATCCTGAGAAGGTGTCCAAGACCCCCGATGCGCTGATCGAAGGTTTCGAGTGGGCAACATTGGACCTTACCAACGACGACGAACTCCAGGAACTGTGGGATTTGTTGACATACCATTATGTTGAGGACGACAATGCCATGTTCCGGTTCAGATATTCGAAGTCATTTTTGCACTGGTTGGTTTACGCGATCATGTTGTCGGCGCATGTTACTGACTGCAATGGGTTCCAGGGCTTTGATGTCTCCGGGCTGGAAGAAGGAATGGCACGTCGGTGTCCGCGCCAGCAAGTCAAAGAAATTGGTTGCTTCAATCTGCGGTGTCCCCACGGAGGTTCGCGTTCGTGATCAGAAGATCAAGGTGACGGAGATCAACTTCCTGTGCATCCACAAGAAGTTGCGCTCCAAGCGTTTGACTCCCGTCCTAATTAAAGAGATCACCCGTCGCTGCTATCTTAGCGGTATCTATCAAGCCGTTTACACTGCGGGTGTTGTTTTGCCGACACCTGTTAGCTCTTGCCGGTATTACCACCGCCCATTGGACTGGCTGAAGCTCTACGAAATTGGTTTCTCGCATCTCCCCCGTGGCTCCACCAAAGCACGCCAGATCACCAGGAACCACCTTCCTAGCACGACATCAACCCCTGGATTGCGCGTTATGGAGGCCAAGGATGTTGACGCCGTTCAGGATTTGCTGGAGCGGTATTCCAAGCGGTTCGCCTTGAACCAGGCCTTCACCCGCGAGGAAGTCGAGCATTGGTTGTTGCACAAGGAAGAGGCTGGAAAGGAGCAGGTGGTATGGTCTTATGTGGTCGAAGATGCCGAAACCCACAAAATCACCGACTTTGTCTCCTTCTACAACCTCGAGTCGACTGTGATTCAGCACCCCAAGCACGACAACGTCCGTGCCGCTTACCTATACTACTATGGCACGGAGACTGCCTTCACCCAGGATCAGAAGGCTCTTAAGGAGAGACTGCTCATGCTGATGAATGATGCTCTGGTTCTTGCGAAGAAGGTATGATCTATATCAGTTTCCCTTCGAGTGAGCTTTGACTTTGGTCCATACTGATTAATTCTTAGGCTAAATTCGATGTTTTCAACGCACTAACCCTGCACGACAACCCTCTGTTCTTGGAGCAGCTCAAATTCGGTGCAGGTGACGGTCAGCTTCACTACTACCTGTACAATTATCGGACGGCTCCGGTCCCTGGAGGTGTCAACGATAAGAACCTCCCTGATGAAAAGAAGATGGGTGGTGTTGGTATCGTCATGCTGTAGGGTCTGGCACTCTGTTGCAATCTTGACACATGTGAAACGTTCTTCTGCAGTATTTGTTCGCAATTAAGGGCGGCATTTGAGGGAGGAACTGTGGATACTTCTATCATGAATATAAATGATGTTAAAAGCTCCGTACCTCCCTAGCGATACTAGCAGCAGATGGGTGCCTGGATCTGCACCGAAAGTAGATTAGCTGTCTGACCCACTTGTGTCATGCCTCAGGTGCCAAGGCTGCCGGGCTGCCGCATGCGGGACTCGCCATCCCGTCATTAACCAAGCATCCCCCCCGACTTGTCCCTCTCCTGAAAATCAACAAGTCGTGTACCTTATTTCTTGCTTTCTCGGTGTTGATTAATTATTACAGTCCTTCTTGCCATTCCGGCCCATCTTGTTCCTCTGCGTGTCGGGGTTCCTTTCAGTAGTTGATGCACATTGATCGTCAGTCGTATACCTGAAGTGGGTTTACGTCGTCATCACTACGCGGCAACCAGCCTCAAGAATGATTGTACTGATTAAGCTAGACGAACGTGTCCTTTATTCTCCACGACTACTCTGCTGATTGGTAGCTAAATATCGGATCGCACATGGCACCATCTTGCTCAGGCTTTACCCGATAATCTTCTCAGCTCTTAGAACAGTATACGGCAAGATGGGACTGAGCCAGTCGACTGAGTATGGGGGCCAGACGTCCTCTTCAGGTTAGTAGTCGTTGCCGTCTTTCGTAATGGAGCCATAATATCCCATCACAATGATAAAGATGGCTCTTCAGAGAAAAGCAACCCTGTCTCTGACAAGACCTTAGAGGAGCTGAGCTACGTGCTTGCTGAACGGTTTGCAACTAAATGCTTCACTCCCTTGGAGTTGACTCATCTCAAAGACAACTTCTTTTCGCGTGCCATTGACCAAGGCGGCTTGAAGTACTGGAATGAGAAGACACTCTCGGATTTTCTAGGGATTCCGGATAGCAGTGAATCCCACTGTCCTCTGGATGCGGGCCCGGTGATCTTCCGTATGGTCTCGTACCTTGGGGCATTTCCCTTCCAGAACACGCTAGCTCCGAGTGTTCTAACGTTCGAAGCTATGGTGAAAGTCGTTGTTTTGCTGACTGAGCGATACGGGAAAGTCCTAAGACGAGCGCGCAGGGATAGGATACGGCTTCTTTTCGGAAGCCTTGCTGATGTTGGAAGGAAGAGTGTTGAACAGCACACTAATGGCGATGAAGTGAGCGAGGATGCTGATGCACCTGCGCCGAACTCTCATGTCCCAGGCTTTGCCATCGATGAGCCGGCCAACGATGATTATGAGGACGAGGAGGACGATGATCTAGCATTAGCTGCTTTGGAATCCTTGGATGCCATTGAGGTCTTCAAGCACGATTCACGTATGGACAGGGCTGTCTACGAAGCTCGGATATCTGCCGATACGCTCCGTCGACTCTTGATGCTTCTAATAGTCATCTCGCCCTTAAAGCCCCTTGAGCCCGTAAAAATTTACACATCCGATTTAACTGAAGAGCGCATGAAAGCAGTCCGGTCAGAAGCTGATGACATCATGGCAGCATTCAACCGTGAGCCTTCTGGTGGGATAAGCTATAAGGAATTTGCTCGGATTGTGACATCTTCGTTTCCGTATCTTTTCGATCCTCTGACACCGCTGTTCGAACATCTCCTCTTCAGCAGAAATCTGAACCTATCCCAAAAACGCAACAGGGCTGATTCTACGGCATCGGAGCCTGTCGAAGAAGAAGCCCCAGAAGATGATCTACCTTCACCTCCAACGATTACGCTTCCGGGTAGCTTTGAATCAGTGATACTTAACTCGAGCGTCATATCGCATCTGTCCTTCTTCCTTCCGTCATCCTCGGAAAGCCTAAACTTCCTCCGCGGCAATGTGCGCCTGCATCCAGTCTTCTCAACAGTCGCGCATGGCTCCTCTTTGACCTCCTTCTCGCACCACGTGCTCACCTGGTCCTCAGGCACTCTACTCGTGCTCGAGGGAACTGACCCAACCGGCGAAATGTTAACCATCGGCGCCTACCTACCACAACCATGGAAATCACCAAATTCCACCCAGTCCAGCTCCAAATTCTCCAATTCCGTTCTCCCATGTCTCTTCCAGCTCTCACCGAAACACCTACTCCTTCAAGGGAACCCCTCCTCAACCATCCAACAACAATCAAACATCCCGGCCGCATACTTCTCCACCAGCTCGGGAATCTCAATAGGTTGCCAGATTCCCCCTTCATCGCGCAGCAATCAAAAGCCCCCCACTCCGCACGGCGCAGGCAGCTTGACCATCGACGTTAGCCTCGAGACTGCCCAATTCCACGTCTCCCCCGTCGTCCGCAACGGCGTCTTCCTGCCCCCACCCCCAGGCTCTACTCCAGACACTACCGTCAAAACCACCATCGAGATTTATAACTTAGAAGTATGGGGTCTCGTTCCCGACCCTACAACCACGTCCGCAGAGGGCGGCAAAAGTGCCGTTGAACTTCAACAGGCGAAATGGGACTTTGAAGCTCAGGAGGCTGAACGGAGACGCAGTGTGAATCTGAAGACTGGAGGCAGTGCCGCGGAGGAAAGCGCCAGATGGTTATTGGAAACCGCCGGGTTGATCGGGGATGGTGCAGGGCGACGTGCCGGCGGGAGTGTCTGATTATAGAAACGGATAAAAAAAATTGGGTCTGAGAATATGATAGTATTGTTTCCTAATGAGACTCTGTTGTTGTGCGTTACACTTCTAATTCATTGATATGTGTAGTCGTTTCAAATATCCCAAATGTAGCGATACTGTATGCGAGGTATGAGGATGAGACAGTATCTATTAAAGAAACATGTTCTGACGAGTTCCTGCTCTTGAAATCTATACTTCTAAAGTATCATTTTGGCTCGTGACACTTTGTAGCTGATTCAATTCCATTCTATACCCTCATTTTTACACCCGCCTGCGTACTTCCCCTACATCTATCCAAATCTGATTTCAAACCAGATCAGTCATCTCGTTACTTCCCACCTTTCCCCCCATCTCCCATCCCAGCATCATGATGGAAACCCCTCACACAAAACTCGCAACCCAAACATCCATACTCCTAACCCCCTTCCTCCCCCCCTCCACACCCTTCAAACTCGTCTCACACGCATCCCTCGCAGCCAACACCACCGCCCTCTCCCTCTCATCCCCCACAACCCTCCTCACCTCCTCCTCAAACTCCCCATCAAGACAAGCCGCCACCTCCCAGCTCCCATCCAACAACCCCTCCCCAGCCTCCACATACTCCTCCCTCTCCACCTTCCACCCCGCCTCCACCGCCAACTCCGTTAGCCTCTTCGGCCCCAACACCGTCCGCACATTCGAGTCGCTACTATCCCCGGGCTTCCGACATTCCAGCGCCGCCTGCGCAAGCGCAGCTAGCACGTGAGGCTGCGCGGACGGGTGCGTAGCTACTAATGCCCACTCGGCTAGAAGGAGCCGTTTACTGTGCTGCCTCACGGCACGGAACGTGGAGAGAATGAGGGACGGGGCGGAGAAATACCAGAGGCTGTGGACGAGGATTGTAGCGTCGAATGTCATACTGGATGATGGGGGTAGGGAAGTGAGGTAGGTTAGTGGGGATTGTTGGATCCAGCTGATGCGGCTGCCCAGGGGGGATTGGGAAATGTGGGATTGGGCCTGGGCGAGAGTGTAAGGGGATCCTGGGAGATAAGAGATAGATGTTAGTTTGTAGGGTAGAGTGAGGAGGAGGAGGGGATAGGCTCACCGTAGTCAAGATCTGCTGGGTCGACTGCTACTACGCTCCCCTGATCGCCTACGGCGGAGGCGAGGACGGTTGTGCAGTCACCTTGGCCGCATCCTAATTCTAGGACTTCGGAGCCGGTGGGGATGGTCCAGTGTTGAAGCAGGGTTAGGCGGTGGAGGGTTTGCGAGTGTTGGATGTTGAAGTTAATGGGATCGTGGAGGGAGATGCGCGCGATAGAGGCGGCGGAGGCGGCGAGTTGGGTGGACATGTTGTTGTTTTCAATTTGCTCAATCAGTGTGCTGGTGGCTTGGTGGAGTTGGGCGTAGCTAGGCGATGGGATTTGAGACTATTATAGTCTTTATCATATGATACGAGTTAGCTACTGGGGAGCTGCGGATGGTGACATCTTATCCGAGGATTAGCATGGGAGTAAGCTGACACACAATCATCCCCACATTTTATATTGCTTGACTCATAAAGCCGGCTTGATCTTTGAAATCAGACATGTCCTTATCGTACTGATTGGTGCTGCCTGGAAATGAGTCAACGTGTAGGTCTAATTGCATGTGCGAAGAATCATTAGCGCAGTTGATAGTCAGAGTATGGGTAGGCTTGGTACTTTGATAGTGAAGTAGGAAGGAGAGTGATGTTCGCAGCTGATAGCAGTGCTAGAGCGAAGAAATACTATCATGATATTCAAGCATACACAGAATGCATTACTCATACATATTCTAGGTACTCAAACCTATGTACTGTAAACCTATCTATCAAGCATCACGCCCCCATAGGTGGAAGTCCCGTAGGCGGACCATAGAAATCCTTGAGTTCCTCTTCCTCCTCCTCTTCCACAGGTTTCTCGATATTCTCATCCCCTGATTCCTCGTCCACCGTCTTACTCCGAGACTGCAGCCTCCCACGCGCAGCTGGGACCGGAGTCCCGGTTTTCTTGCCACTATCTTCTAACTCAGGGGCGGGCTTGTTATCGTCTGGCTCTTCCCGGGGCAGACGGTATGCCAGAAATCCCTCAGGGGCGCGTTCCGCTCGGTCCATGATCTCATTCATGTATTTGCGTACTTCGTCGGGGGGTTTCACGACACGGCCTAGAGGTTCGAGGACTTTGGGGTTGTTGGTGAAGATGCGGAATGTTACAGGTTGGTAGTATTCCTTTAGATTGGAGTCTTTGGCCTTCTCTTTCTCCTTGTTCTCCTTCTCTTTGTCATTGTCCTTGTCCTTGTCTTTGGTGTCTGCCTTCTTGTCGTTCGAGCCGTCTTTATCGGCGGAGGGCTTATTAGGTGTTCCGGATGCTTCAGCCTTCTGATCAGCTTGGGTGTTGCTGGCTGGTGTCTTAGAGCCGTCCGGCTTAGGTTCGGTAGCCGAAGGCTCAGGTTTATCATTGGACTTCTCCTGCGGCTTGTCTTTTTCTTTATCGTCTGCTTTCCCCTTATCCTTGTCGGCCTCGCTGACTTTCTCCTTGTTCTTGTCCGCTTTCTTCGACTTGGACTTGGATGCCTTGCCTTTAGCCCTTGGGTTGGCCGTCTCAGTAGCTGACTCTAAGGGAAACGTTGCGTTTGGATCTACCTTCCTCACGAGCAGGAATGAGGCAAGCACAGTATTTCCTCCAGGGAGCCATTCCAAGATTGTGTACTCAGGAAATAGGTATCGGTCACCAGAGCCTGCATGTCCAGATGTGCTGCTTCCATATGGGGTCAGCGGTGATGTAAATTCAAAGACCACAGACTTGTAGTTCTGTCTCGGAGGGGGCGGTGGCGGAGCTGGGCGATAATATGGTGCTGGCGACCCGTACTGCGGAGGTCGGGATTGTATAGCAGGTGGATGGCTTTGATACGGAGGCTGCTGATACTGTGGATGTGGAGGCCCTGGCCGCGGCGTGGCTGCTGCTGGGGGGGTGGCATGGGTCGTACAGCTGGGCTTGCCTGTTTTTGCGGATCCGGGGTAGAAATTGGAGCCGGCGCCACACTGGGACTCGATACCGGCTGAGACGGGGGCTGGCCTGCCGCCGCCACGCCAGGTTCTTGTTTGATGACAACCTGAGGGGCTGGCTTAGGTGCCTGTGGAGTAGGGGTCTGTGGCGGCTGTGGGGCGTTCGAGTTGGGGGGAGGGTGGGTAGGGGCGGCAGACGGTGATGGTTTGGGGACTTGCACCTCGACACGCGGCGTGGACTGTGGTTGCGCCTGCCCTTGCGGGGTCTGCTGAGGGGTTTGTTGACCTGACTGCGGGGGAGGCTTTTGTGCAGAGGGAGGTTGTTGCGGAGGTTGCGAAGGTTGCGGCGTTTGCTGAGGCTGAGGCTGGGGCTGTTGTGATGGGTGTTGTGATGGGGGTTGTGACGGACGAGGGTGAGGATGAGAGGGGGTGGAAGGCTGAACTTGTCGCTGCTGTTGCTGCTGTTGCTGCTGCTGCTGTAGCCGTTGTTGCTGTTGTTCCCTTGCGCGAATGATGGCGTTCAGTTCGTCAATATGCGCCTGGAAAGCGCGGAGTTGCTCTTGGGATGCTTTGCTCGAAGCCACGACACGCATCAACGCTTTGAGCTCGGGATCGGACGCAGCTCGTGTTGCAAGCATCTGAATGACAGGGTCTGGGCTAGGCTTCGGCGGTTGGGCAGTCTGGGGGTGCTGAGAAGGCGATGGTCTTTGCGCAGACTGAGGGCCCGGGGGACGATGGGGTGGCTGACTTGGAGTCCGAGCAGGATGTGAAGGGGGTGGGTGGCTTCCAGGAGTGTAGCCTGGTTGAGGTGTTCCTGGGGTCGCCGGAGAGCCTTGAGGAGGGTGTTGCCGTGCATGCTGGGGCGGGGCAGGGGAGTGAGGATAGGGGTGGTATTGTTGGAAGTTGTTCGGATGTCCATAATGGACCATCGGGCGTTGAGGGGTGGTGTATTGGATCGGCGGCGGCGCGTTGGGATCTTTGACAGTGTACAGCATCGCGTCGAACAGATGAGGTCCGACAACGATGTTGCAAGCTCCAACCTTTGACATGGTCTCCTTGGGCGGATTCTTCCCTTCAATCTGTTCCCTCTTGGTCTTCTTGGGTTTGGTCCAGTATCTCTCCAAGATGCCGTCGCTTAGCCATTTCTTCTTCGATCGTTCCAGGGATGCTAGCAGAATCGCACTGTTGCTGATCAGCAACTGACTTTCTAAGTATAGACGAGGATACACCCTCTGCGCATAGAATTAGGAGGGCACGCGTACCTTTCCGCATACGACTGATACTCTTTCTCCGCAAGATTGGTCGGTTGCGGCGTGGCCGTAGTCGGAAGAGGCTCTCCATCCTTTATCTTTGTAGGCAAAGGGGGTTCGGTAGGTTCCGGTGGTGGCGGTGGAGGAGGAGGCGAAGGAGCGACGACCGGTGTAGACCCCTTCTTCTTCGAAGACTGAGGTTGAGGAGATGGTCGAGACGGAGCTTCGGAGGCTCGTCGCTTCGCCGCGGGTTCGCGACGTTCGCGGGCGGGGAGTTTGCGTTTTTCGGCCATGCTGGGTTGGAAAGAATTATTGACGAGCAGTTACACGCCAATCAGTAAGCCAACTGATTGAGTCAGCGGACATTTCGCAGCCTCCGGACCAGACTGGATGATGGAAAGGGATGAGAGTTGCGGAGGAGGAAAAAAGGCGGCGGAGAAAGTGAAGTTGGAGGCAGAAGCTGGATCGGGCAATTCCACCGCCGAGCCTCAGCATCCCCGGCCTTAATCCTCCGCATCTTTTAGTTATTCACCGTTCCTGCCTCTAGCCAGGTCGCATTGGTAGCATCCAGGTGTGAATAATCTGATTTATTCGCGTTTTCGCTATGAAATATTGTTGAACAGTCGCAACCCCAGGTTTACTTATAGCAATTGGTATACGGAGCATACGGCGGCTCTTCAAAGTAAGGGTTCCCGAGACATCTCGACTTGCAGTTCGCTTTTATTTCTACCTTCATAATGGCTAAACTATGTACTGCTTACTGTAGGCCCATAGCCGCCATGGTTGAGCTTCAACCCATCTTCAAGAAGGCCTACTGGGCCCTGGCAGCCGGTGGGATCTTCTATGCGATATTCGTCTGTGCCATGACGTACCCCGTAGTCCAAAGATTGTACGTTGGCTCAGTTAAAAGCTCGGATCGATGTTTGAAACGAGGACAATGGTTAACATGCTGCCTGCTCGTATCAGTGCCCTCTATGTGAATAAGATCAATCCCACTGCGTGGCAGGATGTGAACCTGGTTGAATCATTCGGCTTTCTTAGTATGTTAGACTATCTCAGTCCACCAACCTAATCATGCTCGAAGGACAAGCTCATTAACTGCAACCAAAGAAACACAGGTGCAGCCATTCAAACTCGTAACTCCCGATAACGAGACACTCTATGGATGGCATCTCCTGCCCCTGCAGCTCTGCCACGAGCATGAAGAGGAGCTAAATGCAAACGAACCAGACGGACCAGCAGACGATTACACCAAAACCACTGCATTCAAGCTACTCAAAAATGACCCGAATGCCAGGGTGGTAGTTAGCTGTAAGTAAACTCGCCGCACATGAAGTATAGCGACACACGACACCATTTACTGAGATCCAACACCAGTCCACGGCAACGCCGCCCATCTCGCATCCGCCCAGCGACCAGACATCTATCGGCAAGTCCTGGGACTCTCAACCCCCCAGAACCCCGTCCATGTCTTTGCCATTGACTACCGCGGATTCGGTCTCTCAACTGGCTCTCCTACAGAAGAGGGCCTAATCACGGACGGAGTATCGCTGCTCAACTACCTCACCTCCAACCCACTGAACATCTCACCATCACGCATCGTAATCATGGGTCAGAGCCTAGGAACCGCCGTAAGCGCAGCAGTCGCAGAGCGCTTCGCATTCGGGTCCCCAGACCCCACTGCTATCCAGCCAGCACTAAAGAACCCGGAGCCCTTCGCTGGTGTTATCCTGCTTGCATCCTTCAGCAACGTCCCAAGCTTGATCGATTCCTACAGTTTGAAAGGAATCACACCTCCGATGCTCTCCTTGCTAGCTAACTACCCACGGGTACACAACTGGGCCAAGAGCCACATCGTTGATCGCTGGGATACCGCCGGTAGAGTCGCACGTCTGTCCGGCGTGAACACTACTATAGTCAAAGACGACCCTAACCCCGCTTACGCAAATAAAGGTCTCGACCTCTTCATCATCCATGCAGCAAACGACGTCGAGATACCCTGGCAGGAGGGCCGGCGCGTCTGGGTCGCCGCCACGGGCGAGGACATCCCCGGTGCCCCTGGCAGGATAGTCCACGAACGGAAGGACTCTAACGGACCAAACGAAGTGCAGATCTGGGAGAATCAATCGACGAAGGACAATGCAGTTGTTAAGCGTGTTAGATGGGAACGCGTTAGCCATGGTGGTATGTCGATAGAACCCCTACCACATCCAACCCAGCAAGTAATACTTGACCAAAGAGGCTAACGATGAATTACAAGGCCACAACCGCGTCGCAACCTTCTCCGTCGCCGCTCTTTCAGTGATGAGGGCCTTTGAGAAGTAAATGCCAGGCCACCACATCTTGTCAGCAACGTCACCTAGACTAGACTATTATTAGACACTACAGGCTAAATGCAAACTGGGCCTTCCACATGGCTTGTAGCCTCAAATTCGGGTAGCCAATAGAAACCTCGAAAAGAGCGAGATGTCAAAGGAATCGCGAAAATCCACTTATAAGGCAGGCCAATCAAGAGGGAGTCTGGGGACGCGTCGACGCGGCTGAAGAGTCTGTATTCACTGTAAGTTGTTCTAGAGCTTGTGGTTGTGTTCTATAGAGGTACTGTGTGAGTCGTTTGCATGTGAATGTGGGTTCCATGTTTTGTATGAATCGGTATATTAGTGCTTGGTTTGGGGTTATATACCGCTATGATTGCCTGCGGTTGAATGAAGGTCGCACATGAGTACTAGTACGAGCAGGGTATGGAGGATCCAATTCCAGTGGTTCAATATTATGAAATGTTTTGGACGCTTGTGCTCTTGTCAGAGAGGACCAAAGAAGCGCAGTGATTGTGAGATATCAAAATAAAGACCATCAGTTTAACTGTATGGAGTACTAATGGGTCACCCGAACGTGAGTTAGTTGAACCCCGTTCATTTCATGCTCCAGGAGATTCTCTATAGCCCAATATATGCTTATGATTTGAATATATGAGAGGAGATAACGACCATCAGGTCAAATATGTACAGTCTGAACGAGATGAGCTGTCTCGAGATGGACGACCGGGTATCCCACCAACCCAGCCACATGGTACTGACTGAAAACTTTCCGACGCCCACAGGGCCCGTCTAGATTGCTTGATAAATAATACATGGCGCCAAATTATCTAAACATAATGAGAACATCGTCTTCGTAGTGAAATACACGCCGAGAAGGTAAGAGGTAGGAGGGAGGATAGAGCGCGGGTGGGATATTGCAGGTTCAAGGGCCCCGAAAGGAGACGTAATGGGCATGCTCTTGAATTGCATCATTGGCGTGGGGTAGCTTCAAGAGGTGGGTCTACCTCCGTGAAGCTTTTCCAAGCATCGAGCCACAGGGTTGCAACAGGCTTATTTCTTGTGTCTGTCGGCCTGGGCCTTCTGGTACTTGGCGATGAGGTCCTTCCTGTAAGTGGATTCTTATTAGTATCGGCTTCATGAAATGCGCGGGGACAAGGCGACTTACTGGAGGTGAGGAGGCGCCCTCTCGTAGTGGCTGAACTCCATGGTGTATTCACCCTTACCCTGGGTAGCCGCACGCAGGTGGGAACTGATACCGAACATGCCGTTCAGACTGCAGTCGGCATACACGGTGAACTCATCAACACCGACCTCAGAGTCGTTGATCGTGGCATTACGCTTGTTCAAGAGAGCGATAACGTCACCCTGGAACTCAGACGGGGCCGTCACGACAGTCTTCATGATAGGCTCGAGGACAGCAGGGTTACTCTCCTTGAAAGCCTTGCGGAACGCCTGCTGGGTGGCGTTCTTGAAGGCCATTTCGGACGAATCAGTCATGTGAGTAGCACCATCATTGATGACCATCTTGGTACCAAGGACCTTGTGTCCAATGAGAGGACCCTTGTCACAAGACAAGTGGAATCCCTTCTCACAAGCGAAGAGGAACTTCTCGGAAATACTTCCACCAACAATCTGTTCCTCGAACACGTTCTCGCCCAGGTTGCCCGTCGGTTCCATCCAACCAACGACACGGGCATAGTCACCAGGACCACCAGATTGCTTCTTCAGCAGGTGGTCGAACTCGACACGCTCACCAAGGGTCTCACGGTAGGCGACCTGAGGCGGGCCAGTCTCGCAATCGACGCGGTATTCACGGCGCATACGCTCGAGATAAATTTCGAGGTGCAGTTCACCCATACCAGAAATGAGAGTTTGTTCACTCTCCGCATCAAACGTGACACGGAAAGTCGGGTCTTCTCTCTGGAAACGGGCCATGGCCTTGGAGAAGTTGGCACCATCCTTGTTGTTCTTGGGCTTGATAGACAGGGAGATGACGGGTTCAGGAACGAACATGGAGGACATGGTGTAGCCCAGCTGTCCATCAGTGAAGGTGTCACCGGAGGCACACTCAACACCGAAGACGGCACAGATCTCACCAGCTCCGACCTCAGTAACATCCTCCATCTCGTTAGAGTGCATGCGAACAATGCGAGGGATTTTGACCTTCTTGTCGTTGCGTGCATTGTAGACGAAAGAACCCTTACGGAGAGTACCTTGGTACACTCGGATATAGGTCAACTGACCGAAGTTGCTCTCTTCCAGCTTGAAAGCAAGACCGACCATGGGCAGAGAGTTGTAGGGGACGAGCTTCACAGAAGCCTCGTTGCGCTTCTTGTCAAGAGCAAGGTTCTGCACTTCGGACGGGTTGGGAAGATAGTCAATGACACCATCCAGCATCGGCTGCACGGACTTGTTCGCCAGTGCAGATCCCATGAAGACAGGGGTGAACTTCAGGTTGATGGTTGCCCGACGGATGGCTTGTCTAATTTGGTCCTCGGTAGGCACTTCCTCCATGAGGAAGATTTCGGCAATCTCGTCATCAACGTCGGCAAGGGTCTCGATAAGCATCTGCCTCCGTTCTTCCGCCAGAGCCTTAACCTTCTCAGGGATCTCATCGGTCTCGAAAAGCTCCTCACCACTGGGCCCACGGTTGTAAATCGCCTTCATGCGAAGCAAATCGACAACGCCCTCGAACTCGTCCTCAGCACCAATGGGCACTTGGACAGCGGCAGCGGGGATCTTGAGCTTCTTGTTGATCTGATCAACAGCCTTGAAGGGGTTGGCACCCATACGGTCCATCTTGTTGACGAAGGAAATTCTGGGAACGTTGTACCGTCTCATCTGGCGGTCAACGGTGATGGTCTGAGATTGGACACCGGAAACAGCACACAAGATCATGACAGCACCATCCAAAACGCGCAGCGCTCTCTCAACTTCGATGGTGAAGTCAATGTGACCCGGAGTATCAATCAAGTTGAGGTGGTACTTCTGTTCCTTGCCCTCGGCGTCCTTCTTCACCCAGTCACAGAAAGTTGCGGCAGACTGGATGGTGATACCCTTTTCACGCTCGAGATCCATGGAGTCCATCTTCGCACCAACGGCATCACGGCCACGGACTTCGTGAATAGCCTTGATACGTCCAGTGTAGAAAAGGACACGCTCGGTACATGTGGTCTTACCACTGTCGATGTGTGCCTAGAATGACTATTAGATGCGGATATTCCAAGCACGTCCTTTTCGCAATGTCCTTACAGCAATACCAATGTTCCGAACACGGGACAGACGGGCTGCTTCGACGGGGTCAAGGTTTTCGATAATGGCCTCTTGCGATAGGGTGTCGGGGTTGGCAGCGGCAGCCTCAAGCCTATGTTTATTGAAAACAACAATCAGTAATTGGCCAAATCAAAGTGCTTGGGACTTCAGAAGGGCAGCTATTGTTATAGACAGAAAGTAGTAGATGCTTACACAGCAGCAGCAGTAGAAGAAGCGTTCCTCCTCTGCTGGAAGTGCTTGCTCAGGGCAGACTGATAAGCCGGAGCCAGAGTAGGTGAACGGAGAACAGCCGTCGAAGCGCATCGCCGAGTCAGGAAGTTCTGGGACTGAAGACGGGCAGAAGATCTGGTCAAACCAGAAACAGCGCGGCATGGCAGCCGCGCAAGAGTAGGAGTCCTCATGATGATCCCCGTGCACACCGAATCTCAATCAAACGTTGGCGCTCTTTGAGTCCCCAAGCGTCTCGATCTTTTCTGCGGCTCCGAAAAAAAGTTCGGGGAAGCCAGGCACGCAGTCACGTGAGTTATACTAGGATTGATTGGCCTCCGCTTCCCCGGGTGCCATTGCAGCCAATGATCTTTGGCTTGATTCTCATCATATTCAAATTTGAGAAGTCTAAAGGGATGTTGTATTGGAAGGTGCTACAATTGTACATGATTCCCGATAAGCTATGTCTATCACCCGAAAAGTGCACCGAAGGGGTGTCTCCTCCGGCGTCGGACCCATCCAGTTTGGTGAAGCCGTGCTCTAGACCTTCAGGTACAGAAACAGCAAAATTGGGTAACTGAATTACCGTCGGTGCCGAAATATTTCATACCAGTACAGCATGGCAGAATCAGTCACCGCCTTATCCTCCGCCACCATCAGTTAATCATCAATCATAGATGCCATCATAAATCATTCATTTCCAGCAATTCCTATAAAAAGTGTACGGCATTAATACTTCTAAGCTACCCGTTTCGGCGACTAGAGGAGCAAATTATATATTTCCCGTCTAGATGCGATCGTCTCTGGGACTTCTGGCTTCTGTATCCCGCAGCCAGCCCTCGAAGCTCAGGAAGCCAACCATTAGCCTTGATCATGTATGTAACCATCGCTAGTCGAGTTGTTCATGCGCTGATATGATCGGTAGTTCATCCAAAGGCAGCGAGTTATCTCTCTATGGCGTGAGATTGTGCGAGCGCTCAATAGTCAGTTCCCATCTATACGATTTCTAACAATCATGTACCATGCTGATGAGGTTGCAGAAATACCCAGCTCGTCCACCAAGGATGAACTGCACAGATATGCTCGTGGGGAGTTTGAGCGCAATAGAAACATTACAGACTTGGTATGCCTTCCTTGGTATTCTAGTACAGTATCAGACTGATGAGTACGGACAGCAACACATACGATATCTTATCTCGGTAAGCATCCTGTTTGTTGTTCTATGGACAAGCAGCCTAACTATACATAGACCGGAAAGTCCGAATTTGATATGATGAGGCGGTATATTGACGAGCAAGTTGCAGGCTAAGGAGGGAGATTTCGCCAGGACCAAGCACTAATTAAGATACAGACTGGGGTCCAAAACATGAGCTCGAGGGTTAAGAGATGGAGAGTGATATTTTTTAACAAAAATCGAATGCGTATATGTACAATATCATAGATACCCAGACCAACGTGAGAATCAACTAAGAAACTCAATACCACTTATTTTTGCCGACCTCACTGCCTCGACAACAACTCCTTCACAGCAATTAGTACCCCGATTGACTTCTGTTCGGAAGGCTCAATAGCAGAGCGAGCAGCATCCTGCTCAGGGAACGATTTCTTAGCATTCGCGGCCTCGTTCGCCGCGGCTTCAATAGCCGCGTGACGCTCCCGCCAGCCCCTGTCTTCCTTGTCACGAATCTCCAACTCCCGCAGCCAGGCGTCCCGCTTTTCCTGGCTCTTGCGTGCCTCCACCATCTGCTCGAACTCCCTTCGTTGCTTCCGCTCGCTACCGTAATACATGCCTCCGGCGACCACGGCGATAAGGGTGAAAAACTGGGCGTAGATACGAGCACGGAACATCTTATTCATCTCGACGGAGTCGCCAGCCTTCATCGACCGGTAGGCCCGGTAAAGTGCGTAGGAAGTGGCAGCACATCCTGGCGTTATAGTAAGTTAGCTAAGTTCAAGATATGTGGCGTCCGAGCTTCAATGGCCTGCCTACCTAGCGGGATCAGAGGCTCTTCCTTGAGACGTCTGCGGAACTTTTGGAGCGAAGTCTCCTCTTGGAACTGACTGGAAGAACAAAGATGTTAGGATTAGTTGAACTTCCCGTGTAGGAATTGTATTAGCAAGGAGAGCCCGAATACGTACGGATGTTCTTCGAAAGACGATGGGAGAGGCTCGCTCATCTTGCTAATACAATTACTGTCACCTGCGATCAAGTGTGGCGATCGGCGAGGGGGCTTGGAGGGGCTGGGGCCGCTGGAGCTAGAAGTTGATCAAATCTGCAAGTCGTTAGCCAAAAGTTGCTAGAACTAAGGAGGCAGCCAAAGCTGCACATAAAGGCCGACCTTGATTGAGAAGTAGCTCCCTGTTCGGAGAGAAAAGTAATGCGTTGCGCGTGCACCCGGGCAACATGACGTCGGAAGGAACAAGCGTACAGAGGAGATAATTTTCGTATTATTGAATACAGTATGTTACGCAAAGGCACTGTAAAGCCTTATACCTTCCGTTACTGCTCTATCAGGCCACACTGCGGACAGAGGATCGGATTTGGGTTATGCCTCGAGTCTTCTACACTGTATACCAGGTGCTTCTTTTCTGGGGAAAATAACTCCATGGAACTGAAAGTTTGATTCGCAGATCCTTCAGAAATGGACATGATAATGTAGCTTCGTGAGACACCTGGTCTTGAACATACTATTACCGAGTCAAGTTATCACCGATGATCTTGAATGAATGAAGTCAAAGCATGGATTTCGATGGCAAATCATGTGAATAGTTTCTCCTTTTGCCTATTCCTTCTTTAGGCAAGGTTTTGGGAAAAGCGCACCGGACTTTTATTAACCTTGACAGATGGTTGATCAAGCTTGTGAGACTTGAAGCCTGCCATAGGATAGAATCTGAGCTCATTGGCTGGGAAGAAGCATGTACGTAAAGACTTTCCTATGTTTTCTGGCGGTCGTGCATGGATTCCTTCAGGCCCACTTCAACCATAGATAGCATTACGGGGTAAGTATATGAAGACCGCAATGTCTGAGAAAATATTGAGTTGGCAATTTGTTGCCGCTCCCGCGGAATACTCATGGGAAAATAATGCGAGAATGCCACCTCGATAATAGTTTTGTGAGCCTGCAATGCCCAGATTTAGTCTTGGGTCCTTTGCATGTCATTTTCTTCTTCCTCAACGTAAACCATTTCTCAGTTATTCCCGTCCTGCAGCTTAGGGCTGGAATTGAGGGTTGATGACATAAAACTTTTCCGCTCCGATCACGGAATTCCCCACGGAATACGCTGATTGACTCGGATCTAGTGCCACCGCCGGACTTTTCGTTTGGTTGACTCAGAGGATTTCCGCCGGACTCTGGACTTTGTCTTTGTTCTTATCACATTCAATTCTCTCACATATACCCACAAAGACGCCATAATGCCGGGCGAAGCAACTGAGAACGGCGTTCCGTACCCCGTTTCAACCAAGTTGGACAACCTGACCCTGAACGAGCGTTCGGCTGCTCCGTCTCCCACTTCGGACAAGGTGGATGGTCAAGAGCGATCAACAGTCGATTATGGCATTCCTGACGCCTTCCTGCTTCCCAATGGAACGCCTGACGTGAGTCTATACTGTATCTTTACGCCCTCTATCCAATTACTGATGTGATGCTTCTTTATAGTATCTCCGGTTGATCCTGACGTCCCGTGTCTACGACATTATCGAGGAAACCCCGCTTCACCATGCGGTCAACATCAGCAATCGCCTGGAGTGCCGTGTGCTCCTGAAGAGAGAGGATCTTCTCCCCGTGTTCAGTTTCAAGCTCCGTGGAGCCTACAACAAAATGGCGCACTTGACCCCCGAGCAACGGTGGAAGGGAGTCATTGCGTGCTCAGCAGGTGGGTGGCGTCGGTGTGAAGTAGTCACGGTAACACTAGTCGACTGACATAAACAAAAAGGAAACCATGCGCAGGGCGTCGCTTACTCGGCTCGGAAACTGAAGATCCCCGCCACTATCGTTATGCCATCGGGCACCCCCGCTATCAAGCATCTGAATGTCGCCCGCCTGGGTGGTAGCGTGGTCCTCCACGGGGACGACTTCGACGCAGCTAAGCAAGAAGCATACCGGTTGCAGGAGCAACACGGACTTACCATGATCCCTCCCTTCGATGACCCCTACGTGATCGCTGGCCAAGGAACCATTGGCATGGAGATATTGCGCCAGGCCAATTTGCAGAAGCTAGAAGCTGTCTTCTGTGCCGTCGGTGGAGGAGGTCTGATTGCTGGCATTGGCGTCTACCTTAAGCGCATCGCACCACACGTGAAGATCATTGGCGTTGAGGCCCGCGATGCCAATGCCATGGCACAGTCCCTCGAATCGGGTTCTCGAGTGTTTCTGAAGGATGTGGGCCTGTTCGCAGACGGTGCTGCTGTCAAGTCTGTTGGAGAGGAGAACTATCGCCTTGCACGTGAAGTCATCGATGAGGTCGTTCAGGTCACAACCGATGAGACATGCGCCGCCATCAAGGATGCGTTTGAGGACACACGGTCTATCATTGAACCAGCAGGTGCCCTGGCTCTGGCCGGTCTCAAGAAGTACGCCGTAATGAACCCCAGCCCCGACACGAGCAGGGAGTTGTGCGCTATCGCCTCCGGAGCTAACATGGACTTCGACCGCCTGCGCTTCGTTGCTGAGCGTGCGGCTCTGGGAGAGCGGAAGGAGGCGCTCCTGAGCGTCAGGATCCCCGAGAAGCCAGGCGCTTTCGCAAAGCTTGTCGAGGTTGTTCTTCCTCATGCAGTCACGGCGTTCAGCTACCGTTACGCCCGTGAATCGTCTGCCGATGTTCTGATGGGCATCTCTTTGTCCGCTGCTACTGGTCGGGACGATTTGGCCAAGATTATCAGCCAATTGGTACGAGGTGGCATGGATACGAAGGATCTTAGTGATGACGAGCTGGCGAAGAGACACTTGCGCTTCCTGGTTGGTGGTCGCAGTGAGGTCGCGGATGAACGGTTGTTCATGTTCGAGTTCCCCGAACGTCCGGGTGCTCTTGCTAAGTTCTTGACGACCCTTCGTCCCAACCAGAATATCTCCCTGTTCCACTACCGTAACTATGGTGGTGATGTTGGCAAGGTGCTTGCGGGTATCCAGTGCCCTGAGAACGAGAAGGCCGAGCTGGAGGCTTTCCTCAGCGATCTGGCTTATCCCTTCACTGAACATACCGATTCCCCGACCTACAAGACCTTCCTGAGGTAGAGGAATGACCGACTGTCTTTGCTTTTTCTTTATCAAATTAGATTTCTAGAAAACACAGTGTGGGCCATTGATGGATTTTGCTTGAAATGTTTAGGCGTTCTGTTGGGCATGGGGAAGATAGAATTGTGTACCTAAGTTTGGGGTTTCCTTCGTATATACTCTAATGAAGCATGATACTGACACCATAAATGATTGATATTAGCTATTCCGAACTAATCATCGTCTGGCTGTAGTTTATAGTAGATGCTTCGGAATAGTCGCAGTCTAACATGATTGGTCGGACATCGGATCTCGGCGGTACAGTAACTCCGGCCAGCATTTGCTCCGAAGGGATTCCGAACATTCGAGGAAGAGAGGTGCCAATTTAGCTGTCTCGAGTCTAGATTCCCTCGAGATCCTCCATTCTCTCGCAGATTTTCGGCGGCTATAGAATTACCATCTATCCGCCAACCGACACCATGCTGTCTTTCCGTTCCGTCTTCGGGGCTTCGACCGGTGCCCTCCGTCAAATTCTCCCCTCCTTCTCTCGCCGGTCCGCCGCTCTTGTTTCGCGCCCTTTTTCGCAAATCGCACGCCTTTCCCTTGGCAATGGCCTTCGCCTTTTGCGCTCTGGAAAGCAGACCAACAATGTCGGAGTTGCTAGTGTGGGGTCAACATTGAGACAGGTTGAGCAGGTTCGGGGAATGAAGACTCGCTCATCGGTGAAGCGGTTGTGTGATGGCTGCAAGGTATGCCATGATCTAGTTGGATTGGATTTATTCTCTTTTGTTGGAGAAGTTAGCTTTAGCAGGAGTTTGCGTTTTATCTGTCGGAACGATGCTAATACAGTGAAAATGCAGCCTGTGCGGAGAAAGAACCGCGTCTACATTATCTGGTAAGATCACATCGATGCAAGCTGCAAGTGCACTATAGCATGATCGCTGACATCTTCGTTCTGCAAAATAGCTCCAAGAACCCGAAGCACAAGCAGCGCCAAGGGAAATAGATTGGTGGAAACGATTGTGAGAGCATGAGAGAATGAGCGTACCTTCGAACGAGATTTGCTTGCATTGAACATCAACTGAAGCCGATGGAAGAGCTAGCATTACTTGCATGACCTCTGCCTGATACTGCGACGGCGGTAGTCAAATCGTGGATAGATGTATTGTGGGTATACGGCTACTACTACTGGGTCTCGACATTGGGAAAGCCGCGCATTTGCTATGGGATACGACCAACTCCTTGGTTAGGCGCTTTGTTGCATTGTTTGTACATTAATTGTGTCTATATATTGAAATTCTCTTTCTTCGAATCATTCTTCCCGGGTGAATTGATATCTTGGTGGTTGTTTGAGGGGTCAATTGTACCTCGGATGCGCGGAATTCTCACGCGACACTGCCTGATCCCACGGTTCCATGATCTGCTTGTCTTGCATCCTCGCCTCCTCGACATATGCGGGGTATTCCTCTTCATGATCAGGTTGGAAGCCGTGCTTAAGTCACTGAGCGATCGACTCCGCACAATTTGCATTTCTTCCCGAGGCAGCATGCAAGGGGTGCTCCTAGACTCGTCCATATTCGAATGATGTCAAAGATAGCATTCCACTGATCGTCTAATCGCCATCAGACCCCCTTTAACCACCTGCATCAGCATACCTGAATGAAGTCATTTTCAACGAATCTCAAGCTCTGGAATGTGCAGGCACATGGATGTCGAAACCTGAATAAGTAAACTACGAGCTACACCCTTACTCTAGTGCTCCCAGTCATCGTCATGGTACAGCTCTGGGCAGGAATCGTCTGTCTAGGGTCCATCCCAGCAGCCACTGCGCTGACCGGCTCGTCCGTTTTTTCACACTCACTCATCTCCCAGCAAGTCTTTGACGGCGATAACTTCCTCGAATATGACGGCGTTCGTGGTCCCTACGTGGACCGCATATCATACGGGATTAGTCGGGACCCTCCAGCACAATGCTCCGTTGACCAAGTTATCATGATAAAAAGACATGGTGAACGATATCCCACAACAGGAGAAGGGACTTCCATCGAACAGACCCTGAAGAAAATCAACGACTCCCTTGCAGGCAACTACAGCAGCGGCGATCTAGCATTCCTGGGTAACTGGACCTACTTCGTCCCATCCGACTGCTACGAGGCGGAGACCTCGACAGGGCCCTATGCAGGACTAAATGACGCATACAATCATGGCAAGGCGTACCGCCAACGCTACGGAAACCTCTATAACGAGTCATCCATTCTCCCATTATTCACTGCGGACTTTCAACGAGTCATCAGCACAGCGCAGAAGTTCGGACAAGGATTCCTCGGAAACGAGACCTACGCGACCAAGGCAGCGCTCAATATCATCTCCGAATCCACTGATCAGGGCGCAGATAGTCTGACACCAACATGTCATAAACAGGACGATGATGCACAAAGCATCTGTGGCGATATGCCGTACTATCTGCCTCAGTTCGATGTCGCTGCGGACAGACTGAACGCCCAGTATCAGGGTCTCAACCTAAACTGGACAGATGTATACTCACTTATACGTATATACCCCCACCTTATCTACACTCATTTAAGCCATCCAATCACTGATAATGAACAGTAATGACCGCTTACGAGCTCAACACTCGCTCCTCATCACCCTGGATCGACGTCTTCACCACAGACGAATGGATCAGTTTCGCCCACCTGTGGAACGTCAACTTCTACTACTGTTCAGGGTACGTCTCCCCCCTTCCCCAGCTCCAGCCACACCCTCACAACATCAACACCCAATTACTAACGACAATGATAACGACACCAACAGCCCTGGCAACAAATACACCAGCGCCCTCGGCGCCCTCTACCTAAACGCAACCCTCACCCTCCTCCAACAAGGCCCCTCATCATCCGGCCCTCTCTTCTTCAACTTGTACTACAGTCCCTCTTTCCCCCAGTTCCCCCTTCCCCCTTCCATCCCTCTCCACTAACATATCATAATGAAAAGTGCCCACGACAGCAACATTTCCCCTATAATAACCGCCCTCGGCATCGCCACGCCCGCCACTCCTCTCAATAAAACCCGCATCCCCTTTCCCCCATCCGCCTGGACCGTCCAAAACATAGTCCCGATGGGCGGCCGTCTCATAATAGAGCGAATGAACTGCACTGATTCCGCTCTCGCGCCGGGTGGGGTCTTCGTCCGGTTGGTCCTCAATGAGGCTGTGGTGCCGTTGGAGGAGTGTCAGAGTGGGCCGGGGTTTTCGTGCCCGTTGCAGGAGTATTCGAGTTTCGTGGGACAGTTGCCGAGTTATGTGAGTGAGTGCGAAGTTCCTGAGGATGAGAGCCAGTATTTGGGGTTTTGGTGGGGGTGGAATACTTCCACGGCGGAGAATTTTAGGAAAGGGGCAAGGTGTGGGGGGTTGGCTTAGTTCAGAGTACTACTAGTAGGACTTTTCGTGATGATTGATGTAGAGGGTATGAAGGAGGAGATACTTCAACGTAGTGGTTTGTGTGTGTGTGTGTGTGTGTGTGTGTGTGTGCTACTATGCGTGTGAATGAAAGTTGAAATGATACATTCCGTCATGGCTCCATAATATATATAAAGTACTAGTGCATAAATTGAAGAAACCCCATTCCCAGAAATCCATGAACCAACCAATCTAATACCCCAATTTATTTACCCATGGCCTACTGAAGAGGCTCAATTCCTCCAAAAGTAACACTCTTGACCACCAAGAATTCATCAATACCGTACTTGCTGCCCTCGCGGCCAAAGCCGCTCTGCTTGACACCACCGAACCTATTCAACCAAACAGTTAGCAACATTCAACAACGACAATCTAAGGAACAAACAAAACAAGGGTATACTCACGGCGAAGCAACATCACTAATAAGCCCCGTGTTAACACCCACCATACCGACCTCCAACGCCTCCGCAACACGGAAGATGCGCTTAACATTACTGCTGAAGAAGTAGCCCGCCAGACCAACCTCAGCCTTGTTAGCCAGGTCGACAACTTCTTGTTCCGTCTCGAAGGGGAAAAGTCCCGCGACAGGGCCGAATGTCTCCTCTGAAGCGACAAGCATATCCTTGTTCATCTCCGTGAGGACAGTCAAATCGTAGAAGTTAGGACCAAGGTGAGCGGCCTTCTGACCACCCGTCAGGACCTGCGCGCCCTTGGATACAGCGTCGCGGACGTGTTCGTCGACCTTGTTGACGGCGCGGTCGTGAATAACAGGACCGTGGGTAACGCCTTCTTCGAAGCCAGCACCCAGCTTGAAGCCCTTGACCTTCTCTGCGAAGCGCTTGGCAAATTCATCGTAGATGCCGCGCTGCACGTAGATCCGGTTTGCACAGACGCAGGTCTGTCCAGAGCTACGGAATTTGGAGGCCACAGCGCCGGCGACAGCAGCGTCGAGGTCCTCGACGTCGTCGAAGACGATGAAGGGGGCGTTGCCGCCTAGTTCCCAGGACACCTTTTTGATGGTCGACGAGGATTGCTTCATGAGGAGCTTACCGACGTTGGTGGAGCCGGTGAAGGAGACCTTGCGGACCTCGGGGTGGGTGGTGATGGTTTCGCCGACCTCGGGCGTGTTTTGGGATGCGGTGACGATGTTGACGACGCCCTTGGGGATGCCGGCGCGGTGGGCCAGCTCGGCGAGGGCGTTGGCTGTGAAGGGAGTTTCACCGGGGGTCTTTGCGACGACGGTGCAGCCGGCTGCGAGGGCAGGACCAATCTTCCTGGTGATCATGGCGGCGGGGAAGTTCCAGGGTGTGATGAGACCACAGACGCCGACGGGTTGCTTCAGGGTCATGACCCGGTTGCCGGGGACGGAGGATGGGATGGTGTCACCGTAGATGCGGGGAGCTTCTTCGCTGAACCATTCGAAGAAGCTGGCCGCGTAGTTCACCTCGCCTTTGGCGTCGGTGAGCGGCTTTCCGTTTTCCCAGGTTATCAGGGTGGCTAGGTCGTCGGCATTGTCGATCATGAGCTGGTACCATCTGCGCAGCATGCGGGCGCGCTCGCGGGACAGGGTTGTGCGGAATTTGGGGAAGGCTTCTTTGGCGGCTTGGATGGCCTTCTCGGTGTCTGCGGCGGAGAATTCGGGACATGTTCCGATGAGTTTTCCGGAGGCAGGGTCTGAAAGTAGTCCTGTGATGAGTATAGCTGGTCACTCGGTTTGGTTGTGGAAGGTGGTGCATGGCCTACCGTGGACTTCGAAGGTCTGTCCGGACTGAGCATCTACCCACTCGCCATTGACGTATGCCTTTTGAATGAAGAGGGATTGGTCTTTGAGCTATATAATAGCCAGGACATTAGCAATAATTCTCATGAATGAGAAATGAAAGGCAGAAGCACGAACCGGAGGGACAGTGTAACCCATGGTGGAAACTAGGCGTTTAGTGTGGATAGGAGCAGGAATGGCAAAGGGATAACGAAGGCGCGGTCTCAAGAGCTGCCGGGAAACTGGACGAATAAATCTCTCCATGATTGATGCACTGTAATCTATCACACCCAGCGAGCGGGTCGTGTGGACGAGCAGATCTCCAGCTGCTCTCTCTCGCTCTTCGTTCCGAAGTTCGGTGCGGGGAGACCTCGGTTTGTCTGGGAGGGAATCGTGTTTTTGGATCGGTGTACCACCACTTTCAGCAGTTTGCTATTCAACAGGACTCTAGAGAGATTTCCAATCAATTCCGGACAAGGCCAGCTATTTATTCTCGGAACTAGCAGTGGATTCTAGTGATGGCAATGCGGCGTGAATCTTACCGGCGCCCTTCAAGCGGGGGACCTGCCGGTCACGTGGGTAGACGTCATCCGGAGCTTTCGGTTGCGCCGCCACGGCACTACAGGGTTGCTGTCTGGTGCAAGGGGATTGATGCGTTACCTGGCTATTAATCTATAGTTCTGAGAAAAATTGAGGATGAATTGAAGGCTTTTCAGGCCTTGGGTAACTTTTGCTGCTCTTGTATCTTCATATATTACATTAACGTAAGTAGGATACCATATCGATATGCTATCCCTGGCTTCGGTGACAGTAGCCAATAACCGAATTGCTACACGGCAGCTCCGGAGCACGCACCAATGGGAGAACACTAGACTTCCGAACCTGTAACTGTAATACCCATATATTACGATATCTACAATGCGTATTATCGATCTATACAGCGCCAGTTGGGAGTCATTATTCCCAAGAAATATACACATAAGCCATTTGGCCATATCTGATTAGTCTACCACCATTTCACTCATTATCAACGTCATTCTCACCGCGCGTGCCAGTCGACGATCTGCCATCGCTTCTGGAACGGTAATTCGGATGCATGCGCTTCATATGCAGATTGAGATTCCATGTCCGCGAGAAGCCCTTGCTATGCCTGGAACACGCCCGGATAGGACAGACCAAATCCTGCTTGCGATGTTCTCCTTTGCCTTTTGGTCGGGACCCATCCCCGGCGTCCTCAGGCGCCGTACTGTTGGCTCGCGATGTCGAGCCTCCCTTGGTGGAAGCGGCACGAGAGCGTGGTCGTCTGCTCTGAGAACGGGAGGGTTGTGAAATTTCCGCCTCGGCCTCAGATTCAGGCTCAAGATCAGTCTGAACTTCAAGTTCTGATTCGCTTTCTTCGTATTTCCATATCTTGGTATCGTCGTCTCCTATATCTTGCTTGACCTTCCCTTCTTTGAGGACCTGGAACGTCATATCTTCGCCAAACAAGGCTGCGCATCTCTGTGCTGTTCGCATCACCACGGCTGGCGGCCATCCTATCATGGAGGCGACTCCCAACACCTCACTCCAATCCCGTATCCCGAGGCGAACACGACTGGCGGACCGTCGACGATCACTACCGACGGATCGGCCTCGTGAGCGGGAAGAATGTTGTGACTGTGATCTGTATCTTGAGGTTGCTTGAGAGGAGCTGTGTACGCTTGACTCCGGCCCGCTTGATACATGTGTACTACGAGAACGAGCGTCACTCGATCCGCTCTTAAAGGATGACCGTCGGGTCCGTTTTCTTCCTCTCGATTGACTTCTCGCTCTTTGAGAATTGACTTTTCTCTTCCGAGGTGATGAGCCAGAGATCACACTTTCAGTATCGGTCTGCCAGTCACTTGCGGAGCTGTCATCCGCTGCCACTCCGCCCTTCCGGGCACGATGAAGTCCCATGAGAAGCTCGTCAAACTGCGAGAGTATGTTCCGAGTGAGTGGGCGTAGTTGTCGTCTTGATTTATCGTCATCTGTCTGGACAGCTGGGCGTAATGGAACGCCATCCGCACCTTCGCGCTCGCTTTCCCATGCGGTACTTTCATCCTGCGTCTCGTGTTGAGACGCTGATCTTTTTCTTCGATGGGATGTAAATGGCTTCGACTGATAATCCCATTCCCTGGCCATGAACCTCTCCTTTGCCGTCCGTAACATGAACGCCATGACAGATTCCTCTAGTTCGGCACTTGGTCGAGGATCTGGCTGCATTCTCAGTGTCCAAGCATCGTCGAGACTTTTCCGCACTTCCTCATCCGGTCTAGGCACCTCAGTCGAAGGTAGAGGCCACGCGGTCCAACGCTTCGGAGGAGCAAATGTATCCATCTCATCCAGCAGTTGCTCATTTGTCTCCGTCGCTCGTCTCGCTATCTCTCGCGCCCGGACTCGGAGCGCATAAGCATTGTACAAATGTGCAGCTAGATCTCGGGCTCGAACATCTTCCAGAGCTTGAGCATTCTGTCTATCTTCGGCAGTCAATCTTCTCCACGTAGATTCAGGCCCGCGGAATCTGTTAGGACGGTACGAATGTGCCGAACGGGTCTCTGAATCACGCTGGCGGTCACGCTCAGTCACTTTTTGGAGCATCTGCTGCTGCTGCTGCTGCTGCTTTTTAGGTGACTGAGGAACAGATGCATAGCTGTCCGCATCTGAACCAGATTGCTCATCGTCATTGCTCTCAACGTAAGTAGCGTCCGAGTGATCGTTCTCAATCGGCTCCTCTTCCATGATCACGTCAAGGTCTTCCTGGCTATCTCCGGCCCCAGTTTGGGTTTCTGGGTAGGGTACCAGATCGGCAACATCTTGGCTACTCGGACCTCCGAAAATGGACCTGTATGGTTGCGCTGACTGCGGCGGGCTAAAGCGCGCGCCTGAAAGTGAGGACATGCCTCAGTATTGGTGCTTATAGAGAAGTTGGCTTGATTTTCTGTACATAGGTTGATAGATTAGGGGCCCATGAGGTTCAGGCCCATATGCAGCAAATCCCGCTAGATAGCGACTATCTAGATGGTCGTTCGGTTGATGATCATCAAGACTGGCGGTGTGGCTGCGAGCTTATCTTCGGAAAATAGAGACGCCAATCTATTGCATTTGAGTTTTCATACAGCCAGTAGAATCAGACTTGAACTGTGGACTTCCAAGAAGAGAAATCGGTACTGTTGATGGAAGATTTAATGAATGGTGCGGATCAAGAGGAAAAAGTCGAAAGCACGTGACTTGATACATGTCTACTGGGCATCGCGACAGGCCCACTACTTTCTTTTTACTAACCCCCTGAATCATAACTAGCCATAAGTTGAGCATGAAATAAATAAGATAGAATGCATGTAGTCGATGTGTAATGGTGGTTAGTCTGATCTTGGTACTATGTGAACCGATATCCAATCTTATCCCCATCCAAATCCTCAAAGATTAAACCCATATCGAACCTGAAATGGCTCTTCATTCTACTAGAACCTAGCAGGAATCTTACAGCAGACAGATTTTGGATCAAACGGTAGACGTGTATACTTATTAGACAACACTCTAACTGAATGCTATGGTAAATACAAGATTCAAGACGCCAATATAGGAATGCTTCCAAATCCCAGCAGGATATCATTCTATTGTCACAGAAAAGCCAACTTTTATGTGCCTAACTTCATTTCTGGCCCTCCTTCTCAAGCTTTCTCCTCTTGGACCGCAGCTTGGCAGCCTCCTCAGACTTCTGCTTGTTCGAGTACATCATCTTTTCGAGGAGCTTGCGCTTCTTCCGGCTCATCATCATCTTCTGTCTCTCCAGCTCTTCCTCCTCCTTGCGCTTCTTGGAGGCGATCTTCTTAGCCTGAGCGGACTTCTTCTTGGCTGCTTCGCCAGCACCGCCACCAGACGAGAAGGGAAGACCAGCAGCCTCAGCCTCCAG